CTTTAATTCATCTATAGATGGATGGATGGATAGATAGATAGATAATCTTTACATTGCATCCGAAGGTTAGGTTAGGCCTTCTGAGGCACCGCAGGCTGCAGTGAGTAAGAGGGGGAGGGGGGGCAGGCGCTGTGGCTAGGATGGGCTAGGAGGCCGAGCGATACGGCTAGAACAGGCTAGGGCTGAGTGATTGGGCTAGCACAGAATTAAGAAGTTGCCACTTGGGACAATACCTAACATTGATATTGATCAATGCATCAATTTTCATTTTCAAAAAATCATTTAGATATTTATCAATGCATCAATTTTTGAACATGGATTTGAAAGACCTACAGACAATCAATAATTATAAGAATCTACATATGGTTGGATAGATAATTTCTATAATGTATTTATATTTGGATGGATAGATAGTTTAGAATTTGGCATTTATCATGTTAGGTTTATTTTTTTCCATGCATAACCGTCTAATTAATAACACAGAAGCTGGAGCAAGTTATCTTGAGAGAGATGATTTTCTTTTTTTCTTTTATAAGATCATCAAGTGGAATAAAATCATAATCAGAGCTACTTTCCTAATGTAAAAGTAATCTTTTATAAATTCATAGAATTTAAAAGTATAAAATTTTTATAAAATTTACTCTATTTTTTGTAAAAAGTAATTAAAGTTGTTTGTTATCAAATCGTTGTTTTACTTTCCAATAATTTATAAAACTCTCAGCGCTTCAAAAATACTGTGAACTTTCAAGCAACTATCTATGAGAATTTTGCCAGTTAAAATAACTAAAGATATTCAGGATGTACACTCTATATTCTTTCAAGCAACTATCTATGAGAATTTTGCCAGTTAAAATAACTAAAATTAAAAACAAGTTCATTAAAAATCTATAATTTACATGTCTAAGGCTACAAAAAAGTATTCAAGTAAAAGTCCAGGCGTTTGGAGATGCGACAATTCAAAGTGAACCCAGTCTTGATTCTTGAAAAATAATAATGCAACTTAGAATTTCCGTGGTTCTACTGAGTTCTCTAATAATCAAAAGTTGAGGCAAATCGACCCGTGGATTCATGCATTATGATCGTACATCCAAACAAACAAACAGAGATTACTACTTTATATTTATTTTCTGTTAAAATCCTTTTTCCTTTAGTTGTTTTTTAAGATCAGTAAAAAATACATATAATCAATTTCTTGAAATTTAGTGGAAAACAGATTTATATTTTGGGGTTTACAAGAAACTCTGTTCTCACCAAACTTTTAATTATTTCACCCGGATTTAGAAGAAGAACAAGTTAGAAGCAAACCTTATTAGTTTCAAAGAGCTTGCAACTTAAGGCTGGGTACCGCTATCAAAACCGGTGGTATCGGTAACCCGGTTTCAACATAAAAATAAGATATTTTTGTATACAAATATGATTTAAAGTGTTAAATTGTTCTCACTTTTTTTCAATTTCTTGAATTAAAATCTAGGCATTAAGGAACTGAGTTTTTGTCACAAATTCTGATTTTCCAATCCCTACATCTTTGCAAACTGATGGTGTAAACCTTTGATATTTCAAGCTATCATTATTTGATATAAAAGAATTCATAGTTTGAAATATTTAAGGCCTCCGACATTGAATTGCAAGAAAAGTTTGCGACAAAGACTCAATTCCTTTACACACCTTTTTGGAAACTTTAGAGTTTCGTTTAATTCTGCAGCAGCGGATTATATGATATTATATTTTCTGATTTGTAGGAGAGGGTCGTTGAGGATGTACAGGGTTACCCGAAAAGGATGAGATTTTAAAAACTACTTTTGACTTATGTAAGTGTAAAATGCTAAGTATCTGTATAAAATCTCATGTTTATAATTTCAAATAAATATCAACAGCTAAATGCGCCAAGATTTTGTATATTTCCTTCAAGAAAAGAAATCTGTAATTTTTTCCGTTCTTCTTCAAAAAAGAACATTGAGGACAGTAAAAGATTCATGGTTATAAATCGTCCCTGTCCGTACCAAAATGAAAAAAAAAATTATTTTGAGGTATCTAGAATATTAATGTACGTAACCAACAAGTAGGATGAGACACAAGTAATTGCATATCACTCTGGGCCGTAGTAAATTTGAATTCGAACAGGACCTGCCCAGTTTGTACTGGCCTGCCAGATAACATTGTGTACTGACCCGATCCTATGGTACAGTACGTCAAACTAACCAGACTAACATACGACAGGGGTCAATTTTGCATAGTCCCGTCGGAGGGCTAACCATGACAACTCCCATGGCGCGTTCAGACTTTTTACAGTACCCGGCCTAATCCTAGGCCTATTTGACCGACCCCACTGGCTTAGTCCACCGTGATATTCTATACTCCTTGATGAGGCCAATGTTCTGACCGTATTTACTGTTATTACATATTGTTTTTAAACTTTTAATATTCAAATCAATTTCGATAACAATTGCATGATCCTAGAATGCTAATGATTTTCTAATTTGAATTTATGTGAACAGAATTTAACTCTAAATGTATACAATGAAGCGTAGAAGAAGCCTAACTGTATATGGAGGAAGGGGATGCAGGACCGCCATGAGCCCTTCAAAAAGGTCTCCAAGCTTCCGTATTCGCAGATGTGTATTTAAAATGACCTGTCGTTACCCCTAAACGTTAGAATATATATTATAGAGATAAAAAAACCATTTTTTAAAGAAAATATTAAATCTTTAAATAATTATGCAGTGTTTAATATCCAAAAAATATTGCAAAACTATTAAAATATTAAACTTAAAAAATATATACATTACTTTTATAATATCTATTCTATAACAGGATAGGGGTAACGTCAGGTCATTTAAAATACTCATCTGCGAATCCAAAGGCTTGGAGACTATTTCGCGGGGCTCAGGGCGTCTGGTATCAGTGAATAGAAGTTGAAAAAGCAACAAAGGAAAAGTTTAAAGAACTGGAATTGAATTTATCTGGATAAGTTTAAATAGTTTGAAGGAAAAGAACAAAGTTTTAACTTGTTTTTATTCCATGTTTTTGTCTAGTGTCGACTCATAGCTCATAATAGTAGACAATAGATAGAAAGATAGATAGAAAAGATATAAAGATATATAACGAGCCGGGTCAACTTTTCCGGTCCCAGTTTGTACTGTTTCGCCCAGTCATTGGGAAAAAGAAGCAGACACTCAATAGGACTAGCCGGTGCAACAAGGTTGACGTGGTCAGACTTTAGGTTGAATTTACTTTTACTGAAGGATGAGAGGTGCGTGCTATATATATGCGGAGAAAGATATAATTAGAAAAATAGAAAGATAGACATAAATAGACAAATATTTAGAGAGATAAACGTGAACCTATAGATAAATAGACACATGATGAAAAGCTATGTTTAGATAGTTAATAAATAAAATAGATACATAGATTCAAGGGTGTAATGCAAGGAAAGTTAATTGCAGTCGTGTATATTCTGGGTACATATTGAAACCAGTTCTCTTTGGGCGGAATTTGTAAACAAGAAATAAATGCATCAGTGTTCGTTTAGAATCCGAGGAGATTTTTTAAAAGCATTAAATTTGATAATTTTGATAATTCACATAATAGTTTCCTCTGAACAGAATATTTTATTGATTTTTTTATGTGAAAGATGGATCCCATGTCAGGCTGTAACATCCGTCTTGTGTTTACATTACCGCCCAGAGACAGTACACTGCAGTACAAAAGATGCGTACACTTCTGAAATAACTTTCCTTGCATTACATCCTTGGAAATATGAATAGATATAGATATAAATATAAATAGATATGGATAGATAGAAATAGATAAAGATAGTTAGAAATGAATGTTGAGAAGAAAGTGTCCCAGTTGACGATTCTTTTTACAGGTTGCCAAACCTCAAGGTATCCAAGGTTTAAAGAGAAATCAACAATTTGGAAATATAAAATTAATTCTTGGAAAGATTTTTAAATAAACTTAGATGAAAACTTTAGAATGGGATATCCTTAATCCTGATCGGTTAATTAATCTGGAGATTAATAACAAGAGGAGAACAAGCATTAATTAATCTGGAGATTAAAAAAAAGAGGAGATCAAGCATTAATCTCGATATCCACCATTCTTAAGTTTTCAGCTCAGATTGGGTAATTTGCGCGTATTAATATTTTTTAAAAATATCAATTTTGAATAGTGTACTTGTAAGCAAAGGTACAAAGGCACGGAGGTACCAAGGTTCAAGTGTTCAAAGGTAGAAGGTCGTAAAAGTACAAACTTACAAAGGTACAAAAATTACAAACCTAAATTTTCAAAGGTACCAAAATTACAAACCTAAATTACAAAGGTACCAAAATTACAAACCTAAATTACAAAGGTACCAAAATTACAAACCTAAATTTTCAAAGATAAATGCCAAGGTACCAAGGCGAAAAAGTAAAAAGGAGTTCAGGTCCAAAAATGTTTATGGTACAAAATATTTTCCTTTTCTCCCTGGGGGATATATTTTTTACAATATTTCACGTGGCCTAACTTACAACAATTTATCGCGACTAGAAGTGTGTATTTCAAGAAAATTTCACAATTTAGCAAATTTGATAATTCATATTAAAGTTGGACTCTAATAATACAAATCATCAGCAATATCAAATAATTAAAGTAAATAAAGTAAACATCAGTTAAAAAAAATTCAATTATTTCTGACTTTGTGACTACGCAAAGATTTACAAAAATGTTTGAGGTTCTATTTATGACTTGTACAAAAATGTTTATAAAAGAGTAGAACTAAAAATTCCTCTGTGTTTGCATGAAGTCTTTAAAACAGTTGGATCAAGTGATAAAAAATAATAAACATTAGTAGATTTTGCAGAAACATAAAAAGAGGCGCATTTTGGGGTCAAATCAAAAGTGGATGTGAGAATTTCTCCACATTCTAACTAACGTACTACATTTTCATCCCCGATTTGTATTAAACTCAATCTACACTTTCTACTCTTGGATTAAACCCTTCTAGAGTTTGATCTGAGATTAGTCCAATCCAACATCCTGCATCCCACTTGGAACCTCACTCAACTTCTTCTTAGCAACCAACTTGGCCAGGGCAGTGTCTCTTAAACCAAAGAGATGGGCCATCTCTAGTTCAGTGTTCACCAGGGGGATTGCCTAAACAAAATGTTTGGATAAACTCATCTATCATGAATATCTGGCAAGGATTAAATAATAAATATATTGTATTTTTTTCATTTCGTGATTTTTGAGATTTCACACTTTTCTCTTCTATAAAAGAAAATTGTGGTTGATTGAAAATGTTGTAATGTTTTGATGTAAAAAACTTTACAACGAAATAAAAGAGAAGACGAAATAATAACAAGTTATGAGAACACATTTAGGGCACCTTTAGCCAAAACAATTTGTTAAGTAAAAATAGGAACTATATCATTTTTCTGTTAAAAGTGAATTTTTGTGTTTATCCTGTATTACAGGGTGTGAAGTTGTTTTGATAAAATGAAAAATTTAACAGTTTTACATTTTACTGTTCCACTCCCTTCGATACTAGAGGAGAAGCCATAAAATTTACTTTTGAGGAAAATAAAATTTGGCCAGAACAATAATACTTGTGTTAGGTTGAATAAATTACATAATTTATGTAAATGCAAGCAGAAAATGGGTTGTTTCTGGATTAAATAAATTCTACAATACTAATGTTTTTCTTTATGATTAATGTGAGAGAAATAGTTTGCTCAACCAGTGTCTAACTGTTAACATAATTTAAGAAACCCTATTTTACTTACTTATTCCTACAAAAAAACAAGCTAGAAAATGGCCAAGATTTATTTTGTTCAAGTCTGTAAAATTCTGAAATGTCATTGTTGAATAAATCCAGGGAGGGCAATTAAGAATTTTTTTAAAATAGAATAGTTCAAGAAACATTAAAAAATTTCTTTAAAAAGTGAAAGAAAAAAATGAATTATTTTTTTTGAATAAAAGTTTTGATCAATTGTCACAAATGTGACATAATTGATAAGGTTTCTTTTCTTATTTGAATTGTTGCTCTATCTCTGTTCTAATGTTATAAAAAGAAGTAAATAATAATACACAGAAGTGTGGAGGGAGGAATAAATGTATGGTATATATAAGGTCTAGACTCAATCAGTTATATATTGGAGAGATATAAGAGATACTTTTCAGGATTAGACTTTAACACTTAGTTAGTTGGTGCAGATCATATCAAATTGAAAAATAACTCTTCCCAAAAACATTCCTCTGATTCCTTTGAGAGGTTTTAGGGATTGCATCATTAAACGCACATGTTTAATCTAATTCGTGAATTAAACTGTTTTTACTGATTATCTCTAGGTATTGCAGCTAAGATTATAAGTGCTCCGAGAATGGGGTTTAGGGCATATCCGGTGTAAGGATGGGGATTAGAGGGAATCATATCCGGTCTGAGGCCCCAACTGCTGGATATTATCAGAAAATATATAGACTAAGAGGGTATGGACTATAAAAAGAAGGGACAAAGACTATAAGTTTTTAAAAATTTAAGAAACATTATGCTGATTTTCTGATCCATGCAACCTACTGTTGTAAGCATTTGATACTTTAAACTTATGTTGAATCAAATTGTCAGAAATATCAAAGGATTACAGGTTGCAGAAATGTCAATGTGCATATAGACCAATTGTTTTATTTAACCAAAAAGAAACGAACAATATAAAACTAGGCTTTTAGGTTCTATTAAAAATTGTATTGATACAAATTTTTATGTAATTCTGAGCATCCAAAAACCTTCCCTGGCGTCATGCAAGGTCCCACACAAAATTTGGGCCCGATTGGTTCAGCCGTTCTGACATTTATTGGATACAAACAGAAAGACAGACAGACAAGCAAAGTATATATATATAGATATCTAGCCAATGCATTAATGATAAATCAATAATAAACAATTCTGTCAGATTGATATAAAAATTGACATGCCAAATTTAAGCATTCAATCCTTAGAACTTGGTTCAGTCATCTTCGATAGGGTTAACAAAACTTGAGGGTGGTGTATTTTTCAACCTACGCCAAATCCGCTATACTACACATCAGACCTACTAGCACGTGGTTTTACAGCTGCTATATGGACTTGTGGCTGCAGCGCGCGGCAACAAGCCTGTCCTAGCCGCAGCGCTCGGCCCAGAAATTGTCTTAACCTAACCTAACCCTCAAATAATACAAAAATAAACAGCTGGCGTAGGTCCGATATTGCAGTAGGTCGGAAGTTCAGTAGGGGGAATGTTGCGTATAGACGATGTAACATTACCAACTTGAGTCTAGCTTTTACCTACATATACATATCATAAAATAGATCAGTAAGAAGTAAGTATATGTATGTAAGTATGTCAAAAAATAATAATTTTAGGATTTCACAGCATAAATCTTGGATGAAGATTTCAGCTCCTTACATCTTCTTAAAAAAATCTATCATATCAAAAAAGTTTTGAAAAAAAGATAAGTACTTTTGGATCCAAGAAATTGCAAAATTGAGAAAATTTGTCATGCAGAGCAAAAAGTCTGCATTTTTAAAAAGTAGCTATTTATAAACCGGTTTGAAGAAAATTGTATATGTTGCCGCTTTTTCCAATTTTGAAAGCAGGAATTATAAATTTTATAATATTTACTTTGTCCATCAACTTCAGAAATACAAATTGTGACCAAAACCAATTTATTTGAGAGAGTTTTGATTAAACATTATTCTAAATAAAAAAGGTAAATTCGCATCTCGGTTCAGGACAAAAATCTAATTTTTCAGATTAAAATGCATTAACAAAATTAAATTGATCAGGCGATGTTAAAGTTAAAGAGAGAGAAGCATCAAAGATAATTAAGATAAAGGGAGTCGTGATTTTTATGTTAATAATTTCGGAAAACAATATGATCAAGAGCAGATTTAGGCTCAAGTGTAAGGAAAGTATGTATTGGTTTTAGAAAGAGCCTGAAAACAAGTTTTCGGGGATTTCAAGGTCTGAAAAGGTGGTATTTACATCACTTCATGTTCTTCAAATACCAGAAATACTTTTGACATAATAGTAATATTTTAGCTTGATACTTATTGACGCAATATTATTTTGTTCTTTATAGTGTTGCTAAGTTAACAATACATATTTTCAGATATCCAATATATGTACCAATTTGTATATCAGCCTGCAGCATTCTCCATTTATCATTCAGTCTTTCATTCTATCTTCTTTATTTTCTTTCATCATATGTTCATAAATATATTTGGATCCAAAAATAAAAAACTTACATTAGAACAAGATATTTTGTAATAATTGATAGATACATTGCAATAAAATCAAAAGCAGGGGTATATGTTTTCTTGAAATATTATCCCGCTCTTTTAAAATATTGTAAAATTTTTATTTTTATTTAATGATTTTAAGGAGGTAATAATAAAAAAATGTTAAGGAGAAAAATAGAGCAAGTTCAAAACCAATTTTCATTTATCCCTTTAATTTTTCTTCTCAAAGCGCATGCAATAACAGACATCAATCATTGGTTCTTTAATCCATAAAAACTATTAATGATCCATCTATCCATCCATCCATCCACCCAACTATCCATCAATCCATCAATCAACCAGTATTGAGATGTTTAGAACACAAAAGGGAGTTTCCTACAATACATCACTGCAGAGTCTTGGTTTATCCTAAACCTACTTTTTATATATAGTGCTTCACCAGCCTTTTGAGGCAATATTTGGAAATATTTCCACCAAAATTTCAAAAGTTGCTGAAGAAAGGAGAATTGGAAATTTATTTGTTAGATAAATAATCATGAGAGGTTGTCACGAAATATGAGAAGGCGCTCTTCACCATACTAAAATGCTACCAAATGTTCTCTGAAAAGATTTAGAATAGTTCTTAGCATTTTAATGCTAAGGTTTTGTGTTTTTTAAAAAGAAAAATACTTATTTAATTCAAACTCATAACTAAAATGAAATCTAATATTAAAATAACAATAATAAATAAAACTATAACAAAAATGACACCTGCACTTGACTCCCAATTGCTTGTCCTAGCCGCAATGCCTGACCCAACTCATCTATCCGAGATATGATGCTCAGCTCAGAAATTGTCTTAGTCTAACCTTTTTTAAGGCTCAACAATTTCAATCTGTCCCAGTGTCTAATCCGTGTAGGGGTTTCGTTATTATTTGTTTAGTATTTTGTATTAAAGTGACTAAACATTAAAATCTAGATCTAGATTTCCTACTCTAGTCTACTTCTAAATATCTAGCTGACAAGATCTAAACATCCTACTCTAGTTTACTTTTAAATATCTAGCTAACAAGATCTAGATTTCCTACTATAGTATACTCCTAAATATTTAGATGTCAAGATCTAGATATCCTACTCTAGTTTACTTCTAAATATCTAGCTGACAGGATCAAGATATCCTACTCTAGTTTACTTCTAAATATCTAGCTGACAAGATCTAGATATCCTACTCTAGTTTACTCCTAAATAGTAAACTGACAAGATCTAGATATCCTTCTAAATATCTAGCTGACAAGATCTAGATATCCTACTCTAGTTTACTCCTAAATAGTAAACTGACAAGATCTAGATATCCTACTCTTAAATATTTAGCTGACAAGATCTAGATATCCTACTCTAGTTTACTTCTAAATATCTAGCTGACAGGATCTAGATATCCTACTCTAGTTTACTACTAAATAGTAAACTGACAAGATCTAGACATCATACTCTAGTTTACTTCTAAATATCCAGCTGACAAGATCTAGATATCCTACTCTAGTTTACTCCTAAATAGTAAACTGACAAGATCTAGATATCCTACTCTAGTTTACTCCTAAATATCTAGTTTACAAAATCTTGATATCCTTCTCTAGTTTACTCCTAAATATAAAGTTGACAAGATCTAGATATCCTACTATAGTTTACTCCTAAATATTTAGATGTTAAGATCTAGACATCATACTCTAGTTTACTTCTAAATATCTAGCTGACAGGATCTAGATATCCTACTCTAGTTTACTCCTAAATATTTAGATGTTAAGATCTAGACATCATACTCTAGTTTACTCCTAAATATCTAGCTGACAAGATCTAGATATCCTACTCTAGTTTACTACTGAAAATACATGGAGTAAAAAGCAGGATTGAAGACACAGATAAAAAGCCTGGAACCTTGGTAAATGGAAAACATGTATAAAACCAGTTAACGACCATCAACATAAACATAAACAACAGAGAAACTCTAAATTGTCAACAAAGATTATATTTATAAACAAAGAAATAAAAAAAATGAAAGATGATGATCGTAAACTACTTATAAACTTTAAAAACTAAATTAAAAACCTGACATTATTAATTTACCCAAAAAAATATAATTTAATTTTTACATCTTGTGTAGGACAGTTTCTTCAAAAATCAATGTATCCCCGCCCCCCCTTTTCCTCCAAAATAGACTTTCGGGGATTTTAAGAGAAAATGTTGGATTCTTGACGAGGTAGCCATTTACCTTTGAGAGATTTCGTTGAACAGATTTCTTAGGCATATAAATCAAAAATATAAAAGAACTCCCCCCTCCCCCCACTTTACTCTAGATATAATACTCTNTAAAAATTAATCTTTAAAGTTTAGGGTATAATATTTTCAATACGTCACAGATTTAAAAGAACTGTGTAAATTAATTTTCTAGAGCTTTACAGAGCTCAATTTGGAGTCGGAGGTCACTGCGATTGCGATTGCGATTGCTATTGCTATTGCTATTGCTATTGCTATTGTTATTGCTATTGCTATTGCTATTGCTATTGTTATTGCTATTGTTATTGTTATTGTTATTGCTATTATCCAAACAAGCAAAACTATTATTTAACCACTATCAGAATGTGATGTTTTCTTCGATGAAAGAACTAAACTCTGGGACTGGTTGACTGACAGACATACTGACTGACAAACTCTATTCCTTTTCATCCCAATAGATTGTTTTGAAATTTTCCAAATTCTCTTTAAAATCTCTTTAAGAGTTAAGAGAAATTAATAAAAATACGTCATAGTTTTCTTAAGAAAGAGGAAAGGCAAGCAGCCATGAGCCACAACTATTTTCCATTCCAAACCACACATTTTTGATTATCTGGCAGCCGGGCACAACTATTCGTTCTTCTGTGCCATAACATTTTAGTTTTCCATCATTTCCAAGTTTTTAAAAGGAAAATTTAATGCTTAAAAATTGCGTTTTTTAAAAAAATCTGGCCATGGCATACAAAGATATATATATATATCTACAACTTTATTTGATCTGGAAATAATTATGATAATTTTAATTGAAAATAGATAACTTATTTTTCCTAGATTGAATTAACTACTGATCTTAAGACAGCTAAATTGTGTAAAGCAATATACTGACTGATACGATACTTTAACATAAAACTACAAATTTAAAGGGTGTCACTTTCTAAAAAAAATTTTTTTGAGGAAAAACTAAAAAAGTCTTTATTTGACCAAACTCTCCCTACCCATCCCTAATCGTTGATTAAATCTAAATAGCAGTTCTTTAATCTTCATAATATTGATTTATTTCAAAAAATTAAAACTTAAAAACAATTAATTTACCATTTAAAGAAAAGGGCACTATTAGAAGGCTAAAATGTTTAACATGGAAGAGCAAACAGCTAACATGCGGAAGGTAGAATAGTTGTGGCTCATGGCCACCTGCCTTCCTACACTCCTACTTTGTGTACCTTTCGTATAAACTATGCAATGACGTCATTATATCTCCTTAGTTAACTACATATTAAAGCAAATATTATTAAAATGACGTCACATTAATCAAGTAAGATCTACACCCTGAACATAGAATTACATTAGAATTTAGAATTATACAAGGTTAATCTGTACACACAGAAATGAAAATTTAATCAAGCAAGAACTTATACATTTTTTAGATTTATTGGGAACTCAAAGAAGTTTCTAAGCAGAATTACATGAAAACTTTAGTTTACCTTCTTAAACAATTCATTTTCACATTTTTTAAAATCTTTTAGTTTCAGGGACCAAAACTCTATGTTTAACTCTATCAAAGATTTGCTTATCAAAGATTGAGCCACATTGACAAAATTTTGTGCATCACCTTATCAAAAATTGAGCCACAGTGACAAAATCTTGTGTATCACCTTATCAAAGATTTGAGCCACAGTGACAAAACCTTGTGCATCACCTTATCAAAGATTGAGCCACATCGACAAAATTTTGTGCATCACCTTATCAAAGATTGAGCCACAGTGACAAAATTTTGTGCATCCCCTAATCAAAGATTGAGCCACAGTGACAAAATCTTGTGCATCACCTTATCAAAGATTGAGCCAAAGTGACAAAATTTTGTGCATCAACCTTATCAAAGATTGAGCCACAGTGACAAAATCTTGTGCATCACCTTATCAAAGATTGAGCCACAGTGACAACATTTTGTGCATCAACCTTATCAAAGATTGAGCCACAGTGACAAAATTTTGTGCATCACCTTATCAAAGATTTGAGCCACAGAGACAAAAGTCTACGTCTGACCAGTTCAAAGTTATGAGCCGCAGCGACAAAAATCTATCTCTCACGTTATCAAAGTTATGAGCCGCAGCAACAAAAATCTATCTCTCACGTTATCAAAGTTATGAGCAGCAGCGACAAAAATCTATCTCTCACGTTATCAAAGTTATGAGCAGCAGCGACAAAAATCTTTCTCTCATGTTATCAAAGTTATGAGCCGCAGTGACAAAAGTCTATCTCACACGTTATCAAAGTTATGAGCAGCAGTGACAAAAATCTATCTCTCACGTTATCAAAGTTATGAGCCGCAGCGACAAAAATCTATCTCACACGTTATCAAAGTTATGAGCCGTAGCGACACAAATATATATCTCACGTTATCAAAGTTATGAGCCGCAGCGACAAAAATCTATCTCACACGTTATCAAAGTTATGAGCCGTAGCGACACAAATATATATCTCACGTTATCAAAGTTATGAGCCGCAGCGACAAAAATCTATCTCACACGTTATCNTATCTCACCTTATCAAAGTTTTGAGCCGCAGCGTCGAAATTCTCTCTCTGCATCTCTATCTGCCCCAAAGTTTCATAGGCAAACTCATTCTTATCATCAATCTAAAAATAAAAAATAAAAAATGGAACATGAAAAAAAACTAATAAAGTCGTTTACTCTGGTTATTACAATTCCTTGACCTCAATCACTATATTTAATTCTTTAAAATGTTATAACATTGCTAATAGTGTTAAAAGTAACAGTTTGTTATGATTTACAGCTAAATTTGTGAACGGTACAGTCATATTCAAAAAGACCCGGAATTGATTGACAGTTTATCAGGCCACTTTGCATATTTATCTGTGGCAAATTTTGAATGCTCAAAAAAGGCAGACCACATTTTGGAAATGGCAAGACTAGGGTTATTTAGTGATTATCGATTCATCAATTTGTAAGATTAGATTGTAAAGTCGTCTCATTAATTGTAAATTAATTCCGAGTTTTTCTGATTGGGACTGCAGTGTACACAACCTTAACTTCAGTCATCCACAAAATTGTCATACTGGTTTACCCACAAAGGATGAGACTGTGTAAAGACGACCCAAAACTCTTACAATATGACGATTTCAAGCTTGATTTTTAGTTTCTGCATTTCGGCCTACAAGGAACCTTGCAAGCAAGAAAACTAGCTATTACCGTACAATCGTCGTTGAAGTCTCTTCCTGTAACCCTGTTACCCACAAAGGAACCCTGTAACTCTGTTTCCAGTTTTTTTTAGCGACTGTGATGATGTGAATTGTTTATGACAATGTTTAAATGACAACTAATTTTTAAAACTCAGAACTACTTGTAAACCTGATGTTTTGAAAAATTTTGTATTTGACTAAAATTGAATAAAACACGAGTGTCAAGCTATATTTGAAATTCTTAGAAATCCTTCAAATATCAACTTTTACACAATATAGAAGATGGCAAGTTTTCATAGACAAGAGAAGAAAAACAAGTTTTGGTCTCTTCAAGGGGTTCCAACTTTTTCCGGATCAATTTGGATCCGTAAATGCATTACGGAATCTTTCCTGACGCATGATAAAACTATTAAAACTTAGAGAAAATTTCGGATTTTTAACAAATCTACCCTTTGAATGCTAAACGGAGCTATGTGTAACAATTTGATAAAAGTGTGTTATCTGCGAATATGGAAATTTATTTAGAGGAAACCAACCTAAAGGATATCCTAACTAATTATCAAGCAGTTTTTAAGAAAATATTGAGTAGTAAGGATTCAAATCAACTCCACAATATAACAAGGCCTAACCCCCATCCAGCTCCAACTACCCAGCTTACCCTAACCTTTTATAAGATCTTTCTATTAAAATTATTTGACTAAAATTGAATAAAACACGAGTGTCAAGCTATATTTGAAATTCTTAGAAATCCTTCAAATATCAACTTTTACACTTTTAGAAGATGGAAAGACATTACGGAATCTTTCCTGACGCTATTAAGCATGATAAACTATTAAAACTTAGGTAAAATAACGGATTTTTAACAAATCTACCCTTTAAATGCTTTACGGAACTATGTGTAACAATTTGATAAAAGTATGTTTTCTGATGATATGGAAATTGGCTTAAAGGAAACCAACCTAGTGGGTATCCAAACTAATTATTAAAGGGAGTGACCGGTTATGTAAGGTAGTTGAACTGAGTATGCAGTGTTGTGGAAAGCTTCTTTCGGATTCATTTGAGACATATTAAACTTTTTAAAGATCAGAAAATCCTGAGTTTGAGCGCAAATTCGATATTCAAAACTCCTTCTTTGGGGGTGGATACATTTTCAGAATTAGTTTGTTTTTAATTGTTAAATAACGACGACATAAAATGTAAAAAAGTTCTACAATAAACTACAGACGTCATGTATAGGAACATGTTGAGAAAATAAAAATAAATCTTATCATCGAAAATAAGTAATCTTGTTCAATTATTAGTTTATATTATCTCATTATTCTGGTTTCTCATTATTCACAAAGTTTTTCGCAGATTTTCTAGAATTATTATTGAAAAGACGACATTTGAAGAATTTGAAGAAATCTGCGAATAAATTCAAAGAAAATTAAAAATTCAATTTAATAATGAAAACGAAATAATGGATTTTAGCATTCATTTATTGACAAATTTCTTTTGAGAAATATGTTCCTAATCATCTAATTAGATTACTGTATAATTTTTACTATATTTTTCGTTGTCGTTATTTAATAATTTAAAAAAAAACTAATTCTGAAAACGTATCCACCCCCAAAGTAGGAGTTTTGAACGTCGAATTTGCGCTCTAGCTCAGGAATTACAGATCTTTAAAAAGTTTAATATGTCTCAAATAAATCCGAAAGAAATTTTCCACAACACTGCATACTCAGTTCAACTACCTTACATAGCCGGTCACTCCCTTTAAGCAGTTTTTAAGAAAATATTAAGTAGTACAGATTCAAATCGACTCCACAATATAGCTAGGCCTAACCCCCATCCAGCTCCAACTACCTAGCTTACCCTAACCTTTTTAAAGTTATTTCTATTACAATTTTAGGGCGCAGAACCCTGAGGACAGAAAACCAAAATGTTAGTGTTTTCTAGATCTGGTGAGTATCCACCGTTTAAAATCTAAATCTGGTTTTGTGTTCTGCAACAACCGAGATCATTAGTGTTTAATCTTTTATCTTTGATTACAACCCTGGGATTAATCTAAATCATGTTCATTAGTCCCCAGATAATAACATGGAGGACATAACCTACAGAGCGGAAGTTCCATCCAGTACTCAGTTTCAAGAGCAGAATACTAGGGGACTAGAGTACACTCCCCTGTTATGAATATGAATACGAGTAATATGACTCAATAAACTCGACTTAAACTCGACTTTTTGAATCCCAGTTTCTGTGTCGGTATATTCACGAAACCTTTCCTCCATGAATAAAAGACCCGAAGACTGGATAACACTCCTTGTTATAAATCCTCCATCAAAAAATACCTAGGGACTGGATAACACTCCTTGTTTTAATTCCTCCACATGGATAAAAAGACACGGCGAATGGAGAACACTCATTGTTAAAATTACTCCATGGATTAGAGACCCAGGAACTAAAGAACACTCCTTGTTATTTCCTCCATGGATAAAAAGACAAGAGACACTCCTGGTTAAAAATCTTCCATCGATAAAAAACCTTTCGGCTGGAAAACACGCCTTGGTTTAAATCCTCCATGGATAAAAGAAGACCAGGGGACTAGATAACAATTTTCGTTATACTCTTCCATGGATAGAAAACAACTGCGAAGTGAGATCACTCCTAGTTGTAATTCCTCCATATATAAAAGAAGACTAGGGGACTAGAGAACAATTAAAATAATCTAAATTAATGAGTTGCTGGAATTAAACAGAACTAATAAAACGGACGAAATGGGGAAATAAATAAACCTGATAATAATAATAAATTACAAACCAACATTAGTAAGAAATTAAATCGGCTAGTCTTATAAAAACGTATAAATGAAACATTGAAACAGTTGTGTAAAAAATTTACATCTAATAAAATCAGAGTTTTAGGGACATCCAACAACAACTGATAATTTATATTTTCAATATTACAAGTTGCATAATTTCAGTTTTTGCATACAAGTTCGTCCACATATTTTATACCTTCTTTTTTTTGTAATAAATAAGCCATGTATCAGTAATGTTAGATTTATCTAAAGTTTACATACGCATTCATACATTCATTATTAAATTAAATCATAACATTATGAATATTAATAAGTCACTTTAGATACTGCCGGGAGAGCCGCAGTATCTGTTATTACAATGTTTTCTCGTTCATGTTTATTTAGATTTAAAATTTTGTTAATTAAATTATAAAATATATAGTAGATAAAATTACAAAATTATCTATCACTGTTTTTGAATTATTAATGTACAGTATACTGCACCTGTATTGCTATATCTATCTCTGTTATTGTATGATCTATGTAGTGTACTGCACCGGTATTTTCAAAATCTATCTCTGCTCTTCTACGATCTATGTACAGTGTACTGTACCTGTATTGTTTTATCTATCTCTGTTATTGCATTATCTATGTACAGTGTACTGCACCTGTATTTTTTTATCTATTCTATTGTATGATCTATGTACAGTGTACTGCACCTGTATTGCTTTAGCTATCTCTGCTGTCGTTTGATCTATGTACAGTGTACTGCACCTAAATTGCTTTAGCTATCTCTGCTATCGTATGATCTATGTACAGTGTACTGCACCTGTATTGCTTTAGCTATATCTGCTATTGTATGATCTATGTACAGTGTACTGCAACTGTATTGCTTTATCTATATCTGCTATTGTATGATCTTTGTACAGTGTACTGCACCTGTATTGCTTTAGCTATCTCTGCTATTGTATGATCTATGTACAGTGTACTGCACCTGTATTGCATTAGCTATCTCTGCTATTGTATGATCTATGTACAGTGTACTGCACCTGTATTGCTTTGGCTATCTCTGCTATTGTATGATCTATGTACAGTGCACTGCACCTGTATTGCTTTAGCTATCTCTCCTATTGTATGATCAACGTCTCCATCCTTCTGAAGTTTAAGTAGTGCTCGGTGAATTACAAGATTTCCATTCTATTGACAAAACTCAATAATACAGGAATTATTTTCTCCTTGCCTAAAATGGAAATTATTTCTGTACCAACGTGAGATTCCATGAAATATCAAGATTTCTTCGAAATTCAATTTCAAAGAATACAGAATTTATGAGGTAGAAAGAAGACATAGAATGAAATGAAATATTTTGTGATTGTTTCAGCAATATTTTAATAAATACTTGAATAAACAGGGAAAAAATTATTATATATTAATTATTTAAGGCAGTACTTCATTATTGGTGGATAGTTACAAAAAGTGTGAATTCTTTGAATTCTAGCATCCCGTAGAATTTTTTTAATATTTAGAATTCAAATGGGGGATAGTGTGGTCAAAGTGGACATTAATTTGCTCACATTGAACAAAACATAGCCTTTCCCGCATTTTACAACAAAATGACAAGTAATAATAAAAAATATCTTTAAAAAAAATCATTTTTTTTCATGGGAGTTAACTTTTTCATTTTCAATTTTTCTGTTATTTGTACGTTTTAAGTTTTTAAAACCTATGATGAAGGACAAATACACTTAAAATGTTTTAAACTATGCCTCAGCATCCCCTAACCGCCACTTTCTTTGGATATTGGCATTTTGATATGATTTATTTTGTTTAACATAACTAATAACGACAACCTATTTTAATGAATGTCGTCTTACTTACTGAATAAAAACTTCTTTCCAAAAATGTTTTTTTCACTATAAAAAATTTGAAAAAAATGATTTAAAAAAAATATGTTATTGAATAAAAATAATTGAATTCTTTGTTAAAACAATTTTAAACTTAATTTAATTTTAATCAAATAAGTCCAATAAGTCCAACCCCCTTATTGTGACCACACTGTGCCCAGCTCTAAACACCCCTGATTTAATGTAAAAGCAGGGTAATTATTTTCTCCTATTTTGTTGATTTTGTTCCTTTGGATTTAGCTGTATACCCTTGAGATACATCTCGTCTGATTTCTCCAGTTCATTTTTCTCCTGTAGAATCTGGATACGCAGAATATACTCTTATTAAACATTTTTAATAATACAGATACAGAAACTGTGTTTTTGGTGACAAAAAAGATTTTTCACCAATAAAACTAATACTATTGCTTCAAAGGATTTATTCTGTTGCTTAAAAATTTCACTAAAAAATCAATCGAGAATTAGACCAAACTTTTAAAGTGGCCATTGAAGGCGTAATTTCAAGTGACCCTCCATGCAAAGATAGCCATGCCCAAATCCCAACCATACCGTTGAAACCTTTATCTGATCAATAAAGTAAACAAATTGACGTTTTCTAGGTTTAAAACTTAAAAGTATTTTAATCTGATAATTTCTTCAGGATTTTCTGCACCAGATATACGCATACATGTCACTTTTGTAGAGAACCCGCAATTTAAAATAATTCTGTGTTTAAAATAATAAAAATTGATGATACTAAATCCATACTTGATCAGACAAATCATATCAAACCAAAGGCACCGATGTGAATTTTGCATTGAGGTCATGTGAGATTACGCTTACAGTCAACCTTTAATAGATTTTGAATTTGGAAATACAGGGTGAGTCAAAAAAAGTGTGATTTGCGGCGCCTGGTGCAAAAGTGTACCTTTTTAGTACAACTCTCCTGTATGGTATTTTTTAAATATTTTTTGAAAATTTGTATTTTTTTTTGGTACTTTTTAAAAAGATTGAATCACAGAATCTCGGAAAATTGGCAAAATTGTAATAAGAAAATACGCAATTTTCAGTTCTGGTATAATTTTTACGGAAAAATTATTTTTCTATGGTTCTTAAGGTTATAACTGAACAGCGTATATTTAATACTTTAGAATATAATAAGAAGAAAAGAACTTGAGAATTTAAATAACTTTTCCGTAAAAATTAGACCAGAACTGAAAATTGCGAATTTTTTTATTACAATTTTGTCAATTTTCTGGGATTCTGTGATTCAATCTTAATAACATTTTAGATTTAGAGAGAAATAATATGAATACACATTTTGCTTTTCTGAACCTTTGATTTTGAGAGAAAAAAAATTCGCGGATTTTCTTTTGGGCCATTGGAGTACCATAAAAAAATTACAAATTTTCAAAAAATATTAGAAAACACCATACAGGAGAGTTGCACAAAAAAGGTACAATTTTGAACCAGGCGCCGCAAATCACACTTTTTTTGACTCACCCTCATCCAATTGATATAAATTGACTGATTGATAGATATTCTGTCCTTAGCGTAGAGAGCAAATGCTTCCACGCATTGAGGGAATTTATCCAGCGCTGATTCAAACTCTTCTACAACCTTGCTGATTCCAGACTAAATAATAAGTTAGGCATCAAATCATATCAGGCTGTTACCCTCCATATATAAACTCTCAATTATTAATATATCAATTCTCTCTACTATTCAAGCTCGTCATAATGTCTGCTGCTATATAACTTTTCTAAATGACGCACTTCCTGCTTACATTCTTAACTTCCTGGCCAGGAACAGCTGATTCCATTTAGTTTTTTTTTCAATTTGCCAAGCGAAGAGGAGCTATGCTGACTTTCTTGCCGCATTCTTTCTTTTTCAAAATCTTTCAAAATCTTCCAAAATCCACAATGAAACCGTGAGCTGCCGCCCAAGTAGCTAGCTATTGTTACTGTAGTGCTCGTAGATTGAGAGAATTCATATTTTTTTGCGTAATGTCCTCTAAAACTCAAAAAATGTAGCAAAAAATAATTATATTTCCCCTCATACTTTGATTTTTTTGTATAGCTTTTAATAAATGATTGTTTAAAGTAAGACTGAAAAAGATAAAAAGAAAAGACTGACCAGTGACCACCTTGTGTTTCAAAGCTTAAGGGAGAATTTTTTTAAATGTTCCTTTTACAGAAGGGCTGATCAAAATTAATTCCCCAAATATTTTAAAAGAATTGATTTCCGCGAAACCTAAAATCTTTAAAAAAAATCTAAATTTATTGTATAAGGAAGAAGACTACTAGTAGTCCTAAAGAAACGATTAGGTTTATGATATTAAAAGTGTTCACATAAAATAATTGCTATCTGAGAATTTTAGCTTATTTTGTAAAAAAAAAGCTATTAATCCTTTGATGAAACTGTTTAAGGGAAAGTAAATCGAAAATGCATTATTAAAGCATAACTAATGTATCTAACCACCAGTTAATAAAATATTAATTAAATCAATCAATCATTATCATAAAACAGAAGATTGCATGATAAGACCAGTTTTTAAAGGAAGAATATGAATATTTTGTTTAATCCATTAATATTTGAGTTTTTTATACATGCTACAGGAATAAATGATCAGTTTTTTTTCAATTCAAAATTCTTAATTTTCTTTTCAATTTCATGTCAAGTTTCTATATGTAAACATTTTAGAATTTTTTATCCCCCCCCCCTGCCCCTTTTAAAGAGAATGTTGACGAAATTTGAATTGAACCCTTTATTAAACAAATGCATGCCAGATTCACTACAGTACCATTCAAATATTTATTTTCCAGCAAAAAAAGAAGATACATTTTTCGATTTTGAATAGTTAGGAATTTCCTTCCTTTTCTCTACTATATAAATCCACTTTAAAATAGAAACCACGCAAACAATTCAAATTTATCAATTTTCAGAAAGAAAAACATGAATATTTTATGTAGGTTGTGAATTGGGCATATACTGCTCGGTAAATAAAAGGCCACTTGAAATAACGGCGACAGTCCCTTTAAAATCAAATTTAAAGTCTTAAATCAGAAACTCATGCTTTATGGTAATATACCTGGTTTCCTGTCTGCTGAGCAGCTAAGAAATCTGTGTACAGTTTTTGAACATGGGCCAGGGCAAAGTCAGGCCTTAAATTATACATTTGTCAGAAGACAATACTCCGTAAATATATTTAAATATTTTAATTTCAACATTAAAGTAATCATAACCCCAATTTCCCGAAACTGACATACATCACCAACTCCTGACATTACATATGACTAAGTAAACCGGGGGTTCTTCTTCCTGGAACGAAAAAACTGGTATTTGCCCATAAGTACGTTGTCCAGGAGTAATTTTCTAGGAAAATTTTATACTCACGTTAAAAATGGTAAGAAAAAGTTTGTAAATAAAGAATTACTGAATATTAAATATACGATCCCTCCAAGCTTTAACGCAAAAACACAAGACAGAATACTCAAAAACCCTATAAACGATCTTCTCAAAAACCGTATAAACGATCTTCTCAAAAACCCTATAAACGATCTACTCAAAAACCCTATAAACGATCTACTCAAAATCCCTATAAACGATCTTCTCAAAATCCCTATTAACGATCTTCTCAAAATCCCTATAAACGATCTTCTCAAAATCCCTATAAACGATCGCATAACACGTTTGTTTTTGCATCGATTTATGTTAGGGCAAATATTTAGCATAATGCAAGAAAATCAAATATTAAGAATGAATAATTTTGAAAACGTTTACTTCTCTCACACTATGCTCAATTTTTCCCCTGAAAGAAAATATGGTTAAAAACCTATCCAAAAATGAATCATACTAATTGACGTTACTACCTGCAATCTGTATGTTTACTAACCTAATTTTACACGCCATGCTAAGATCACTAACAGCTTCATCGAACCTGTCTAGCAGTAGTTTAACCTGACCTCGGTTCATAAATACATCAGCACTCTCAGGTTCTAAATATACCAACAATTATTTCAAGATCAAATTCAAAACTAACTTTTCCAATGGCTGAGTCCGTTCCATAAATGCTAAGTCGTTTCTCTCCTTAGCAACGCATGTTTAATCTTATTTAACCCCGTCCCTTCATTTTAGGATATGGAGGGATTGTATATAAAAAATTATACAGTGGTAGGCGATTATATCAATACAATATGGACAACTTTCGAATTCAATTTTGATTTATATCAAGCTGTTTAACAGCATGGATACACATAAACAAAGAAGTCAAGAGAAGCTGTCAATTGAAAAAGTTTTTCTTTGATTACTTGAAAACCCGTAATTCGAAAAAAAGCTTTTTAACAATCAAAACTTCAATAAAAAGTCGTCTTCATTGTATTGATATAATCGCCTTCCACCGTAGTAGGGTCATTAGTCAGTATGTTTACATACAGTTCACGATAAACTGTCAGATGACCCTTCTTGTCCTTCCTTTTATTCGAATATTACACAGAATGGTTGATGTATTATTTCCTGTACTGCATGTAAACATACGCCCAACTTCCTAATTATAGAGAAATAAATCATCCCCCAAGGAATTTTAAATACCTTTTTACAGCCTGCATAAATCTTAACTTAATTCCTTTGATTCCAAATCAGAATCTGGATCCAAGACTGCCAACTGACAGCAAATGAATAGGTTTTACTTCATCTTGTTGCATGTGTTTTTTCATGATTAAAGAAGTGGCTTAGATGCTTTTATTTGATGAAACATCTTCATGATGATAAAGTTTATACAAAACTTAGCTTCTTATTTACTCTCAATGAGTTTCCTATTCAAGAGAAAAGACTTTTTATTTTGTCCAAAATGTCAGCGTTTATTCTATTCAAGGGACTGTTAGTGATATTTAAAGCGATCCTCCATGTAAAAATGGCCATGTATGATTCACAATGGTACTCTGGAAACCCTTTATCTGATAAATAATGTGGAAGATATTGTCATTTTTCTAGGTTTAAAGGTTGCCCTCAGTCCATTTTGCAAAAAACCTACAACTGAAAATACTCAGCTTTCAAAATCATTCACAAAGCTTTTAAGAGTACCGTTGTGAATCGGGTATTGCCCGAAATTATTTATTTGAAACATATTTCCGAAAGTTACAATGTGCTCAATTATTATTTAGAGGAAATGGTTTCTTAAATAAATAATATTTTACTTACAATCATTTACTTATTCAGTGTACACAACTCAAATTAAACATACAGTACATGAAAAAAAATAACCAACCAAGCATCAATTCGTTGAGATCACGGCTAAGCCCCTTACAAAAATAATTATTACAAGGATAACACGAACAGTTTGATAATGAATTATAGAAAAATAAATTTAGAATCTAAGAAAAAACCTTTTATCAATAATTCATAATCATTTAAAAGAATATTGGAATAAAAATCCAGTTTCTGAATGAATCTTATTCTTTATTAATGCCTACTCTTGAGAGTACTGGTATAAATAATGGATTCAATAAATCTATAATCGAGCAATTACATTAATACAAGCTAGAGGTCAGTAGAACACAGTAATACAAGCTAGAGGTCAGTAGAACACATTAATACAAGCTAGAGGTCAAAGGAACTGATTAATACAAGCTATAGGTCAGTAGAACACAGTAATACAAGTTAGAGGTCAGTAGAACACATTAATACAAGCTAGAGGTCAGTAGAACACATTAATACAAGCTGGAGGTCGTAGAACACATTAATACAAGCTGGAGGTCAGTAGAACACATTAATACAAGCTAGAGGTCAGTAGAACACATTAATACAAGCTAGAGGTCAGTAGATAACATTAATGCAAACTAGAGGTCAGTAGAACACAGTAATACAAGCTAGGGGTCAGTGGACCTCATTAATGCAAGCTAGAGGTCATTAAAACACAGTAATACAAGCTAGAGGTCAGTAGAACACATTAATACAAGCTAAAGGTAGTAGAATACATTAATATAAGTTAGATGTCAGTAGAACACATAGATAAAGATAGATTGCGCATAAGACGACATTTTTCATCTTGAAAGATATAAATGTACAGAGATGTTTTAAAGATATTCCTATTATATAGATTAACTAGGTCGGTTGTGAACATTGGCTGTTCTTATGTCATTGAGTACTTGTGGTGTACATGAGTTCTGTAGAGAGAAATTTAAGTTAGTTTAGTCCTTCTCATGCCCTTCTTCAGTTCTCGTCAATATGATATATTCTCAAAATAAAATTCACTCCTGAGTGGTTTAATAATTATGAAATCCATTAAAACACCAAACCACCCCGCTTATCATTTAAGTACACTTTGACCCCTAGAAGTATGAGTTTGCGGACTGTACAATTCTTGGTGATTTTGCGTACATAAGCTATTTATGTTTATTTTGAATATAAAAAAAATCATTTTGATTAACAATTTATAATCTGGAAAAGATTAAAAAAAGGCCTATAACCCTCCCACATAATATAACAGAATGGATTGAATAAACTGAGTTAGAGAAGAAAGAAGAGATGAAAGTATTGTTTGTTTATACTGGTTCTTCAAATCAAAACCATCCTTTGATCTTAAATGAATAGTTTCCGGACACTCGTAATTTAATTTTAAACAAGAGTTTTCCCTCAAGAAATTCATTATTTCACAAAGGGCATAAAATAACATTCGTTTCTTTTTATTGAAGTATTTTCTAAAATAATGGATTTTAAGAAAAATATACAAAATGTTTGTATAAACATGTTTAGAAATAAATTCTCTTTCTAGCTAAATTTTTTCTTAGTAATAAAAAATGTAAAGAAAATATATTCCTGTTTGATGAACAAAATTTTAAACTTCAATCACCTGATTTCTTGTTCTGTATACTACAATGTTAATAAACCCACTTTATCTCTATATATATTTGGTTTGTCTGGTGTTTTGCCTAAATCCAATAAATCAATCCCGGTTTTGTTGTTGTAAACCCTAACTATTTCTATTTCTAGAAGCAAGGGGCGAGTTAAAAAATTTACATTTTTTCGAAATCCACCAATAAGACAGGAACATATTTAGTTTTGATGTTCCATAAAAATGTAGTATTATGAAAAAACTACGAGAAAGAAGAATCTATAAGATGGCCTGGAAAACATAAAAATCTGCGAAATATTTTAATTTTTGATGTACTAAGAAAATGTGGTTTCATGAAGATTTTGAGAAAACTACGAAAAAGAAGCATCCATAAGCCTAGTCTGACTAAATATTGATACAAAAAATTAATATGATGCAGAAGTATAAGGGATGGCAAGGAAAACATAAAAATCTGCGAAATTTTTAGTTCTTTGATGTAACAAGGAATGTGGTATCATGAAGATTTTGAGAAAACTACAAAAAAAGAAGCAACTTTTATTTTTTCTCCAGATTTTTTATAAAACTAAAAGCAGCTAGTCTGACTGAATATTGATACAACAAATGAATATGATACAGAAGTATAAAGGGATGGCTAGGAATGTTGGATAAATTATCCTGAGGAAAATGGGGGAGGTGGTAGCAGCCAGGGGAATAATAATATAAAAGATATGTTGGAAGAAATGTTGTATAGTTGACAGGGAAATAAAAGGGAAAAGGGTTGGGGGTTGGCTCTACTCCAACACAATCATATCTCATACCTAAACCATTATAAACAACATGCTGCATCCTAGATATAAAAATATACTGGGCACAAGGGACCTTGTGTAGTCAGGGGATTCAACACAAAGAAAAATAGAATGGAAAATACAAAATTAAAATAAAACATAAAAGAATGAGAAAATATACGCAACAGTGTATAGTAAAACAATATATGAAAATTGGATATAATGATGTTAATCGATTTGGTCATTTATGGTTCGTTTTTAGTTCGTTTGTAGGTACATATTTTATCAAGATTTGTTGCTAAGTGATCTCACACAAAGAAACAAACTAACATCTACTTTTTTACTCTACAGGCAGAGGTTTGGTCCATCACCATCAACGAATTTTATATCTACCTGAGGCCGAATTTAAAGAATTTGAGCCACGGCTTAAATTTAAGCCACGGCTCAAATATGGTTAGTTCCACTAAAAATTGTATTACATTTTTAAGAATTAAGCCGGCGTTCAATTGAAACCGGTTTTTAGGGGATTTGAGACGCGGATTAAAATCATTAAATTCGGACACTGTACCCTAATGGATCCTATAAATTCCTTATAAAGTAAATACTAGAGGTTTGGTCAAAACTGCAACATACATAAATTCATATCATTTCGGGTCAACATTTGGCTTAGTGTAAGAAAAGCAAATATTTCCCGAATTGTTAATTCTAACATCTTTTAACACTTTACCATATTTTGACTCTAAAAGAAGAAACAAAGACGAATGTGTAAAATAATCTGTTTTTGGTTTTTAAATTAAAATATTAAATAGTTTAATAAAAGTAAACTTTAATCGAATACAAAAATTCCTCCCCTCCCCAAAGGGGGGGGGGGGAAATAGACACCCCTATTTCTAACAGAATCTAAGTGTTTTCCATGATAATGGCCATCAATTATATCTTATCTATTAATCTAATTGAATGTTAAGACACTGCCAAATCTGAATACTTCCTTTTGATAAAGAAAATATGATTGGGTAAATCAATTCTACATTCATTTGTCTTGCCTTTATATCTACTGGAGAGAATTAAAATCTAACATGAAAATGCCTGAGTTTGTTTAAGGTCACCAAAGAAACTCACCTTAAATCTTAATTTTATAGTACTTTTAACTTTGCCACCTATTTTTTTAAACTATAAATTTAGCTTGATCAAATAGTCAAAGTTTGATATTTCAAAGGTCTAAAACATGAGGTTGCCAAGAAATAGATATTAGATGAGAACTTGTGGTGAGTAATATGAATCTATTTTAGCCTTAAACGTCAAGTTTCGATCACATTTCAATTTAAAAATAAAGAAAGCTTTCTTACCAACGACTAAAGCTGCGTCAAAATCTGCAATACTAGCTTCAGCATCTTTTACAGGATCTGAACAATTCAAATTAGTTAATTTTATATTTTAACTAATCATTAGATAAGATATGGGATAGAAGTTTAAAACCTTTTAAGAACTATTTCTGGCAAAACTACTCTATATATATCCTTGTTTTCTATCTGAAAATTGATACTTTATCAGTTGCTTTTTCACTTGCAAGCTTATGAAGCAGAGCAAAGAAAGAAATTGTAACTTCATTTTTTCTCAGAAAAGTAGGCATCATTGAAAATCGTGCATTTAACATGTGCTCACTTGAAATTAATTATATTATATATAAAAGCCAAGACTAATCACCTTGACACTTCTGAATATGCAGTGCTCCACGTTTAATGAGTGCGTTGACCTTCACTAGAGGTTTCTCATCAGATTCATTTACAACATCACTAGATTAAAAAACATCATGGGCGGTTAATTATTTTTAACGGTTTTTTCCTGCTGACTTTAGGAAAATAAATGATTTTTGGGTCACAAGTATCAAAAAGAATGAAAAAACTTGCCTTTTGATGTCCCATTTTACATTTTTTCCCCCAATTCATCAAAAACTCTTTCTTAAACCCCCCCCCCCCCTGCCCGGGTGTTGTACTGAAAAATATAAGTTGCAGAGATGCGCATTTAAACAGCTGTTCATTAAATCTGGTCACTGATTGTATAAACCTTTGATATTTTAAACCTTGACTTTTAGATCAAGCAAAACATAAGTTTTAAAAGGTCTTTCAGTTAGGCTGGGCGTGTTCCTACTTTTTTTTAAATTGTTCTGTTCGTTCATGTGAATGAAAAATCGTTCCACAGGAATGGTGCCTATCTCTATTTTTCAGGTTGCAAATATATCAGAATAAGAAAAGTAGAGATTTAGGCGCGAATGTACTTAGTTATGTTTATTATAAAAAAAGTTGATATTAATTTTTTTAGTCACTCTCCTGGTTATGTCCCTTAAACTAGAAAACCATGCAATTTGTGTGTTTTATTATGAAATTAACTCAAAATACAATGAAGATTAAGCACCATATAATGTTGGAGTTAAAAGGAGTGATTGGCTATGTAAGGTAGTTGAACTGAGTATGCAGTGTTGTGGAAAACTTCTTTCGGATTCATTTGAGACATATTAAACTTTCTAAAGATCTGCAAATCCTGGGTTTGAGCGCAAATTCGACGTTCAAAACTCCTACTTTGGGGGTGGATACGTTTTCAGAATTAGTTTTTTTAAATTATTAAAAAACGACAACGACAACGAAAAATCATACAGTAATCTTAATTAGATGGTTAGGAACATATTTCTCAAAAGAAATTTGGCAAAAAATCAATGCTAAAATCGATTATTTTGTTTTCATTATATCTTCTATTTAAATTGTGAACATGTTCTTTTTGTTTACATTTTAAAACAAAGAAGAAAACTTTTTTGCGGATTTTTAAAAGAAATTCTCGGATTTTCAAGAATTTAATTTTTTTACAAAATTAAAAACCTTTAAAACACATTTTTTTTATTTTTATCATTCATAAACCTTCCCTGTGGTCACGTGATGTCCCACAAAAAATTTGGGCCCGATCGGTTCAGCCGTTTTGACGTTTATTGGATACAAACAGACAGACAAACAAACAGACAGACAAGCCAAATTTATATATAGATTTACTATCAGCAGCTGAGAACTCGGATATCAAATCCAGTGTGAACTTAATGGAAATATCATTACACATTTCCAATAGAGTAAATAATATCATGGATCAATTAAATTAAAAGAGAAGAGACAATTTGTGGAATTCTGAATTCATGAAAATTAACTACAAATGAATATGAGCTTTTGGTAACAATACAGCACATATCAATTATTTTATTATACCCACAGCAAAACGATCTGGCGTGAAATAACGTTAAGCGGGAAAAATCCAAATAATAAAGGTTTTTGTTTACTTCAGTATTTGCATGGCTGGCTCGTGCTGCTTACTGAGGATAAGAAAAGTCGCCTTCGTCAGTTTGGCCTAAAATATATTTAAAATATATTTAAATAATTCTCAAAAACAAGGCCCTGTTGACTATTATAAAGGAACGGAGTTTTAGGATCCATCTAATTTTGATGCGGATCCGGATTCCCACTGGAAAAAAATAGAACGACTCCAAATCGTATCCTGATTTAGGTCATGAACATTTCTTGTAGATTTACTGAATTTTTTTAACAAAGCAGAATTGTCAAATTATCTTTCTTCTTTTATGTGCTTATTTCTATGCTAAAAATTGATGAACCATTCTGAGATTTATATAAATTCTCTTTTTTTCAACAGTTCAGATTTGGTTTTTGAGAGGAAAATATATTTTTTTTGCAGTTTTTGGTTTATAATTTTCCCCTAGCTTGGATCCAGATCCGTATCCAGGAAGTTAAAATCTGGCGGATCCAACGGATCCGGATCCTAAGCACAGGTACAGACTAACAAATTTTAATATCTATATTTTTGAAACCTAAAGGTGTAACTGTAAACCTTTCATATTTTAAACTTGGACTATTTGATCTAGCAGAATTCATAGATCAAAATATCTCGTTGTACAGACAAAGGGATTAAAATATCAACGTTTGTGGCAAAAACTCCATTCATTTGGTAGATTTACGAGTTCCATTTCTGTCATCTTCTTTCTACTTTAAAACTTTCTCAGATCCCTGAGGGGAGAAGGAAGGAGATTTGAATAATTAATTTTTTACAAAACTTTACTTTTATAAGATCCAAACCGCAACCCCGGCCTAAAGGGGATGTTATATTAAAATCAGCATAATGAAATATAATTCTTATAGACTCCCAAATAATGTTTTTGTTGTCATAAAAGGACATAACCCATTTCAAGAAATTATTTACTTCTCATGAAAAATGGAAAACATACAAAATCGTTCAGAGCTGAAAACTTTAAAATGGGATATCTTTAATCCCAATCGGTTTATTAATCTGGAGATTAATAACAAGAAGAACAAGCATTATTTAATCTCGAGGTTAAGAAAAGGAGTGGATCAAGCCTTAATCCCGATATCCACCATTCAAAAGTTCCCAGCACTGGATGATTTGATCAACTATTTCCCTTAACTCAATACTTCTAAAGTGTGAAATTGATAAAAGAAAATTTCAAAAGTCATTTTGGAATTATTGCTCGAATATTTCCAAAATATTTTAAAATTACTCCGATATTTTCAGATTAAGAAAAACATGTCATTAAGAAATCTTGTTTAATGTTAGAGCAATATTCTTAAGGATTTGACAAGAAATAATTACTTCTTATTTGTTGGCATCAAGTTAAATCTAATGCTTAATGATAAAAAATGTTGGTTTAAAAATATAAATATTTTATAGTAAAATTCTTACTTCCAGAGAATGTGGAAGGGTTTGGTTTATCTCTTGGTCACATTTTTCTATTATTTTCTCAAACTCCTCCTGTGCACACCAGAATACAATATACAAATTCATTCAAAAACATTCAAAATTCATCAAAAGAACCCGTGGCAAGTAAGACATTTTGTAATATCTCTTTCAATATTAATAGCAGCCGGTTCTATTTTTGAATGTAGACTCATATAATTTGTTAGGAGCAGGATATGAAGTCAGTTTGTCGATATCTCTTTCCGGAGTCTTGGAACCTCTGAAAAGTGACCTCCGTCGGCTCCGATTTTTTATCTCCGGCCTCTATGATCCCCTCGAAATGACCTCCAAGGCCTCGTGACATGCAGATTCACCTCCAATCCCTGTAAAACCGTCTCTGTGTCTCTACCTAAGTCTTCAAGTTTCAGCCCAACATTTAGATCTCTGCTTGCTGTTCTTGAATCCACTATAGTTTTAAGGATCGTTTAATCAACAAGTTAAAAAAAATAATTCATTCAATTGATTAAAACTTGTTTTCTTGTGAAAAGTGTATTCAAAGCATACGATTAAGCACAAATTCCATTATTTCACTAAAACAGTTTTGTTTTGTGAATTGGTGCTCATATAGTTTGATTTTTACACACAGCAGGTTATTTCAACTTTAAGAGACAATTTTAAGTCATCAAATAAAACCAAATCCATGTCGAAGTAGGGGTTATGGAAATTAGATAAACGTTGAAATAAAAATAAATCCATTAAAGGCTTTTTTGAGGAATTCACTTTTATTTTTTTTTAAATCCTTCAAAAATGGAAGGCAACATTTCCGAAACTTTTGTTTCTTCTCCGATCTAGTTGAACATCGTTGAAGTAAAAAATATTCAAAAATGTAGCTTACAAACAAATTTTCAGACATGTTGATTGAAATATAGAGATCTGAGAGCATATTTACTGTTCTCTTCCTTCTCATCCCACTCTTTTATCTCATTCTTCTCGTCATTTCATCATGTACTCATCTTTCTTATCTTTTTCACCCTAATCCTTCTCTTACTTCTTACCCTTCTCCTACTTCTTATGCTTCTCACCCTTCTCATAATTCTTACCCTTCTTATCCTTCTCGTTCTTCTTACCATTCTCACCCTTCTCCTACTTTCTTACCCTTCTTATCCTTCTCATACTTCTTACCCTTCTTATCATTCTCATACTTCTTACCCTTCTCATCCTGTCTTTCTCATCCTCTTCATCCTTTTCATCCTGTGCTCATCCTTTTAATCATTCTCATCCTTCTCATCTATCTCATCCTTTGCTCATCCTTTTTATCCTTCTCAATCTTTAATTGTCATTATCATCCTTCTCAGCCTTCTCATCATTCTTATCTTTCTTGAAATGACGAGAAGAATGAGATATAAGTGCAGGATGAGAAGGATGAGAACAGTAAATATGCTTTTATATCTCTATTTTTCAATAAACATGTCTGATAGTTTGCATGCACTTAGAAATGGAATTGGTTTTATTTGATGACTTGAGATTGTCTCTGAAAGTTGAAATAACTTGCTGTGACATGAAAAACCTGAAAATAATTCAAAATTTCTCTATCTTTATGTAAAACTACAATTTCAATCTACAATTAAAGAATTTGTGTAATATAGAAAACAAATATAAAATTCTTAATCTCAATTAGAACTAACTTTTCAATACAAATTATTAAAAACTATTTTATCATGTCGAGGTTGTTCGAAAAAAAGTAATTTTTGTGGATGTAAAACCCAAAAAACTTTTATTGAAGACCAAAATATGGGCGTAGAGAGAGAATGGCGGAGGCTTTGAGACGCAGCGAAAGGCGCGGAGACAGTTTGCAGCGCTTGGAAGTCATTCTGCGTATCAGAAGGCTCCGGAGGTCATTTTACGGGGCTTGTCGCGGCCCTTCCACACTAAAAACACTAATATTATAAAAAAAAGAGATTTAATATTTTTAAGTATTATGCTCATGGTTCCTTTTTGTAGTGATTCTTAGCATCGAAATATGGACCACTTCCTGAAATATTGATAAAAACTTATAACTTTACAGAAAAAGGAAAACACTTTCTGTCCTGTAATTTTAGAAATATTAAACATCAAAGACCTACATTGTCAGTGTTTTGGACCTTGGTTAACTCGCTGAAAACTGAAGAACTATACAATTATAAAGTGTGTCCTGCTAAACATGATATTTTGAAGACGACCAAGAATGCTATTGAATATGGATTCCTACCAACAAAAAATACCAGATCTTAATTTTATGTAAAATATTGCTCACGAGTAGTTTTCATCACAATAAATCCAACTAGAGGACTTTATAATTATTACGTTTTATACTTGGTTTGTTCGTGTTTAAATTGGCATGTTTCGTGGGACACACTGCAGGTAAAGCTGGCATTTCTTAACATATGTTAACTTCTTATTTTATAAAAAGGGAATGAAAAAAGAATGTGAGCAAATATATAAAAAAGTTAAAATCAGTCTCATTTGGCCGTAACATCGTATGTTTTTAGTGAAGAGAAATTATATTTATTACCTTGTTCATCACTCATAAATGGATCCTGAAAAAAAAACTTTTATTTATGATTTTATTTAAAAACTAGTTTGTAAAATGTAAACCCAGCTGTGCTTAGTAATAAAATGTTTTCTCTCCGTTTGAAATCTTGAAATAAAATAAGAATATTCCCGTGGTTCTACCGAGTTTTACAATCAAAATTTGAGGCCAATCCGTCCAGGTTTATGATCGGATATACAAAAAAACTCACAATACTACTTTATATTAAAAAGAAACCTTTTTTCCAGTTGTCCAAAAATGTAAAACCTGAGTAAAGGATGTGAAGTATTGAAGAATGGTGTGGGCTGAGGGTAGATCAGGAATCCTGTTCTTGGAGGCCAAAACAGCCTCAGCACTACCTAGACAAACATATTAGAGGATACAACAGCCTCAGCACTACCTAGGCAAACATATTAGAGGATACAACAGCCTCAGCACTACCTAGACAAACATATTAGAGGATACAACAGCCTAAGCACTACCTAGACAAACATATTAGAGCTTACAACAGCCTCAGCACTACCACAAACATATTAGAGGATACAACAACCTCAGCACTACGTTGACAAACTAATTAGAGGATACAATCGCCTCAGCACTACCTAGAGGAATATATTAGAGGATACAACAGCCTCAGCACTACCTAGAAAGATACATTAGAGGATACAAAAGCCTCAGCACTTCCTAACAAACATATTTGAGGATACAATAGCCTCAGCACTACCTAGACAGATATATTCGAAGATGCAAAAGCCTTAGCACTTTCTAACAAACATATTTGAGGATAGAATAACCTTAGTCCTACCTAGACAGATATATTAGAGGATACAAAAGCCTCAGCACTTCCTAACAAACATATTTGAGGATAAAATAGCCCTAGTCCTACCTAGACAGATATATTTGCGGATACAAAAGCCTCAGCACTTCCTAACAAACATATTTGAGGATAAATAGCCCTAGTCCTACCTAGACAGATATATTAGAGAATACAAAAGCCTTAGCACTTCATAACAAACATATTTGAGGATACAACAGCCTTAGTCCTACCTAGACTCATTAACAAAGCTTAACTTTAAAGATAAAGATAAAAAACAGGGAAAAGCAGGCAATTTGTGAAGGGTATGGGGGGGGTCAGTGTACAATGTACACTCTTGAAAAAAAATCCTAGGCAGGTTTAGGACAAAACAAACTGAAATAACAGAGATGAGGATGATATTTAATAATGTTTAAAAATATGAAACGTAAAGTTGAACGCCAGGAAAGTTCATGCTTTACCAAGCTCTCGAAGCAATTCGTCGACGAACATGATTTGATCCTGTCGGTAGCCGGTTAACTGGCAGCACATTGACATATCCTGAACAGGCACAGGTCAGAGTTAGCAACTTAAAAGCATTGATACAGTGTGTTCCAAAAAATATAGGAATTGAGTGACGATTTATGGATAGAGTTTAATTTTAATTTAGTATTTTGCAGAAAAAGTCCATCTTCCATTGTTTTGTCCATAAAGTATATAAAAGAAATTTTCCAAGTGGAAAAAAATATTTGGAAAAATGTTTTCTGTAAAGTAAATATTACCTCAAGAGCCTGTCTGAGATATTCTGTCTTGAGATTTAGGTTTTCATCTCCTCCCGTCAGCTTCCCTGCTAGCTTACGGAGAACCTTAGCACGCCGATCCAGAGCCTTCACGTACCTGTAAAGTGTACAATGTACATGCGTATTGTGTGTATAAGGTATATTTTGCAGAATACCTCCCACCTTCCATAAATTAATATATGTTTAACCAATGTTAGAACTCGCATTAAGAAAACTTTCAAAAGTTGACAAAATTAACTTTTAAAAAAAAAAACCCCCCCCCCCCTAAATTGTTCACTATCTTTCAAGAGAGAATTGGGAAGTGGAAAGATTATTCAAGAACATCACTAATTTTAAAAATACATTATTTAAAGTTTACTTCATTCTTATTGTCAAACTGTCAAGTTGCACTTTTATGATTATGATAATTGTTTAATCAGTAAACCAAAATTTACTCGTCCGAAATTTATCGTAAAAAGACTTTTTGTTCATAACCGTAAGTTCAAATTACGACACAGTCTCTTTAATTCTAGCTGTATATATTAAGCCCACCTGTTATTACACTTCAAAGAACTGTCGCAATCTCTTCTTGCTTCCTCTAACCTTTCCAATCTTTAAAATAGGAATTTTAAATTGATTCACAGGATAAAACTTTTTAAACCCTTAGGGTCTGTTCTAGTGAACGATTTTTGGACCCCCCCCCAGGCCCCCCCTCCTATCAATTTTGTACATGACCAAATTAGGTTTTATTTAGCATTATTTAGGGTTAGGTTAGAATAAGACACTTTCTGGGTCGAACGCTGCGGCTAGGATGGGCAAAGGGGCCGAGCGCTGCGGCCACGGGTTAGGTTAAGTAGAGACACTTTCTGTAAGATCCATGTACAAAATTGATAGGAGGAAAATGATAGGAATGGGGGGGCCCAAAAATCGTTCTCTAGGAATATACCCCCCCCCCCTTATTCTATAAATTAAGTTCATCTAAATATTTGAAAATTAAATTTTAAATATTAAAATTTGCCGTTTAAATGTATGTTTTTGATCCTAAATTATAGTTTGAAGAAAAATATTAAATTTAGTGCATGCACCTCATATGTAACACATGGTCTTAGTTATACATGAGGCCGCAGCGCCCGGCCCATTTAACATGTCCTAAACGCAACGCTCGGCCAGGAAATTGTCTTATCCTAACCTGACAGGATAGGGGTGTCCAAATATCGTATGCTGTAGTTCTAATATTTTATAGATTTAAAGAATCTTATATAAGTTGAATTGAATAAGGATAATTTCCTAGTCGCAGCGCTCGGCCCAGAAAGTGTTAACCATAACCTAACCCTACATAAATACTAATTTAATTGAAACTTGTTGAAAAAGTGGTCATGTACAAAATTGACAGTATGGGGGGGGGCCCGGGGGGGTCCATAAATCGTTCTCTAGTACGGACCCGAATTAGGTTTAATTAACTGACGTGAAATAATATAAATTCCATTCCTTTCGTTAGTAGCTGCCATATTTTGATGCATCACCGACAGGTCACTAAGCCTGGAATAAAAAAATCATGACATTGCAATGATAAATCGTATCGATAACGTATTATTTGAAATATAAAAAAGTATTTACTTCTCAGGCGGGCACACATTTATAGCCTTCTTATAATATTCAATGGCGGCTTCGAATTCATTTTTCTTGTAACACTCGTTTCCCTCCTGTTTGAAAGCTAGAGCCGAGTCTAAATTCTTTTCCACCATAATTTCAGTAATTTTTCACGAGAGTTGAGAGACTGAGATGTTTTGGTTTTATTTAAAGCAGACGAGAATCAGCTGATTTAGCCGCGTACGTCGTCTTCATTAAAGCAGCTGTTGCTTAGAAAATTTAAGAACATACCTTTTTAAGATTTTTAAGGAAGGTTTCGTTAAACTCGTTAAACTACAGAGTGTCCCACGAAACATGACAGTATGCAGGACGACTTAAATGTCGTCTTGATTTTTGATATAATTTGCTGCGTTTATTTGTCAACCTAATTTTAGAAGTAAATTTCTAGAGAAAATAATCACAAAATTTCCCTTGTCCTGCCATTTCCAAAATGTGGTCTGACTTTTTTGTGCTTTCAATATTGCCGGAGATATAAAGAATTTCGTTCAGATTTCGACAATTTTGCTTTTATTTAAGAAAATTGAAATCTGAACCAAACTCTTTATATCTCCGGTAATATTGAAAGCACAAAAAACGCAGACCACTTTTTGGAAATGCCAGGGCTAGGAGAATTATGTGATAATTGTTTCAAGAATCATACATGTTAAAGTAGATAGAAGACTAAATGTCACAAATAAATTCAAATACCAAAGACGACTTTCAAGTCGTCTTCCTATTGTCATGTTTCGTGGGACACCCTGTACGATTTATAAAATTGGGAACATTTTTTGCTACGCCCCTCCCTGAATCTGTTAGGGGGTGGCGAATGTCCCCCCGCCACCCCCCTGTATCCGCCCCTGGGTATCTTACTGGGAATTAATCTGCATTGGGGGCACGGGCCTACGTAGGAGTTAATCCAAGGGCGGGGGCAGGTCTTTCAAACCCAACAGAAAGTTTTAAAAGCCAACGACCACCCCTGGACAAATTTCTGTTTATTTGCACTAAAGCTCATAAAAAGCATATGGAAAAACTGGCTAAGCGTATTTATATATATATATAAAAAGATAGATTTTATGTTTGGGCATAATCAGAGTTGGTACAGTACGTCTTATGTTTCTTTCTTGTATAGTGATCACTATTGCAGTAATTTAAGAAACAATTACTTTATGCTTTACCTCAAGCAGACTTATCAAACGTCAATAATAGGTTTTTAACATGAAAATCAATTTAACATTAAAAACCAAAAAGTTAAATTTCCAGAATTTATTCTTTTTTCTTTATTTAACTTTTAGGCAAATCATTTACTTTTCACTTGCACACAGGTTATTTTCAAATAATATTTATATATTATATATTTTAAATTTGTCTTCACAATTTCTGATTTTTAGAACTCAAGTCTGGCATGGAAATATCTATACAATTTGCTTCATGTTTGAAATTGTTCTAAACATATATATAAGTATACAATAAACACTTTAAATTTGATTAAAGTATTTAATTTCCATTTATTCAATTGACAACTATGTCGATTGTTGAATTCCGATCTTAAAGTTAGCGTGATAAAATAAATATAGCTGAATAGTAAAATTAACAGAGGTAGATTAACAGTCAAATTAACGTAATTTAGAGATGATTAGAATTGAACTAATTAGACTAAACCAAATGCAGGTAACTAGTAAAGTTAGCTTAATTTCTGGTGATCAGTCAAGTAAACAATTTTAGGTAATATTTCAAATTGTCTAAATGTGGTGATAATTCAAGTTAAATAAATGCTTTCAGTTCTTCAACTTTACAATTAAAGATGTGAGATTATGTCTGATCCAAGAGGTTGCATTTACAATACTATGATGGTTAATGGAAGAAATAAATTGATCAGAGAATTTTGATCAATCTCTCGGATACTTTTCTTTTTGATTTGGTCAAGGATACTGAATAGTGTACAGGATCTCATGTGACTCCTCTGGATGGAGAAGAAGTGGATTATCTATCCCTGTATTCCTGAGTACCCGGAGCCGATCAGTCTCTTGAACTGCGTCAGGAAGGATGAAATTAGGATCATCTCCATCCTGGAGAATACCATGGACCTCTTGAACTACATCCTCCAGTACTTCACACTCAGACTCTCCTTGGAGCATCTACAATATTATTATCAAATATTTTTTTAGCGTCTTTTTTTACAAAGTACACAATACTTTGACTGTAGGTTGAATGTTCAATGTTCATAACATAAACAATAACAGAATTGTGTACTTTTCTCGCATGTCACACATCTCCATCATTAAAAAAATAATTTACGGGGACCTGATTTACTTGATTTTTTTTCAAAAGCTCCNCCCCCAACAAAACATATGTTAAAATATCTCGTTGCTTTTTTTTCCCCCCCCCCCCCCCCCCCAACAAAACATATGTTAAAATATCTCGTTGCTTTTTTTTTGCTGATTTGAGTTTTAAAGGGAAATAAAGGGAAACCCATTTTTTTCAGAATACATGAATTGGTGGGGGGAAAGTAACATAAAACTTAGTGAAAGGTTTGCACGTTGGCATCTCTATTATCGTCTTGAAGGTCTAAAAATATAAAATAAAAAAAAATCCTGGAATAATTCACAGAAAGTTGTTTAAATTTTAACCTGGTTTTTATGAGAAGGAACTCCTGCAGAGAGTAGAGGAGAAGCATGATGTTGACTAGTGCTGTAGTCCTGAAGACGCTGCTCTCCAGGCTGGGGGACTACAAGGGGGGAGGAGTGAGCAACTATCAGGGGGGATGGATGGGGGATAACAATGCAATTTGTAGTTTCTCCATCCAAGGTAAGAGATTCGTTTCCCTGGATTAAAATAAATGTTAACTTTTAAATGATTTAATTTGAAAGCAATTAGAATTTGAATTTGAATTAACTCTTACCGAAGACTCATGAATGAAATACATGAAAGATTGGTTTTTGTCTTGATCCAGCAGAACAGTCTCAGCTGAAACATTAATTTAATATTCATACATCATCGTCCAACTTTAACATGCTGGAATGTATTATCAAATCTCTTAAACTTCAACGACAAATTTTCAGTATTTAACTTTAATAAAAAATGAAAACTGTTTTAAAAGAAAAACGTAAATATTAATCTTATCATATCGGATCTGATTATCAAAAATTGTATTATCTAATGGGACTGTCGCTGTGATTTTTAGTGACCTTCCGTTTAAAAATGGGAATGCCCGATTCACAACCTTATAACCTTTATTTGATCAATTATGTAGAAGACATTGTCGATTTCTTGCTTGAGAGTGTTAAAATCTAAAAATTTCCTCCATTGTTCTGCAGGAGAAATGCGCTGGTCATTTTGTTTATTCACAATTAAATCAATTTTAAAAAAGAAAAATGATGAATATTACTTTTAAATCGTTGTGATTCGGAAGTGCAACTTTTAGACTTTTTAAACAGAGTCACTTTAAGCACTAAAAGAAAGTAGACAATCAGACGGATGATGACTAATGAGGAAAAGTAACCTTGTTCTTTCTTCTGCTTCTTGTTATGAATAATCATGTGTTTCTTCAAATTCTCTTTTGTTGAAAAAGTAGTTTTACAAACACTACACAGAAATCCTAAAAAAGGGATCTTTTATATATTTTTCACTTATTTGTCAATGTATTATACAAATTTCAAGCCATTTTTAAACTTAATGATAAAAATGTAAATAATGATAATAATAATAATGATGTTTATATTATAATGAGAATATCATTGATGATTTAATAAAAATTATAACAATGATCAGGCCTGTAACCAAGGGGGTTGCAAGGGGTCAGGTGCCCCCCCCCCCCCCCTGCTCTTAAAATGGGGGTCCAACGACCAACTATGAATATAGTGAATAGTGAATATAGGGTCCGAAACAATTGTTTAATAAAGCTGTTCACTCAACCAACCAAATAAAACCTTTTTTGAAAAAATATTTGTCCTGAGGTAAGATTTTCTGATAGAACTGGTTTGTCGTATTTTCGCATATGTTAATAAACATACATATATGGTACAAGTAACAAATAGATAAATAATATGTTCCAGTATGCATCAAAAATTCATTCCTTAAATTTTGAAGAAACTAGTTACCTCAGTTTCTTTAGTTTGACCATACTTTTCAAAATTTGTGAACGTGAGAAGTAAAATCAAGATTATCAGTATTTTCTGTATTATCAGTATTGTAAAATTAGAGATAAAACTAAATTATGAAAATGTTCTGTATACCATACAAAACATCAAATTCAGGGAAAATCGAATTTTCACTGTAGCATTAAGTTCAAAAATTACTGATGTTGTTGAAAAATTAGAAAATATTTTACTAGTTCTCATACCAAAACTACACAAATTTGCTGTGCAAGGGGGGCTCTGGCCCCGCCTCGTTCACTACGTTTCACTCGGTCCTAAACCACCCCTCTTTGCAACCCTCTTGGATAAATTCTGGTTACGAGCCTGATAATGATGATGAATAGGATAATAATGATAATGTTATTAATTACCCTCCAAATTCTGATGAAGGTGTTGATGCTTTCTTAAATAATCATTTCTAGCAAATGCTCTTCCGCATACATCACATTTAAATGGTTTCTCTCCAGTATGAATTCTAGTGTTTTAATCATGAATCTAATAGTAATAACTTTAACACCCATTCAACCCTAACCTACATACAGAAATATTCGTACTTTTGCCCTATAAAACATTCTTTTTCTCCTGTCCCAAAAATGTCTATTGGAGAAAATATTTCTTAACCTTTTTTTAGTGCAGAATTTTAATTATTATTTCAAGCAGTACTTTATTTAATTGAAGATTTAATCCAAGTTGTATAAAATCTATGAGTACAAATCCCCCCCCCCCAAAAAAAAATCATTTAATAAACATGAATAAGAATTCCTTGAGTGTTTCGCTAAATCGTTCTTTTGCATAAATGATTTGTTGCATTGATCACAGTTATATTTAGTTACTCCGTCATGGTATCTTAAATGCCTGAAAACATGAGAAAATTATCTATATATCTATGATCCATATATATAAAGGTGTAATCTCTGTTGTTTGTTTGTAAGTCCGATCATAACTCAAAACTGATTTACCTAAAATTGTCATTGAGATACTCGGTAGAACAACAGGAATGTTCTTCGCTTGGTTTAAAAATTTCAAGTTAAGTGAGTTAACAGAAATTTTACATTGAAAGTTTAGTTTCCAGGCATTGCTGGGTTCCCATGCTAATAGATTAATATAATAGCTTTTGAACCAAGCTCAACACATTCCCGTAGTTCAACACAGTTCTGTAGTTAAATTTGAGGCAAATCAGTCGAAGGGTTTATGAGTTATGATCGATAATAAAAATAGTTAATACCACTTTATGTATATATATAGAATAGATATTGTCTGTCAGATTATTTGTTGGTTTGTTTAGATCCAATAAACAAGACAGCTGAACAGATCACATCCAAATGAGCTTTTGAACTTTTCAGGGTCGCATACTTTAAAAATTACCTATAATACCAGGAAAGTTGGCAAAAATTGTGTGTTTTTAGTGTCCTTATTTTTTTTTTCAGGATAAAACATTTTGAAAAATATTTAATTTCAGAATTTCTTCCTGAATATATTTGCGGCTGAAATCTTCCAATCCTCGTATATCCTTGACAATGACATCATGTCCTTTGATTGTTCAGTAGATTAACCTATTCATTGACTCAGTCAAAACACAGTTTTTATAACTTTTCATTGTTTAATGTCTCACTGTTCTTTAACCTAGAAATGGTGAGTTTATTTCTCATAATTAAAATTGACATTACATCCTGTATTTTTTAGGTTTTTCTAGTCTTTCTTTGCTTTACCCTGATATGTATTTTAACAAAAATATTCAGTACTAGCCTTAGCGCCCATCTTCTAAATTAATTGTGAACATGTTCTCTTTGTGTACATCGTAAAACAAAACAAAATAATTCGCGGATTTTCACAAAAAATTTCGTGGATTTTCAAAATTTTAAAAAATTTAATGACGATCAAATTTTGATTGAGACAAATATTTAAAATTTCAATCATTCATAAACCTTCCCTGGGGTCCCTAGATGTCCCACAAAAAATTTGGGCCCGATCGGTTCAGCCGTTTTGACGTTTATTGGATACAAACAGACAGACAGACAAACAGACAGACAAGCCAAATTTATATATAGATAGGTAGTATCACTTTGTATAAAATCTATATATAATAAAACAAGACCATCGTATATATATATATATATTTTCACCTATAGCTGGCCAAACGGCTGGACCGATTGAGCTGAATTTTTTTGTGGACACTCATGGGCAGCCGGGGAGTGTTAAAGGCTAAACAAATTTCGAAATTTTTTTCAGCATTTTTGTTTTCAACATTTTTTTCCACGAGCAACGCCATGCCCTTCAGCTAGTTACATATATTTTATAAATATCGCAGAAAATATATAACAGCTATATAATGTAAAAAGCAATTTTGTAAAGCTTCTCATGGGGTAACTCGTCGCCAGTTTATGTTATGAAGAAGAATGCTCTGAAGTAAAGTAACATAAGCAGTTGAAATTATTAGAAAAATGACGCAGAGCGTACAGTAAGCCTTGTTAACAAATAAAACTTTTACCACTACTAACCTTAATAATAAATGAGAAATAGAGAATCGGGCCCCGCATTGTTTACAAGCGTACGGTTTCTCGCCAGTGTGACTTCTCTTGTGATTTTTTAATTCCTTCGGTTTAGTAAACGTTTTCTCACAATCATCACAAGAATATGGTCGTTCCTTATTATGCACTGAACGAACATGCTCTCGATATCGGGAACAAACTAAAACATTTCAAATAAAAATTTAAACTTCGATTTTGTTTGTAGAAATAAATTAACTAGTGATAAAAAATGACCTATATCTTTGGGGCAGAACTCACAACGTTGAACTTCTATCACCTGATCATTGTTATTAATCAATCAATTTAGCTCAAAAAACAAAATCTTTGCTCTTGTTCAAATTTACGATAAAACAGTGAACAGACCGGGCAAACTAGAACGAGGTGGGGAAGGCAAACCGCACCCGTATAGCTTCCATCCCGCAATTTACTTACAAACATAGACACCAGATATAACACAGTATTGCGTGCAATTCATTTTTAGATTAACTAAATCTATTTTTCTATCTATCTGTATGATTTTAGATTGTTTAAAACCTGAATCGCGGGCAAAACTGCGTTATTTCTGGTAGATTGAATTTCTCCTTACCTTCAAAAACATTTCTAGAGAAGAATAACAGAAACCGAAATGTACAAAATATAACATTTTAGGAGGAAAATGCAATAAATCACAGTTTTAACAAAAGTTTAACTATTGCCCTAGTGAGCAAGAATGTTTGCTTATTTTACAAAAAAAAATATGATTAATATGTTTCGGTTAAAATGGATGCCATGACGTCTTTAAAATCTTAAATTAAAGCTGCACTTCTCTTTAATAAACTTTCAAAAGTAAAGACATTTTGCCGGAAGATATATGGGTGCGGCTAAGGAAGCGATACGGGTAAGCGCTAGGCCTCAAGTTTATGTTTGTAAGTAAATTGCGGGATGTAAGCTATATGGGTGCGGCTTGCCTTCCCCCCCCCCCTCCTGGACCTTGTGCACTGTGCACTATGCAGTTGTGGTTTAAACCTGGAAACGGGGTGTACATAGATTTTCGAAAAATTACTACTATCCCCCTCCTTGAAAAAAAATTCATTTTTTCCCAAGATGAAAAAAGATATAAGTTTTGGATAAAAAAGAACCACTTATAAAGAGTAAAACTGAAAACTAATGAAGAAAAAAAAAACACATCTAAAAACATATTTCTAAAAAGTACATTCTACTGCGAGAAAACCAAATTTTAAGACATGATTTAACATCCCTTGATTCCATGAATAGATTCTGAATGCAGTTTAAACTCTGATCTCCATCTTTAAAATTGATTCAAATAAATAAATTGTTGTTCAGTATACAGAGTTCCCCGTAAAGGATGAGAGTGCACTGACGAGGTCTCATAACGTAGCTGAAGAATGACTTTTCTCTTCTGCTTTGAAAATATTCTTTATCTGACACTTTAAATAAGTTCTAACTTGACAAAGAAAGAATAAGTTAACATCTGCAGGCAACCCCCAAAAAAGAGTTTTTTAAAGTCGTCTTTGAAGTACCATTGCGGGAACCCTGTATATCTATCTAAATATATATTAATTTGTTCTATTTTTAAAATTGTAATTAACCATGGCGTTGTCATATTACCTAAACGTCGAGGGACAATTTTGACATTTGTAGGGTTTAGTATTATCAATTGGCACGTCTAAATGGATTTTCATGTGCTCTTTCAGTTCGCTCCCAGATGGAAATACTCGATCACAAATGTTACATGCATGAACAATGTGCTCTGCTTGATCTTCTTCGTTGAAGCTGGTTTTACTAATTTTCTGAACTGTCTCTTCTTTTTCTAATGTTTCTGACTCTATTCTGTAAAATAAATAATTTTAATTAAATAATGGTAAATATTGACATAAATGAATTGGTTTAAGATATATAACTGCATTGACTAACGTCCAACTTTCAAACCGAAAAGAATTCTGATTTAAAAAACAACTTTAAGTTAACTAAAAAAAGTTTACCTTTTCCTTTTGAATTTTGTTCCTGAAGGTGAGATGGATGGTAGATACAATTTTAGATGTGTATTCTCAAGATATGATTCCTCTTCCTTTACACCTTCATCATCTTCTTCTTCTTCCTTCGCTCCCTCGTTTACTTCATTCATAATTCCTCTTTCATCGATATCTTTGTTTTTCATTTCTTTAATTTTGTAATTAACATCTTTAATACTGGTCGTGTCCTCTTTATCCAGAAATATTTCTCTTTCGTTGATTTCGGTTTCATGGTTAATTCCAGTTTCAACTCGACTCCTCTCTTCTATTGGTTTAATTTCCTCTCTCCGTCTTGGTGGTGGTATTTGTAGGACCTGGAGCAACCCCAGTAGTTCATCAGACACCTTGAGTAATTAGAGTAATTACTACAAGTTAGTTTTTTATCTAAAACTAAACCTAAACCTAAACCTCGAACTTCAGATCTCAGAATTTAATCCGTCAATTTTTAAGTTCTCAGCTAAGTACAACTGATTTTATTAAAACCTTTTCTAGAAAAAAAAACACAGATTTTACTTTACTTAATAACTTAAAAGCATCGAATACTTCCGATTCCGATTTTTTTTAAATATTAAAAATTGGATACGAAAAGAATTTAGAATCTTGATTATTACTCAACACATATTAGACACTACAGGACAGTCCATTATAGAAAAATAATCGACAAGAATTCCGTGTATTTGGAAAAAACGACATGATTACATACCTTCTCTGTATCCCCTGTATAGAGTAGGTTTCTGAGGTTTAGAATTGTATCCCTTGATACACCAGGAACCAGGAGAACTATATCCTCATTCTTCTCTGTTTCCAGGAGAACCCGGAGATAAGGAGAACCACAGGCCAGGATTAAACTAAATACTATGTTTAAAGGACCGTTCTTGGAATAAGGCCTTTGATTTTAAGTTATCCATTTTGTTACTCGTATAACAAGATTCATAATCCTTTAAGGCGTCGATTTAACCCTTTTTCCCCCCATAGTGTTGATGTTAATTTACAAAAAATCAAAACAGAATTTATAATGGTTAGTCAGAGGTATTTATTTTCTCGAAAAATCATTTTTATTTCCAAGAAATAAAATATGTTTGCTCAGAGCGAAAAAAGTTTAGGGATTTTATTCCTTGAATTTGTGAAAAATAATGATTTTTTGATGGAAGACGATAGATTTTAGAGGGAAAGTATCAAAAAAGAATGAAAAGTGCCTTTTGATGTCCAATTTTTCATCTTTTCTCATCAAATCTTCAAAAACAACTCCCCTCCCCCCCCCCATATGGGTGTAATTCTGAAAAATATACACCCCTGTGGCTAGTGCTGGTAACACTATGTACTAAACAGAAAAAGGTAAATATTATGCGACATAACAGCTTCTACTTTGTGACCTCGTTTCTCCTCGAGATTTGATTTTACGAAAAAAAATCAGTGAATAGAACATTTATCTGGTTACAGGGTAAGAATTAAAAAAAATTGTTCTTCTCATTTGCTTCTAAATACTAGGAGTTATGATGCTATACGTATAATATTTCAGTTTTTCATGCAATTCACTTTGGTTTGACGTGAGAAAGAATCATGTTTACCTGACGCGATCAACGTATCGTAAAAATCCTGTATTAACAATACCTATGAAAATATACAGGTTCCATCCCAGGGGGTTGAGACTGATAAACTGCCACGTCGGTAAATAATCCAGTTTCCAACGCATCTCTATCAAAGAAATCAATTTCATGGAAAAGCAGACGTATCAGAACAAGACTCAGAGTAGAGTCAAATTGTTTTTTATCAACCCCAGTACTTAAATATAAATATTAAGTAAATGTTGAGAAGTTTTTTGGGTTTATACATTTTAGGGTACTCTCAAGTGACATTTCAGATTCACATTTGTACCGTTTGAATCTTTGACTGATAAATAAAATTACGGGTTTTATCAAAAAATTGATTATTTCCAAGCGTGGTTTCTCTTCTAATAAGGAAATTATGTCTTTACTGACCCCCGAAGTTTTGCTCTTAATAATGATAAATTTTTAATTGAAGAGATGAAACCGCGTAACTTAAAAATAAAAAATTGATTTTAAGGGTTTCCCTGACTCCATGCAACAATATAGATGCATGATCTTGCTCATACGCGAGATCATGGTCATTCATTTCATGTTGATCGTTTAGTTCTAGCAAGTCATCATCATCTGCGTCCATTTTAAAAAATCAAGTCATCTGAAAAAATGTCATTTATTTGTAGAAAAAAATAGAACTTTATTTTTCTTCAAAATAGTTTTCATGTTCACAATAGTGTTAACAAGTAGAAACATGTATTGTTATTGTTTACATTTTCTGAACCGGATTCAGGCCAAGAATATTAAAGCAGGTCGCCAGTACGTTTGCAGTAGCATCACACAGCAGCAGACGATCATAATTTACCTGAGTAATAATAACAAAATTAATTATTTACTGACAATTTAAAAAATTTATTCATTTAGATTTGTTTTACCTTCACAGTTTCCCCGGCAGAGTTCTTTTCAACACAATAACAATTCTCATAAAACTCTGAAATAATAAACATTAGGATTCATGATCCGTTTCCTGGTCCTTTACCCAATTCTTTTCTCGATTCTTTTCTCGATTCTTTTCCCAATTCTTTTCCCGATTCTTTTCCCAATTCTATTCCCAATTCTTTTCCCAATTCTTTTCCCAATTCTTTTCCCGATTCTTTTCCCAATTCTTTTCCCAATTCTTTTCCCGATTCTTTTCCCGATTCTTTTCCCGATTCTTTTCCCGATTCTTTTCCCGATTCTTTTCCCGATTCTTTTCCCGATTCTTTTCCCAATTCTTTTCCCGATTCTTTTCCCAATTCTTTTCCCGATTCTTTTCCCAATTCTTTTCCCGATTCTTTTCCCGATTCTTTTCCCGATTCTTTTCCCGATTCTTTTCCCGATTCTTTTCCCGATTCTTTTCCCGATTCTTTTCCCGGTCCTTTTTCTGGTCTTTTTTCTAGTCCTTTTCCTTGTCATTATCCTTTTCTTGGGCTTGTCCAGTGTATCTGTCCTGTCCCTGGTCTTATGTGTCCCATATCCTTATCTTATGTGTCCTACACCGTTATGTGTCCTATATCCACGTCCTAGTATACCTGTAAAAACATTTGCCACCTCGTACATATATTCACAGAGAGAATGCATAAACAGATCATCAGTTATCCTAAACAAGGTATTGATTTATAATATGCTTGAACATTAATATAAATATAATTATTGATATATTTTGCATTACGATGGTTATTATTGTTGTCATTATTATTATTTAAGGACAACCCGTATATGTTCATCTATGATTTAAGTGTAAACACTAAACAGGGGGTATTTAAGATTAGCAGGGATATATTTTTCATTAACAGGACTGGGCTAAATCAGGAATAGATGTTCATTAAACAGGAATTTATCAAATGAAAATAAAATTAAATATCAGAGATGGAAACATAATTATCTTCACAGTTTTGAGTTAGATAAAACTTAAGTTTTGAAATCGGAATCTGCCCAATGCTGAAAGTTGCGCATTTAACAGTTTGTATCTCAATTGCATTGACTAAAATATCATAAACCATTCCACATAATACTTCTTATTTCGTATTTAAAATGTAAAAAATCTGACCTTGTAATAACTTCCGGAAGTTTAAGAAGTTGTTTTCCTAATTTCATTTCCTTTTCATGTTCCAGGCTCACAGACACTTCCTTCTTCTTCTTTATCCTACACAGTACACAAACATCAAATTGAAGATATTTTTACACTGAATTAGGATCGAAATATAAAATATCAGAAAAAAAGGGGAAGGGGGAACTTTTTGTCAGTATTCAATTTTTCTTTCCCTCTCTTTTTTAAGAATTTCCCGCCCTGGAGGATGGGAAATTTTTTTTCCAAAATCTTTCACCCTGTATTCGGAAAAATCAAAAACTTACTCAGACAACATTTCGTCCGTCACCTTAGCAGTTCTCGCAATTGATCTAAAATATGTTGAATAATTAGTTTTAAAAAAATATTATAATATCCATCTAACTATCTATTTAGATATTAAGATTGAAAAAAATAGGATTTTCAATAAAGTTTCACCCAGTTGTTTTATTTGCAAAATACTAAAGTCCCGACGATCATTCGCCCCCCTTCTCCCAATCTTTTGGAATGTTGTTATTACCTTATCCTAGTGTACGCGTAAAGCATGTACACGGCGGTGTTCCCCTTGTCCTCCAGCATCTTGTCGAAGGAGAATACGTACTCATGGTTCCTGTTATGGCAGAGGTCAGAGTACTTGATACAACCGTAGGCAACACTCTGCTGGGCGGCTTCAAGCTCTTCAGGGGTCAGAACCTGATCAATCAATCAATCAATCAATCAATCAACGCACTAATATTCAATCAATCAACAAATCAACCAATTCAAATTTTTATCTTAATCTTTAATCTCAATTTAAATAAATTGTTACCTCATGTCTTCCCTTTTCCTTCAGTTTCTCCAAGCTTCGTTTTAATCCTAGGAAGAAAATCATATTTGAATAATTTTAGGAAATTGTGAAAATAAAATCATATTAATCAATATTATCTGTGAACTTTCCCTTTTAAGGGTCATACATGACATTTTTGGGAAACTAAATTTTAAAGTTGAAGCATCAATAGATTTGAGGCCCCTCCAAAAAAAATTATACCCGAGGCCTAAAGTATGATGATGGTGAAATTGGAGATTTCAATTAAGCAGCGTTAATCTAAGCAAAAAATATCGGCAGCTCTACAGGGTTTCGTAGAATTTTTTTTCCGAATTTTCAGAAGGGAGTCAAAAAAAAAAGGAAGAAAATTGAAAATAAAGGATGAAAAATTGATGACGATTATTATTAAAATAATTTTTCAAATTTCAAAATAATCTAACCTTCGTCAAGGAGTTCCACAAGCCTGACTGTATCTCCGCTTCTAGTTTTAAACTTCTTCTTATCCTCTCCTAAAACAACTCCAAACCCAACATGGTCTAGTCGCACCTTTGCGGGGTCGAAATAACCTAAAAACAAATTAACTTTACTTTTTAATTTTTCAATAAATTTTCTGTATTTTCATTGTTTCTTTCAGTTTTTTTTATCATATTGGCGATTGGAAAATAATCAGATAACCATTATTGTTTAAATTTGACCCACCTGCTTGTTGAGCACAGGCAAATACTTGTTGGAAATGAGTTGCTTGCCCCAGGTCTGTCAGATATATTATCCAATCTGCTTTCTCCTCCTCTACCCTCTGCCTGAAATAAAATAAATGAGTCTTATAAAATAAAATAGAAACAAAAGCGTCAATAAGAAAATAATTTTCCTGAAAAAGACCATTTTAACAATTGAATTTCATGGAGCAAGATTCTGTCAATATTAATTAAGTCTTAATATTAAAAATTGTAGAACTATAAGATACAACAAGAATGGATTTTTTGCCCCCACCCCCCACGCCACACCCCTTAAGAGGATGATTTTTTAAACGCGGAGGGGGGGGGGGGGTTACAAACTCACAAATTTAATTCCCTTTCTTTCAATACTTCAAACCAAGAAAATCATTGATTAACCCCAATTTACCGATAAAAAAATAATAATAGGGAGGGATGGGGGTGGGGGGGGATTACTTTAAAACATTTCAATAGTTTAACACATATAGTATCCAAAAATTTTAAAATTTTGGTTTACCTTAGAGCTGCCATATCACTGGTATCATAGGTATACCCTCCATCAGATTTAACCACGGTTAAAGGAACCGAACACCCAGGACCAAACATTACCATTCGACCCTCATCCTCCTATTCATTAATCAATCAATCAATCATTATTGTTAAAATTATTTAATTAATTTAGAAACGTCAGTTAGATAAATAAGTAACTGATGGCTAACAATCTGACACTTATGCAATAGAAAATAAAAACGGTCTGCTGGGTGTAATTTGAAGTAAAATTTTAACTAAAGATGGGCAAAGATTCACAAAGGTACCTAATATACATGTTTATCATCAATAATGTGGAAGTTTTCGTCATTTTTTAGCTAAAAATCTGTTGAATTCTGGAAGACCCGGAATTAACATGTAATTAATCAAACGAAATTACAATCTAATTTTACAAATATCATTGATAAAACAAAAATATCAAAAAAGCCATAGTCCAGCCAATTCCAAAATGTGGTCGGTCTTTATTGTGCGTTTAAAATTACCCATCAGTTAACTGTCGATTAATTCCGGGTCTTTCTGGTTCTGCACATGCCACTTTGTAGTTTATAGAGAACCCACATTTGAAAATAATTAACTTTAAAAGAACAGTTTGTTCATATCTCACGAATTTTTAATCTGGCAAAGGTTTTGTGTATCGGACTTACCATTCTATAATTTAATGGTCACTTGAAATTACACTTCCACTTTACAGTCCCTCTACATGTATTTTTGGCGTAATATGTAAACAAAGACAGACAAAAACTTACTAGCAAGAACGATAAATAAATGAGGTTAGGTCTAAAAATTCAATCAATAAATCAATAAATAATCTGAAGAACCTGAATAAGTTTTCTGTCAGTGAGGTCCTTGACAACCTCGACCATCTTGTCCTGGTAAAAGGACTCACCCCGCTCCTAATCGGTTTATAAAACATTATCAGCATCAATCAATCAATCAATAAAATTATTAAATAATCATTTCAAGAAATAGCCCTATCCCACTAAATTTTGTAAAAGATTTAGTGCGTCTTCAAAAGAATTGAGACAAAGAAAAAAAATGTTATTTCATTTCGTCTCACTAAGGGCTTCAAGCCAGGGGCGGCTTGTAATACTTTCCAGAGGGGGAGAAATATTTCAAGTTTGGTGGAAGGTGGAAAATGTGTTTACAAGATTAAGACTAGAAGGTGCCTGGTCTCTCTTTTTGTGCTCTTAATTTTTCCAAGGGGGGACACCCCCAGTTTTCCAGGGAGTGGAACGTCACCCCTTTTTCCCAGGGGTTCAGCCACTATTCTTGTGCGCCAGTTCAAGTTGAGCAGAAGTGGTAAAACTATGTTTACGCGGCTAAACCATGTAATCTCCGTTTGTCTGTTTGTTTGTCCGATCATAACTCATAACCCTTGACCGATTTGCCTCAAATTTTGATAGGGGGAGCTTGGAAGAACCGAGGGAATGTTCTTTGTTTGATTTTGAGATTCTAAATTTTTCTAAATTCTAAATTGCAATTTACGACCAAGCGCGGGTAAACGGTGGGAGTATCTATGAGTACCCTGGGCAACGCTGGGTTCTCAAGCTGGTCTTTAAAAAAACTAATGTTAAATTTTCCTTGATTTGAACTTGAAGTCGATCATAAACTTTCTGGAATTCTTTCCTTGAAACATCACAGATTAGATTCCATCCCTTGATATAATCTGGATCATGCGCCTGAAGCTTGACAACACATTGATAAGCCCGAGCCTTGAAGGGTTCATCAGAGTCAAACCGCAGCTGAAAAAAAACAGTTGTATTTTTAATACACTGTAAAAAATCTTTATAAACTACCTTTGACTGTTTATAGAAGGTCATGAGGTCCGAGATTGGAGGAGACTCAGTCAGATAATTAGGGAACTCGTCTTGAAGGTGAGCTATCAACATACCAAACTAGAAAACAAAACGTTTTAAAAAATAAAAAAAAATTAGGATTTCAAGTGTGGAAGATATTAACACTCCAAGATTAATATTCTTAAGAGGGTGTTTAAAAGGTAAATAAAAATATTATCGGGGGTTTTTTTTAGAATTAACCGGGAGGGGGCGGAGGGGGTAAAAAAAAATTTAGATATTTATTACTCTAAGATACTTTTAATCCAGTTAAGCAATTTAAAACGGTAAACGGTAAAATTTGGCTCCTTGAAATATATTTACTTGAGCAATATTTTTTTTTAAAGAGTGGGAGAGGGTAAATGATTTTTCAGAAGGGGGGATTGATTTATCATCAAAAGGATTTTCAAAAAAATGTGAAATATCTACCTGTGTCCCCCAGTCCCCAACATGATTAAGACGAACAACATCATGTCCCAGGAACTCCATTAGACGGCAAACAGAGTCTCCGATGATGGTTGACCTAGGATGGTAAACCTTTGATAACTAGATTTTTTTAACAAAAAAGTTAAAATATGACACTCTGTAATGATTAGATAACTAGTTTAAGATCAGATGACAAAAGTGGTTGATCACGCTAGCGCCGTTATTAGAACGAGAACTGCTTCGCGTGCTTTAAATTGTACAATTAACGTGAATAATCCTGAATCCCTCACTTTTCAAAAACAATCAGTAGATTAGGATGGTGTCTTAATTCAGTCTGTATTGGGTTGCCGCTTGTATTTTTAGATACTTTTTCAAAGATTAAGTGCCATGTCTAATAAATTTAATGACACTGAACTAAAACTTTAAAATTTCTGAACAAGGTTCTAAAGAAGAATGTTACCTAAGATGTCCGACATGCATCTCCTTGGCAATATTTGGTGAGGAGAAATCAACAATAAGTCTCTTCCTTCCACCATCTTCAAAGCACAAAAGATTAACTTTTAATATTCTTTTGTTTAAATACATTCATAAAACATGAACTCAAACATCGAACAAACAAGACTTGGTAAAAGCAGCCTAAGAAAGAAACATAGCTAGATAGTTTAAGGGAAGTTTAAATCATCAGCGGGAAAAATGAAAATGCCAATTTTGTCTTTTTGGCAAATGGGTCTTATTCCTGAAAAAAAGGGAAACCAATAATTTATTATTATCTATCTATTTTAATAAATTTGTTTCAATATGTATAAATGGAAAAATGAAAAATGTAATTCAAGTAAGAGTTTTAAGGCTCATTAATATAATAAAACAAGACATTAGTATATATATATGTTGCCTATAGCCGGCCAAACGGCTGGACCGATTGGCCTGAATTTTTTTGTGAGCACTCAGGGGTGGCCGGGGGTGTTATAGGCTAAAAAAAATTTTAAAAAATTTTCGACATTTTTTTCAAATTTTTTTATTCCACGGGCAACGCCGGGCCCTTCAGCTAGTTATCATTATTACTATTTATTCAAAAGAAAAAAAATTAAAAATTCTTTTTTTTATGAATACCTAGAGGAGGTGGACGAACCCCTTTTTCTACAAGAGCATCCAGCTCAGCCTTATATCATCAACATTTAACTCTTTATTTATCAAAATTAGCAGATTTTTTTTTTAAAAATTGGTTTTTACAACTTAGTTTGGCAAATTTATAAAGGTAGTAAATTTTACAACCCAAATTGGCGGATTTATAAAATTCTTAGGACTTGATCTCACTGGGACAAACTGGGCGTTAATGTGTAGAAAATGTTTTTAAAAAATTAAGGTAAAAGTTTACGAGGAACCCGGTGTAAATGTATAAAAATGTCGTTAAAAAGTAAAATTATACGAAGGGTTGTAAATGTACAAAAATGTCGTGTAAATGTTGAAAAAATGTCTTCAAAAAAAGTAAAGTTATACGAGAAGCCACATGAAAAAATTTAAATATAATTAAAGAAAATAAATGTATATTGAATGGTTCCTGAATGAATGATTTCTTGATGAATATATTGACAAAGCCAGGTCCAGCCACCTCAAGTTTATCAATTACATCATTACTGGGCACATTCTCAACTATCTTGGTAGCAACATCTCGAGGTGCAAGCTTAATACCACAAGCCTGAAACAAGATTTAAATCAGAAAACGTCTTACACTCTTTTCCAAGAACCTTTTTAAATAAAGAGATGAAGGGGGGGGGATTACATAACCGTAATGAAGACACAAATCATAAAAAGGAAAAATATTGTTCAAAGCGACATTCCATATTATTCGATTTAAGAGTTGGGGTAAAAATGTAGTAAATTCACGTTTATGGCGCTGAGTTGATTTCGCGAGAGGAGGGGGAAGAGGAAATTAATTGGCTGACATTAAAAAAAGAGCTTTTTCCAGGGGCGGACACAGGATTTAAGTGAGGGGGTGGCAAGATTTTTTAGGAACAAAAAAATTGATAATTAGGAACAAAATTTCACGCCGCAGGGAAAAATTTTTGTGACTTAAAAGACTCAAAAAGAGTCAAAATTAATGACTAAAGACTAAAAAACTAGATTTTTAACTTTTCGCACATTATAGTATATTAAGACTTTTGGCTTTTTCCATTAGAGCCCCACCCACTTTTAACGTGCCTGTGTTAAAAAGTACACCTGTGTTAAACACTACAACAGTACAGTTTGATAAGACACAATGAAAGCCTGTTTACCTTGTTTGTACTTTAATAATATTGGTTTGCCATTGGTACTATGGGTGTTAGCACTGTGTATAGCTGGGTACATGATGTACATGAGCTGTTAGAATCAGCGTACCAAGTCATCAGTACATGAGCAGAACAAAAGTAGAATTATATCTCTGAATAATGATTCACCCGCATATTCGGGAAATTTGGACAGTTCGACAGATTTATCAACAAGATTCTAGTAAAAACAAAAATTTATGTTTGTCTCGTTTTTAACTGTGTATATATAAATTTTACTAAAAATAAACCATTTTCTGAAAACTATTGTTTTGTGCTAATTGTTAATTTTCAAGATTGCGATGGCGCGACAAAAAGTATAATCGTGAATACAATAAAATGAATATTCTAATTTTAAAGAATAAAACTGCTAGATCTTGTTTCCAAATAGAGATCAGAACTCTCAATAAAATCTGGGTGATCAATGATTTTGGCGTCAAAAATAAAACCTGGTAAATTTGAGTTGTGATTTAATAAACGAGAGAGAGTTCAACTAGGTCTGCCTAATTAGTTCAACTAGGTCTGCCTAGGTAGTTCAACTAGGTATGCCTAATTAGTTCAACTAGGTCTGCCTAGGATTCCTAAACGCTGTTGTCAGTTCTTGAAGGGACTGAATGCGATTCTCCATACAATTATAACAACACCCAATTCACAGCGGTACAACTATATATTTTTACTTGCAGTTTCTCTACCAAAGTGACTGGCGCATTTCTTGCTTACGAAAAGCACTTAATTTACAGAAAATTAAATTCAGAAATACAACGATATCTTTCACATTTTTGATCAGATTAAGGTTTCAAGGGTACCGTTTATGCATGTTGAAGTTACGCTTTCATTCCATTTTACTGGATGTTTACCTTAAGAAGACCTGAGATAGGCATAGCACCATTGAACTGATAATCTCCGAACTTAGGTGAGGGTAGGACAGGACAGGGAGGGTCGACTAGGTCGGGGAACCCAACAGATATTCCAGATTTAAACAAATCTATCAACAGGGTAGAGATATTCTTCATATTCTCACTACTATTCATCTCCTAGAACACAAGAAATAAATGATTACAACAGAACGTCCTTAAGGCCCTCCGTTTTTTAGAAAAAAAATCTTATTTGTAAATTTTAAAAATTTTTGATTTTTTTAGAAAAAAAATCTTATTTGTAAATTTTAAAAAATTTTAATAACACTTTTTATTGGCTTTATTTTGTTCCTTTCGTTTTTACCACATCTTTCAAATTTTGAAAGAAACAAAGATTTCTCGAGTTACGTTCAGGTCAAGTAAAGTATGTTTAATGTATTTTAAGGTTAAAAAAACCACTAAAATTATAAAACAAACATCAAAAACTTATCATTGGGATTCGAACGAACAAATATCATGATCAAACCGTTTAAAATATAACAGGTTAATTCTAAGAAAATAAAATTATCTCTCTGATTTTCTGAAATACAATTCTTCTGATAAAATTAACATTACTTCAACCTGAACTGATGAAATAACTTTTGTTCATTTAAAGTAGGGTTATATATGATTAGTTTGAGATAATGGATAATAGAATATCACAAAGCTAAATATATCCAATATATTATCCCCCCCCCCTGCTGTGGATATTTTTACCCTCAAGATATTTCTTTATATCACCTTTTGCACAGCTTTCTTCAGAATATTGATCCTGTACTTCAACCTACGAAATATTTAAAATTATAAACATTGCATCGACTTTTTCTTCGATGACATCCTTCATAACAAAATTAATTACAAATGTTTTCACTAATTCTCGTTCATCTTCTATTTTATTAATTCTTATTCACCTTTTATTCCTCTGTCTAGATTTAAATCGTGGTTTCCATAAAAAATTAATTTTGCAATTGAATGAAGGAGGGTTATTTGCATAAAAATATTTTTAAAAGACTGTAAAACATGTATTAATCCTGGTATTTTAGTTTTCTACCTGGTATTCTCCGCCTTTAGTTTAGTTTTCTACCTGGTATTCTCCGCCTTTAGTTTAGTTTTCTACCTTGTATTTTCCGCCTTTAGTTTAGTTTTCTACCTGGTATTCTCCGCCTTGAGTTCCGTTTTCTACCTGGTATTCTCCGCCTTGAGTTTGGTCAATTCCTCAGAAGTTTGAGAACTATCCTTTGCTTCAATGTTTCCTGACTTCAAGTTCTCAAGTTCCTAACAGAATAAAACATATTTCAGAGTTTGTAACTTGTTTGTTGGTCGCCAATCGCGATCAATTATCTAAATGTTGCAGGGTTACAGGGTTAAACAAAATCAGCCTTCAAATCGTTGTATCCAAAGAGCTTCCGAGACTGTTAGTTTAGTCTTAGTTTGTTACCTCAGTGAACTAATTCAACCTTTATCATTTAGAATGTGGTAAGAAAGGTGCAACAATTAACAGATTTCCATTAAAGTTGTAAGCATTATGAATTATATAATTCTGCAGCTTTGAAACTATAGACGATATTGAACAAATTAAAGTCACCAATGCTTCATGTACATTGTACAATGGTAGAGTAAACATGTCTTCTTATATTAATTTCAAATTCAAAAACAAGGCATCAAATCTTTAATAGTAATTTCATGTGACTTTACATTTAAAGTGACCTGACCGTTTTAACCGTTGTCCAAAGGCCACTTTGTTAGTCAGACAGATTCATTTATTATTTGAAGGTTACTGGAATTAACATCCATAATACTTCCGGCCAGTGGGTTTAATCTGTTTAAATTAAATATCAGAATTTATAAAACTATGTTATCCATCAGTAAGACAAGGATAAATACCATCCTATAAATTAAAATGGGTACTGTTGTGAATCAGATACAACACACAAGTGAAAAGTCACTTGGTTATACAGTTGGAGATAAAATACTAAACTGATCATACAAAAAGTCGATTTCATTATTAAAAAGATGCGACAGCCGATTAGTCAGTTTTTCGATATTTTTCAAACTAGTTTTATTTAAGGTTAAAAGTTAGCTTCGATATTGTGACAAATTAGACAAATAAGATTCATACAGAGGCGCAACTAGTGCTTTTGTGAGGGGCTGGGGTGGGGAAACAGAGGGTGTTACCATACCGTTTACAGGATTTGAAGGAGCATTTATTTTCGATGGGTTGGCTCTGTGGTCAAATATACCAAATATTTATAACTTACAGCTTTAAAATGAACTGAGTGAATTAAATGAACATTTACGCGAATCGCCAAGAAATCTGATCTTTTGGGAAAATTTAATAAAAAATTATCCAATTGTGTAACACTATCCTTGCTAAAGGTGAAAATAAACTTGCTCAAATCCCAACCTCATCAAACATTAAAATATAATCATTCTTTGCAGGAGTTGCTCTAAGTATCCTTCCTATGATCAACCAATCCTTCTAAAAATAATTATGTAAAAGCTTTCAAGGTTCAAAAATGCGCTGCACCTTGAACAAAGCAGTATTCCGAAAAACCAATAAAAAATATCAAAGTTTTAGTATCCTTGATTCTCAAACGTACCTTAATAAGTATTTCAATCTGTTTCTCAGCTTGATCTGCCCTAGCAGTATATGCATCTAATTCTAACATATTCTATCAATATCCTGAATTCAGGATCTGAAACGAGAAAATCCAGATATATATTTTTAGAATTTATTTCACATCGAACACCAGGATTATATTTGGCAGATTTCATTAATGCAACTAAACATAATTAATAAAGTTAAGGAGAAAAATCTAATACTTGAAGCAATCACAATCCTTAAACATAAAACATGAAATATTTCATAAAAATTTACTGCATAATAATTCATGCAGTTTTAAGATCATAAAATGCAACTACCAAGCAACTACTTAAATCATGCTTCTGACAGATATTTCAGGTTTGCTGGAGGCTTGAAATCTGAACAGAGAAAAAAGATTCCTTCTTAAGCATCCTTAGCTTGCATATGCTTGATCAGATCAATAACACGGTTCGAGTATCTGAAACGAAAAATATTTGAAATAAAAATTTATTAGATAAACTTAGCAAAAAAAATTTGTTGACAATAATCAACCATCACACATAGTTTAATCAACCAACGAGAAAAAAATGAACACTTCAGATAAATCGTTCCAAAATATCTCAAATCCATCTCATACATTAACAGAGCTGAGCTTAAAGCTTAAGAATGGTGGATATCGAGATCAATGCTTTCTCATGTTTTTATTAATTTCATGATTAACTCGATCAATCTTTAGTCTATATCCTGATATTATCAAATCAAATGTAACATCGTATCTATATTTGATTTCAAACTTAATTACTAATATCTAAAAAGAGTGGATTCAACAAGAAAGTGTGATAAAGATCGGGATTTAGAATATCCCATTCTTAAGTTTCAGCTCAGGTTACAATATAGAACTTACCCGAACTCGTTGTCATACCAAGAAACCAGCTTCACAAAGTTAGGAGAGAGCTGGATTCCAGCCTGCACAAAATAAATATAGATTGTAGCGGAGCCAATATCATCATGTCAAGGAAAAAATCAGCCATCAAGATGTTATAAAATCCGAGAGTCAAAAATCCAAAAGAAAAAAAATAATTTATTTTGACAGATATTCAGCGCAACAGTTGAAAGCTAAAATTATTTTCGGGAAAGGCAGCCAATAGTAAATACTTTTCCTTCTCCTCTATTAAGATAATAAAGCTCAAATTTTATTACCTTAGCATCGAAGATGGATGAACGAGCATCTCCGAGGAAATCAGTAGATACAACCTGATCCTCAGTATATCCGAGAATACCCTGTACACACACAACCATATTCATTCACAATACATCCAGGCGTCAAGAGGGGGGAGGTTACAGGACTAATAATGATTGTGTAAAAAAAGAAAACAGATCAATTTTATTAGAAAAACGGAAAAGTTCAAAGCTGGAAAAATTTGCGGAAACAAAATGAATATAAAATATGATCTTTCCTTCATAGATCCCTCCGNTGATGGGTGAGACAGGGTTGGTTAAACCACTCTCCGAGGATCCAGATAACACATACCTCTACAGGGATCTTAGGGATCAACATTGGGATCGTTTCAAGGCGCTTATACCCGTCCGTAAAGCTGGCATTCTCACACCTGATCCGCTGCTGATGAAGATTCAGCGAATACAGCCCATGAAAAACATAAGCTCTGCACAATGTAAGATACTGAAGATATAAAATAATTTGTAGAAAGAACGGAAAATAATTGAGAATGTACACCCATAAGAAATGTTCCAACGTCAGGGTGAAGAGACTTCTCAACCCTACCTGACTGTGAGATCCACTACAGAAACATCAGGAGTTGGGACCCTAAATGCCATTCCAGTAAGTTTACCGTTCAATTCAGGGATAACCTAAACATTAATTTTTACTTGATCCAATCCGAACTAGAGATAAACGGGACAAGAAAGGCAGATAAGGTAAATGAATTACAGTCCCTAAATGAAGTTCCTCTGCTTTTCAACTGATCAAAATATTAAATATTAAAGAGGAAAATGGGAGGGGGGAGGGGGTACGGAGGATACAAGGATAATATATTCAGACCCTGTTCCTTATCGAAACTACATGATTGACCAGATGACATCTCCGTGTGTACAAGGAACCTAGTGTTTAAATATCCTACCTTGCCGACGGCCTTGGCAGCTCCAGTAGAGGATGGAATAATATTCTGGGCAGCTCCACGTCCACCTCTCCAGTCCTACAATATGATCGGTGATGGGATATTAAAATTTGGCATCCCAAATCCATGAAACAATGAAAATCTACCCATATATTTTAGTTTAGGTACAATGTACGTACATTATACAGTAAGAAAAAGTAACCAGATAAAATATTTATGAATAAAAATTTAAACGAACCTTGCCAGAGGGACCATCAACTGTTTTCTGAGTAGCCGTGGTGGCGTGAACAGTGGTCATTAAACCTTCCAGGATGCCGTAGTTGTCGTTGATAACCTTAATATTTATAATGACATTTTAATATTACTAAGCTGAAAACTTTAAAACGGTGAAATATTGAGATTGTGAATCAGATACAACACACAAGTGAAAAGTCACTTGGTTATACAGTTGGAGATAANTGGGGTAGAGGAAAAATTATTTGATAATCTAAAAAATGAAAAATTTGACGACTTTTTTATTCTTTGATACTTTTAACTAAATTTCATCGATTTTCCCCTAAATATTGTCTATTTTGCCCAGTTCAGGAAATAAAACCTTACAAATTTTATATATTTTCTGGGAGAAAAAAATGATATTCACGCATGCCTGAAGAATGGCATAAAAATGTTAAGAAATTAAGGAGAAATCTATTAATCTGATAATAATTTAGGACTTAATTAAATTACTTGTAATATTACTACGAACTTTGATTAATGAAGCTCACCTTGGCAAGCGGAGCCAGACAGTTGGTGGTGCAGGATGCGTTGGAGACAACCTTCATGTCGGAGGTGTACGCGTCCTCGTTCACTCCCATCACAAACATCGGGGCATCGGCCGAGGGGGCAGAGATTACGACCTTGTGTGCTCCACCAGCATGATGAGCGCCAGCCTGGAGTATTAAACAATAAACACTCTTCAAACTTTTAACAATTTGCGTCAAATATTTCAATTTGGGTCAAATATTAAACTATGAGTTAAAATACTAACATTTGACGAAATATTTAACATTTGACAAAATTAAAAAGATTAGAAAAAATAATTAACAGACTGGCAAAGGTATTTATCTGAAATATTAAATCTATGATGGGGAAAAATATGGACAAAATATTAAAGAATGGAAAAAACGCAGCAAAAAAAAGAATGCCATCTGTTGAAATCATTTAATTAAAGGTTTATAGATTTAACGTGACAGAAAATAATCGTAATTTAAATGTTAGTAAACTGACCAACCTTCTCAATGGTGGTGAAAACACCGGTGGACTCAACAACATACTTGGCTCCAGCAGAGGCCCATTTAATTGCAGAGGGATCCCTTGATAGTCTGATATTATCAAATCAAATGTAACATCGAATCTAGTATAATGATATAATGATATAATGATAATGATATAATGATTATGATATAATGATAATGATATAATGATAATGATATAATGATAATGATATTATGATAATGATATTATGACAACGATATAATGATAATGATATAAAGATTATGATATAATGATAATGATATAATGATAAAATGATAATGATATAATGATAATGATATAATGATAATGATATAATGCTTATGATATAATGATAATGATAAAATGATAATGATAAAATGATAATGATATAATGATAATGATATAATGATAATGATATAATGTAGGCACCCCAGTACACAATTTACCACTGCTTGCTCTACATCCCATTTTCTCCCTTTCTTGTAAAATTACCTCTCTCCGAAAATAGTGATGGCATGTCCGTCAATAACGAGCTTTCCGTTCTCTGCCTTCACCTCACCCTTGTACATTCCGTGGGTAGAGTCATACTTGAACATGTACACCATGTAATCTAAATTAAAGAAAACACATCAGTAAACAATCTTTAGAGTATCAAAACCAAGGTAATAACATTCCCGTGGTTCTCCGGAATTTGAAATCAAAATTAGAGGCAAATCGGTCAATGGGTTCCTGAATCATGATCGGACAACTTTATTATATAGATTCAAATTGGTAAAATGTAAAACGCGCGCGCGTGAGTTTGAATATTTTAAATAAGTCTGGATTTCACAATGAACAATAATATTACCGAGATCAATGAAGGGATCATTGATAGCAACAACAGTTGCTCCCTTGGCTAGTGCAGCTCGTAGCACTAGACGACCAATACGTCCGAATCCGTTGATTCCAATATCTGCCATTTTATCTGAAAATATAAATATTAATTATCATTAATCAAGTTATAGTTTTTAGAAAATCCATTTGAAAGCAAAAAATGCTGAATGAAATCAGGATTAATAAACTAAAAAGGATCACACCATTGTCATATCACAGTCAAGTAGATTCAAGGATTCATGTCATGCACTCAAGTTCTATTAGTGAGAGCATGGAACGTCAATAAATGAACGAAGAATCCCAATTTAGAAAATATTTTTATAATTTTTCTAATTTAAGGCCCTATTGAAAATGCATTGAAGTCTGAAAACATCAAAAATGCAAGAAATGTCAAACAGTCGGACAGGACACCAAGTTGGAGCAGGTGATGGGTGAGACAGGGTTGGTTAAACCACTCTCCGAGGATCCAGATAACACATACCTCTACAGGGAGCTTAGGGATTAACATTGGGATCGTTTCAAGAGGCTTATACCCATCCGTAAAGCTGGCATTCTCACACCTGATCCGCTGCTGATGAAGAAGATGATGAAGGTGAGATGGATGATCTTGAACCTGAACCTGTAAGTGTAAGTGTAAGTAGATGATAACGCTGATAACGGCATTTCTGCCGTGGATGAATCTCAGAAGTGTGTATCCAACAGTAGTGAGATTGAAGTAGATGATAACGCTGATAACGGAAGTGATCAGCCCGTGATTACACTCTGTCAGTTCCCTGAGCGTTGTTCTAGCAAAATGATTGTAACCTCCGAAGAATACCGGAGTCTCGAGGAGGGGGAGTACGTGAATGATACAATTATCGACCTATCTACACAACCAGGCATCGCAAGGCCACATGTAAACGCACCCTACAACCTGAACAAAACAGGTTTCAGTTACCAGTATGGAAATAAAATTTAATTTCAGGGCATTTCTTTCAAGATGGGGGGAGGGGGGGGGGTTTAAACTTTTTTTTTCCTAAAGTGTTTTTAAAAACGGTAGTTTAGGGGACCAAAATTTGATTTTTTTAAAATACTGTAGGGAAATGTCACAAAATGGGTTAAATTGAAACAATGTCCAACTAAATATTTCAAATTTATAATGGCTTCATCGAGTAGATGGAGCGAGAAGCAACGTATAAATATTTAAGTCTCTTACCCTATTATATTAAATGCACAGACTACTAGGAGATGTAAACAGACCGAGTACTTTGAATATTTATCCGGCACACGGGACATCTGTTGTCACCAAGCCGTATCCTTAAATTTATTTATTTATAGTAAAATCATTTATTCAACCCGTGATGTCTCAAACTCCAAATGAAATGTAACAAATGATTACAATTAGTTTGTTTTATTATTCGGAGATTTTTATGATTGTTTTTTTTACTTAACAAGTTTTATTCTGCCAAACTTAAACATGCAATACCACTATAAATGTTTTGACTTGACAGAAAAACTGGTCCATTCGGGTTTTGTCGAACACTTAATTTTTATAAAAATAGGTCAAGATGAATCCACACAAGTCTTGAAACGCCGATTCGTAATTTGTATTCTACACAAATTTCCAGTCAGAATTCTCAAATCAGAAAGCGACAGAAAGAAAGAAATATTTGGTAAATAGACGGTTAAAATTCTCATCTCAGCACTTGGAAGTTTTCGTCTTTACACTCTGTGTTTACATTTCCTTAATGGCTTCCTCAAATGCAACTATCTATCCAATTTATAAAAAAAATTTCAATTCAGAACACCAACATGTTAAAATTCATAATTAGTCAAGAACACTTAACAAATCACAAGTTAAGATTTACCTTTCAGCACATTGAGCACACATACAAACATGGCCACAGTTAGTTATCATAACTTCACGAGGGTTATCCAAGCAAACTGTACACCTGGAATATACAAAAATAAGATCGCGTAAAACGGTCTTCCATACTTGGCAGGGGAGTACATTATTCATAGAATTTGAATAAATTTGTTCTTGGGTGTCCTTATTAAACCTACCTAAAAATCGATAAAAAATGCTATACAAAATTGATAGGAAGGGGGGCGGCCGAGGGGGTCCAAAATTCGTTCTCTAGGAAATTATCAACAAATTAATTATTCCCTTACCTAAGGTTTTCCCAAAGTTAGCGAATAAAGACCTTAACTATATTATTCAGTTCCCATGCAAGCACATTACTTTTGGGGGGAATGATTTACCAAACAAAAAACAACATTTATATATTCAGCAAAAAATTTCCGGTTAAGTCCTAATGTAAGATACAAGCTTTTATTTAAACAAAATGGGAAACTTGGTATATTAATAACTACCAGCGGCTATTATTCGCAACAATTTGTTTTAAAATATCTGCAGTTGTGTGATAACTCTGCGTTTCTATATTTAAAATAAAAAGTAAATCTCTTTAATCATTTAATATACTAATATTTTCAACAAATTGATGCGAATAATAGCCGCTGGTAGTTAATAATATACCAATATTCCCATTTTGTTAAAAAAAAAACACTTAAATCTTATATTAAGACTTGACCAGAAATTCCCTTTTTTGCTGAATATGTACATATTATATTTTGGTAAATCATTCCCCCCATACTTTCAATGTGCTTGTATGGGAACAGAATAATCAGCTCCCACACAAGAACACAGATATGTTCAATACTCAATAGTAAGGATGACAAATAAAAACTTAACAAATTATAGGACCAACTACTTAATTTATATCCAACCTGGTCCCAGATCTGTCTCCATCTAAATCTGCTTTCTTGCTTCGTCGTAACTCTTCCCGGAGGACTGCGTTTTCCTCATTCGCCTGAAACGTATAATGTAGAATTCATAAAAATTCCAGTCTCCCCCAAACCCTGCTAGCAACAACACATCTCTCCTAGCCGATACCAGCTGACCCAGCTGTTGCTATGGCGGGGAGTTTAAAACACAAACAATGAGAATTACACATAAACTCTTGGAGTTGTATAGGGAAGGAGTGGATCTAGGACTGGATATCTAGCTTAACCTGTGGACTAAAGATGGAGAAGAATTTTTCTCATTTTCTAGAATTTCTCGACCCGTCAACCGGAGAAGGAGAAGAAACAGAGGTGTGATGTCAACTCTGAAGGAAGTGAGACTACCCCAGCAAGAAGGGCAGTCTCCCCTGAAGGAAGTGCGGTCCCCTCTGAAGGAAGTGCAGTCACCCCTGAAGGAAGTGTGGTCCCCCCTGAAGGAAGTGCGGTCCCCCCTGAAGGAAGTGCGGTCCCCCCTGAAGGAAGTGCGGTCCCCCCTGAAGGAAGTGCGGTCCCCCCTGAAGGAAGTGCGGTCCCCTCTGAAGGAAGTGCGGTCCCCCCTGAAGGAAGTGCGGTCCCCTCTGAAGAAAGTGCGGTCCCCCCTGAAGGAAGTGCGGTCCCCCCTGCAGGAAGCTAGACAACCCTTGTGGGATGTGTCAAAGTCCCCAGGTCAGGAAATCGGGCGCCCATGGAAGAATTTAAGGAACCCCGTGAATGAAGCTAGACCTCCTCTACTAGAAGATAGGAAAGCCAAGATGAAAAGAGCTAGATCTCCATCATCACTTCCTCCCCTATTCCCCAGCTTAATGGGATATGTACACCATCAACACCTAGCACCAATCTTCTTTCCAGGCCTAAGGTTACTGAGGAATCTGATCCTGAGTCAGCGCCTGAACCTGAACCTGATCCTGAGTCTGCGCCTGAACCTGAACCTGAGACTGAGTCTGCGCCTGAACCAGAACCTGATTCTGAGTCTGCGCCTGAACCTGAACCTGAGGCTGAGTCTGCGCCTGTACCTGAACCTGAGACTGAGTCTGCGCCTGAACCTGAACTTGAGACTGAAGCTGGTCCAGAATCTGAAACTGAACTTGAAATCGAACTAAAACCACCTGTGAACATTGCAAACCCAGTTTTTACTTTCTGTGAAGAAAAGAATGTACATTTTGCCCAGTTAGACAAATGCAATTAGAGCATATGAAAAAGTAGACAACCAAATAAAATATCAGTTGGTTAATAACTAAAGGAAGTTCTGTTGTTTCTCAGCAATGGATGACGAGGGAGTCAGCTGCGAAATATTGCACTGGCATTCAAAGTCTAATCTGTGTCTATCATATGAATCATTTATATAGAAAATAAATAATGTAGTTTTTCCATTTATGAAAGTTGTAAACTTGTAATACAATTGTAATATCTTAATCTCTGCTACAAAATAAATATTTAGATCTAAAAAAAGAAGTGCTAAAAAAACTCTTAAAAATTAAACCAANATCAGCATTAAAACATGGGTGTATACAAGGTGCCTCACACAAAAAACGGGAATTAAGGGCACACAGACTAGTTCGTAATGGGATTTGAGAGATTAAGACAATCTCTGATTGACTTGTAGATCTAAAAATGACAATTGTAAAGGCTCCTAAAGTTTCCTACTGGGTTGAGTGTATAGGGAAACCTAACATAAAATACAAAATTAAGCAAACGGAGATTATCTTTTACTTTTCACTCACTCCCTGTTGAAAACTTCAGGGAGACTATAAAATTGTATAGTTAGATCTACAAGCTTAAAATGGGGCTCATTGAATCGTAAATTATACAAATTTAAAAAAGGTCTCAATCTTGAAAATTATTTCCTTTCCCCCACTCTTTGAAAATATTTGTCCTGAAGGTATGTTAACTACACAAATAATTACGTTTGGGTCTGTCAGAGTACACGATTTTTGGTACGACACTTCCATTGTATCACAAAAAGAAAGCAGTGTCTACTAAAACTGAACATGGGTGGGGGGGTACCGGAGAACAAAATTTCAAATTGACAGAAGTGGCGGGGTGCAGAAATCCTGGTAAATTCCTACAGAACGATTTGTAGACCTCCCACCTCCCACCCCCCTATCAAATTTAAACATGGCTGTCATATGTAAAACAAAGATATAATTGGTCATGTGGTCGCAGTGCCCGGCCCCTGACCTGTCCTAGCCACGGCGCTCGGCCCCTAGTCTGTCCTAGACAGGGCTCAGCCCAGAAATGGTCATAAATTAACCTAAGGGGGGGCGGTGGGTGGAGAGGGAGGTCGAAAAATCGTTCTCTCTGACAGACTCGAAATCTTTCTCTGAGATTAACAATAGTTATAATACGAACCTTAATAGCGCTGTCCCATGAGAATACGACTAGAACAGCAGAGAAGAGCATGAACAGGAGTTCCAAGAACCTACGAAACGCTCCAGGAGTAGCAGCACGAACAGTATTTGGGTTTGGAGCTTGAGAATCAGTCATTTTATTTGCCGATCAAAGATATTGGAACAAAAATGTTAATAATAAACATTAATTAAGTCCTTTTAACCATGTCACACCCCAAAATATGACGAAATATAATCAAAGAGGCCTCAGAGTAAGGATTAGGCTGGCAGGCTAACGGCGGTATGTGCTGTGCGTCCCCGCCCGGCCGCCATTCTGATCAATCTAACCCCGTGAGCAGCTTCAGCTGATAGGTAGATACTGGAGATACAGGTTGCTTCATTTTAGAACAGTTTAACATTTCTCTCCATTTATATTGAGGGGACTTGAAGCTACCATTTAAATCAATAAATTGCTGTTTAATTATAAAATATCAAAGGGCAACTATTTTGAGAAAAGCGTTTTGTTTACTAGTAAAAACTTCAAATTTGCGATGATTGGTTTTCATTTATTCCAGAACTCGATCTAGAACACCCTGTAAACTCAGGTTGCCGCGTTTCCAGACTAGATTTTCTAAGACGACATTTCAGCAATTTTTAAATTAATGAACCAAATATTATTAGGAATTGAAAAAAAAATATTTAAGAAGCGAAAATTCAGGGGAATGGGATTGAAATAGGTTAGGACAAACTATGAACATTGTTTTGAATAAAAGAGTAAGACAGAATGCATGCTAAAGTCCGATTGAACTATTGTATATACATTATTTGCACAGGCACTATGAAAGTCAGCTGATCAGAAACCTAGGTTTGTATTACGATTGAACATAAGTGCAAATGATCACAAATTGATCTTTACTGTGTACAATTGAACTAAAAAAATTTCCCGCCAGCTGAATATCTAGTAAAAATTGATTATTAGTGTGCAATTGATTATAATTCTTAAAATATTTGTTAAACTGAACTATGTGTTTCTGTAATTATTATCTTGCAAGACAAATTACTGCAATTGACACTGATACATGTAATGCAGCTGACAAAGGGAAGTTCTCGTTACAGCAATGTCAGCAATAAACCTGCATAGATGGTCGATATCAAAAACAACTGGAATAAATATAGAAACTCAAGAGCTGATATTGAAATACTACAAATTGCCTGATCAGCTCTCGAAACTGCATATTAACCCTCCTGGCGGGGGGGCGGGGTTATGCAGCTCATTGAATGAGCAAAACAGGACAGCCCGGAAACAAGAAGATTGGAAAAATGAGTATCTGCATTGCATTAAATACATGTATCAATTAATTTGTTTCATAAAAAAATTATAAATAAATAAATTGATAAAGTTAAAAAATAGTGCAATTGAACGTTAGTGCAAATGAACGCTTCCAACGAAAAATGTATGCAAATTTTTTTCATTAAATATCGTAGTGCAAAACGTTAGTGCAAATGAACATTTCTCGCATAAAAATTGTTTAAACGGACCAATGATTTTTTCCGTAAATATATAAGAGCAAATGAACATTTCCAACAAATAATTTGTTCAAATTGCAATTTTATAGATAAAGAACAGAAAAGACCTCAAACTGCGAGTCTACCTTAAAAAAAGAATGTGTTTGGAGATGTTGAATAAATAAGCATATGTAGCAGTAATTAAAGCAATTCTAGCAGTTACTTATAAGAATGTAATTTTCTAGTGACCCTGCTCGTTGAGCAGTATTCGGTTTCTTCTATTTGAAATAAAACTTGTTTTATCAACAATCTTTTATCTTCCGGATCTGTTTATTCTAGAACATCTTTCATTCAAAATGTATATGATGCCGACAAAAAATGTATTTATGAAAAAAGGCTGAAAAATTATGTTTCATGGGTAAAATTCACAGCTTTCTGAAATATTGCAGAACCGTTAAATCCACGTGCCTTTCAACCTTTGTCATGCTCATATACGACTAAGGACTCCATGAGAAATAAGCATTAATGAAACAGTGTTCAAATCTTGCTGAAAAAAACTGGCGGGTAAGGTGTACGCTAGCGTAAACTATGAACTCAATATAGCTGACTGTACGTACAGGGTGTCCCATAAAAATAAACTTCGTAAAATTGAATAAGGCAAGGCTAAAAAAATGTTCCTGCAGAAAATGTTATGTTTTTCGAGTATTATGTGTTTATTTTGGCATTATAAAGCTTGGAGAAAATCTTAAATGATATGGATCGCTCTGTATATTCTTTCTCAAAATTCCGCGATTTGTCCAATGCAATTTTCATAAATTAAATTGAAAAAATTTATTTCCTGTGACTTCTGAAAAGTGAATATATTAATATATTTCTTGAAAGAACACAGGTTTCTACTCTCTCTCAAATCTATAATCTATATATTGTAGTTATAATTTATTATCTTCTAAACTTCAAATCAAATTAACTATTTGATAATATTAAAAAAACACTAACGATATAAATGTATGTAAAAGTAAAAACAATTTAATTATTACAGGAATTGCTAACTGGATTTTATCAATGAATCTTCAGGATTATAAACAAATTTTGCCCATTTTCTCAAACTTCTTTGATGCAAATCCCGTTATTTTGAGCTTTTCAGTAATCCAGGTCATACAGCTAATTAGGATGCACAACAAACAATCAATGAATGAATGAACAATGCTTAGGTCACCATTTTCAATCATCAATGCCACTCTTTTATAAGGGAGGCCGTCACTTTAATTTATTGTTACAATAATTATGTACTTTCTTATTATTTATGAATTATTTAGACTCTGTTTCCATATAATGTCCACAAGCATGACGTGAGACAAAGGGCGGCCTGCTCGTAACTCCTGAATAATAATAATAATAATAATAATGATGATAATAATAATAATAATGATAATTAAAAATACAATAACAATACATTAACAATAACAATAACAATAAAAAAGCAATACAATTACAATAACAATAACAATAACAATAACAATACAATAACAATTAAATTAATATTAACAATGACAATAATATTTACAACTAGCTGAAGTGCCCGGCGTTGCCCGTGGTATTTTAAAAAATCTAATTTTGAAAAAACAAACAATATAACAATTATGCGCAACAAATGCTCCTAATTATTATTATACCTGTGTAATATGTAATATAATTATTATAGTACCTGTGTGGATAAACCACATTATTTTTCTCTAAAAGCTGGATCATTTCTTTGCTCATTCTAAAGAAAATTTAAGTTTTCAAAAATCGTTTTTTTTCTCAAAAATTCGTTTGAAGAAATTACCTAAAGCATGCATTGTGATCTCCTTTCTTGAATTTGTCCTTAAGATCATCTCTAAATTAAAAGAAAGCGTAAGTTCTTTCTAGGGGCTAGTTTTTACTCAGAAAATAAAACCCTGTTAAAAAATTCCGAGTTGATAGATTTCAATTTTGTTCCACTCATCTCTCAACTAACCAACAAATATTTTGTCGGTCAGAGAACTGCAACTCACTGCAGTACACACCAACAGCTTCATCGAGATTGCACTTATTATTTTCCTAGACTGCGTAAACATGCGTACTGAAGGAAAGTTTGTTTACATTCCACCCGAAAACTGCTGTACACCACATGGTCCCTGATTTATCTTCTTTGCACAACTTTTTTAATTTTAAATGATCCATAAACCCGAAAGTGCACACTTTGAATCATTCTGGAAAAGTCACTGTCCACGGGCAGCCCTAGTACATTTAAATTTCCGAGCTGGGTCAACCTTTCCGGTCCCAGTTTGTATTGTACCTAGCTCTAGCCGGTGCAACAAGGTTGAATTTACTTTTACTAAAGGGGCAGAGGTGCGTGTGTCACAATGTGTCAATGGAAATGACTACTCGCCACAAACTTAAATTTTCCAATCTTTCCTTATTTTCTATGTTTCAAACTTTTACTATTTGATCTAGAAACATTTTTAGTCTGAAATAGCTGAGGTCACACGATGCAAGATATGAGGATGCAAAGATATCAGATGATGTAGGAATTAGCCACAAACTCTGATTTTCAAATTCCTATTTTTGCAACCGATTTCGAAGACTTTAGATATTTCAAATAAAGAATTCTGTCAGATCAAATCACCTTAGGTTAAAACATCGAAAGTTTACACTATTAGGTTGCAAAGATATATGGATTAGAAAATATGAGTTTGTGGCAAAGACTCAAGGCGAGAACGAGAACTCAGTTCCTTTAAAGAGAAAGACTAAATTTTTTTTTAATTCTACGTTGTGACTTGAGAGCCGCTTGTATACTCTATTTGATAAATGATCGGTCAAACCTTGTGTTTCTTTGAGGTCATATAATTATTAACCTTTAATGGCAAATTTTTTCTTTTGGTAATTGTAATTTAAACCTCATATGTATTGCATGGCGAATGATAGCAACATTTTTTTCAAAAACTTACCTCATTATATCAAATTTATCTTCAACCGATTCTGGAAGCTGAGACCTAAAAAAAATCAAACAAAGATTTTTCTCTAAATGATATAGGGGTCTGTAAAAATGTTTTATAAAATACTGGAAAAAATAACATCCATTGCACAACTGCAAAATCGAACAGTATTTTACCATTTAGGATGTTTATGTCTTCAAAAAGTAAAAGTGACGTGAGGCTCAAATTTGGTTGGTTTAAATTATTATTATTATTATTATTATTGTATTAAATATTTCAAGATTTAAGCAGGCCCTAAATGGAAACCGGTTTTAGGGGGGATTTGAGACGCGGCTTAAATTCATTAAATTTGGACTTTGGTGAGGTAAAATCAAAGCTTGTATAACGTTGCCACACTTTAAAGTCGAGACCAGCTGTCTAAATATTTAATAAATAACTTTCATAATTAATTAGATATCAGTGATCTCTAATACTTGCGATGAATCTTTTTAATTTTCCGCTCAATCTCTTTACAAAAAATTTTAAAAAATAGTTCTTCTATATTTGTCAATAACTTCACAAGGTTAGACATTTCCTATTTGTGTGCAGAAACATTTTAAAAGAAATTTTACGACTTTCAGTTTTTGGCTGAAATAAAATAAGATTAGAAAAGTAACAAGTTTAAATTAAAGGAGTGAATAGTAATATATCCAAATTATTAAATTAGGAATTTTCAAGTCTTCGAAAATTCTGAGATTATTTACAAATTTCAGAAGATTGCAGAATTGTAAATTTTCGGAACGGTCTCCAATAAATAATGAAATATTAGTCTCAGAGGGGAAATAAATTTCTTTTAATAAAAATGAGATTTCCGCCAAAACATGGACTTAAAGAAAGTTAACTGAATGAAAACTTGATTTTTTCGATAACATAGAAAAGTCGCTAGAATATTTTTGATTTCTACCTTAAACTTTTCATTCGTGGATAGTCTTTAGCACAAGCTTCACAGCAGCAAGAAAACGAAAATCCTCTCTTCAAACACTCTTGCCGCTCCTCAAATGGTAAACTGAAAAAAATTAGCTGAAAATAAACACTAAGCAGCTGACTGGGTCGACCATCTTAAAGATGTGCATGTCTTTAAACCTTTGTCTGATCAAGAATTATGTAGATATTCTTATTTTCTGTCTGAAAATTGATTATTTATAATTGTGCTTTTTAAATAGTGGCATGAGCATTTATGCAACAGTATAGCAATAAAGGAAATTGTTAAAATTTAACACTTTTCAAGATATAAAAAGGACAATATCTCCCTCTAATTGTAAAGTTATTTGACAAAGGACAAAAGGGTACACCTGTGATTTGAACATACAATTACCACTTAAAGGGAGTGACCGGCAATGTATGGTGGTTGAACTAAGAATGTAGTATTGTGAAGAATTTTTTTAGGATTCTTTTGCGACATAAGAAACGTTTTAATGATCTATAATTACTGAGTTTGTTTCAGGGCATGTCGACGTTCAAATAATCTATTTGGGTGGTTACGTTTTTATAATATTTATTTTTTTAAACTATCAAATAACAATGACAAGAAATGTTTTTAAAACATTACAGTAAACTTATTAGATGTTTAGGAACATATTTCTATTTTGAAATTTTCTTAATAGATTAATGTTAGAATTACTTTATTGAATTTATTATTCTTAATGACTTTATTCGCAGATTTCTTCAAATTCTTTAAATGTCGTCTTTTCAATCGAAATTCCAGGAAATTTACAGAAAATGTTTATAAAAAATGAGACATTACGGAAACCAATGAGTGAATAAGACTACTCATTTTCAATGATAATAGTTCTTTTATTTTCTCAACTTGTGTCTAAACAACTAATTAGTTTACTGAGAATTTTACCACACTTTTTGTTGTCGTTATTATTGAATAATTTTTCAAAAACCGATTCTCATACATTCTCAGTTCAACTACCATACATTGCCGGTCACTCCCATTAATGAATGCTGGGTCACGTGAAATTACGTATATACGCTTCATTAAAAGCTAAGTAAATATAACTTTTATCTTTGCTAAATTATGCAAATTGTTGCATTATTCATTTCTTTAGACAAAATGCTTATGACAGGAACTGAAAACTTGTCTTAAACACAACTAATCCTATCTTTGCAACATGTTTCTTATTTTGATCTGGCAGAATATATAATTCAAGACATAAAAGTCAGGTTGCAAAGATATAAGGATAACAAAGGCAAGTTCGAGTTTATTTCCAGCAAGATGTTAATAAAATCACCTGAGATGATGGATACCGTAGTTGTCTGTAATCTCCTGACCCTTCTTTATCTTTCTTTTTGCCACCATAACGACCTGGTTCCCGAACCCACTGATCCTGATGGTATTAGGCTCACACGAGTGGTTCAGTAGAAGCAGGGTTGGGAATACAGCACTTCCAATCTTAATTTAAAGGGACTGTTATCGTAATTTCAAGTGACCCTCCATGCGAAGATTGCAATGCACAATTCACTACGGTACCCTCTAAACCTTTATCTGATCAATAATGTGGAAGATATTGTGATTTGTCTGGGTTTAAAATTGTGTTTAATTCTGAAAACTCCTATATATTTTCCTGCAGCATAGAAATGCGTGAGAAAAAATCAGTTTTTCAAATGATAAAATTAGAGTTATAATTCATATACTTGATCAGTCAAAGCTTTAAAGTGTACTGTTGTGAATCGGACATTGCCATCTCTGCAGGGAGGGTCCCTTGAAATTTAAGGGCTCCTGCATGCCGAGCCCATTAGCGCCTGATCCAATCAGGGTTCAGTCATGTGTTTGTTGTCTATTCTGAACCAATAGCAATAGCTCGGCGTTAACATCTAGCTTTCTATCTATCTCATTATCCAATTAAAGATATGAATCCTTCAATCAGCGCTATCCATGGGTACTTACCCATGGTGCTATCAGTAAATGGAAATATCTACTTCAACTGAAACCATAGTGTAAGATCAAGGTATAAATGTTAAAGGTACGGGGCATAGGGTTTGTGTACACATATTGTAATGCAGGAGCCGGGTTGAAATGAGACCAATAATTTAGAAAAAATCACTATTTCGTAAATATACATTGACGTAGTGATTTCATCATGGCCGGGCATCAAATATCCGAAAAAAATATTTTGTGCAATGTAAAATGAGAAACCTAAACAGAAACAAAGTGTTGGTAAAATATTTACGTAATGGAAGGATAAAAAAGTCATTTGTGAGCATAAATTAAATGACATTTTTTAATTTGTTTGATTTCTATTGAGAATTTACTACTCTGTAATTCCATCGTCCCAAAACTGGAATGCCACGTAAGGACTCCTGATTTAAAAAGGCAGTTTAGCTTGATTTCTCCCTCTAATAGGAAGTTAAGCCCAAACCTCCTGTTATGCTTCACTTATGACGCATTTACTCTGCTTTGAAGCAGAATATAATCCCTCAAAGAGGAAGGAAAAGTCTAGTCCTAAGGCAGCGAGGTGATTTCCATCCAGAGTTCCTTAAATAGGAAGTTGTCGGAAAACGGCTCTGGTACCTTAGGAACGCACTTCTCCTTCCTTATATAGGAATGATAAATGTTCCAAAGCAGAATAAATGCGTCATAAGAGAAGTATAACAAGGAGGTTTGGACTCCACTTCCTAATAAAGAGAGAAATTAAGCTAAACTGCCTTTTTGAATCAGGAGTTCTTACAAGGCATTCCAGTTTTTGAGGACGGAAATACAGTGTATATCTAACCTCAGTAAGGACTGGAGTAGATATACCCGTCATCTGTTGGGCCTCCTGAACACCATCAACAGTATGCAGGTTGTACTGTATACCCTCCTAAACATTGCGTTGTAATGTATTCTCTCCTAATCATTATTATATAATTGCTGGACAACACAGTAATTTACCTAACAAGAAATAAATGATTTATTTGATGTTTACTGTCCCGTTTCAGCCGTCTTATGGTTGGTATATACAATACATACTGTACAACTTGCCAAGTAGGTTCAAGTCAGCCTGGTACATCAAATGAACTGGAGTTACAGTACGACAAAGGACAACTTTACAAAATGTATTCCGCCATTTCACATTTTTATATTTCGCAAAATTTTTTATTCCATATTATCTGTTGAAAATATTCATTCCTGAAATTTCAAGGATTTCTGATCACGAAGACGACATTTTAATATTTTCCAAGAAGTGTTCGAAAATCCAGCTCTTTTCGTGAATATTTTCAACGAAATCTGAATTAAAAAACAAGATGAAAAATATTATGAAATATCAACTATAAACATAATGCATCGAATTAAATTCAACATTTATAAATTGCAATATCAGAATAATTAGTATAAAATCTAATTAAATTATTTACGGTCTGGGTTAAACAATGCAACTCTGTGAATGTATATAAACGCTGAGTTCTCCATATAGATGCAACAGATAAAATTATAAGCGATCAATATCGAATTCCAATCGTGATCATATACCCCCTTTTATTTTTCGCGAACAATTCCTTTAATGCTTTATCGAAGCACTTACGACTCAAGAGTTATAAATGTAAAGTTTAGAATACCAAAAATAAAGACAAAAGCATGAAAAAAGGCAATATGTTTCACATTAAAAATTTTCAATTTATTTTGTTGTTGTTCTGTCTGCAACATCGTTCACAACGGTACCATAGAAACCTTTATCAATCAAAAATTTGGAAAATATTGTCGTTTTTTTCATACTTTTTACAGTTTTCCTGCAGTAGAAATGCGCAATTTACTTTTGTAGAGGAACTCCAGTTGAAAATAATTGAAATTCTAGAAATTGTATTCTAATTCAATCTTAATTAGAGAAAGGTTTTAAAGGTATCCTTGTGAATATAGTATTGTTATCTTTGCATGGAGGGTCACTTCAAATTATGCTTACAGTCCCTTTAAGTAATGAGATTACCAACCTGAAGCCGGAATATTATTTTCCCCACTTTTTCTTCTGTTTTAGACATGGTAGCTCCATAGGGGGTTTCTTTATTACCAAAATATTCTCCATAGCGGAGTAGAACCAGGCAGATTATACAACGGATACTAAATATGCAGGTTATTTAGAGTTTGAATATTCTCCATAGCGGAGTAGAACCAGGCAGATTATACAACGGATACTAAATATATATAAAAAGTTTATTTAGAGTTTAAATATTCTCCATAGCGGAGTAGAACCAGGCAGATTATACAACGGATACTAAATATGCAGTTTATTTATAGTTTAAATATTCTCCATAGCGGAGTAGAACCAGGCAGAATATACAACGGATACTAAATATATATAAACAGTTTATTTAGAGTTTAAATATTCTCCATAGCGGAGTAGAACCAGGCAGATTATACAACGGATACTAAATATATATAAACAGTTTATTTATAGTTTAAATATTCTCCATAGCGGAGTAGAACCAGGCAGATTACACATCGGATACTAAATATATATAAACAGTTTATTTATAGTTTAAATATTCTCCATAGCGGAGTAGAACCAGGCAGATTATACAACGGATACTAAATATATATAAACAGTTTATTTAGAGTTTAAATATTCTCCATAGCGGAGTATAGAACCAGGCAGAATATACAACGGATACTAAATATATATATAAACAGTTTATTTAGAGTTTAAATATTCTCCATAGCGGAGTATAGAACCAGGGAGAATATACAACGGATATATATATAAACAGTTTATTTAGAGTTTAAATATTCTCCATAGCGGAGTAGAACCAGGCAGATTATACAACGGATACTAAATATTCATAAATAGTTTATTCAGAGTTGAAAGAGACAGTAAACTTGATTTCGAGTTACCCTCCATTAATAGACTGTCCGATTCAGAATGGTACACTATAAGAAGCTTTGTCATTGTCGGGTCGAGTATTAAATAAACATTCCTCTTTTTTCTTTTTGAAAACTGTTTGTTTTTAATCGGGGTTACTCTACTAAAGTGACTAAGCGAATTTCTAGTGAAGGAATATTTATAGGAAATATAATTAAGAAACACTTTTAAACCCAAAAAAGAAAGTGTCTTCCATATTGTTGATCAGATTCAAGTTTCAAGGGTACCTTTGTGAATCGGGAGTTGCCATCTTGGCATGGAGGGAGAGTCATTTTAAAGTACAACAACAGTCTCTTTATTGATAATCATTTTTGAAAAATTATTAGTCAACAACTAAAGAATGTTTCAGATTTCGAAAGATACAACTGAAATGAAAGAATTCATTATTGCTCTTGTTTAACCGAGAAACAAAAGTTTATCATTGTTCTTATTTTACCCTAGAGACAAGAGTTGATCATCGCTCTTGTCTTACCTGAGAAAAGAGTTCATCATTGTTCTTGTTTTACCTGAAGGACAAAAGTTCATCATTGTTTTTGTTTTACCTGAGAGACAAGAGTTCATCATTGCTCTTGTTTTACCTGAGACAAGAGTTTATCATTGCTCTTGTTTTACCTGAGAGACAAGAGTTCATCATTGTTCTTGTTGTTCCTATGAGCCTCGAGGTTACTGAGGTTTCTATAATCCTCGAAGTTGTAAACATCCTTCTCGTTCTCAAACTCAACCCCATACCTAGAAATATACTTTAAAGAGACTGTCAACCCTATACCTAGAAATATAAATTAAAGAGACTGTCAACCCCATACCTAGAAATATACATTAAAGAGACTGTCAACCCCATACCTAGAAATATACATTAAAGAGACTGTCAACCCCATACCTAGAAATATACATTAAAGAGACTGTCAACCCCATACCTAGAAATATACATTAAAGAGACTGTCAACCCCATACCTAGAAATATACATTAAAGAGACTGTCAACCCCATACCTAGAAATATACATTAAAGAGACTGTCAACCCCATACCTAGAAATATACATTAAAGAGACTGTCAACCCCATACCTAGAAATATACATTAAAGAGACTGTCAACCCCATACCTAGAAATATACATTAAAGAGACTGTCAACCCCATACCTAGAAATATACATTAAAGAGACTGTCAACCCCATACCTAGAANAATACCAATTTACCAATTTACCAATTTATCAATACCAATTTACCAATTAACCAATTTACCAAGGGGTTTCTGAGTGATTGAACGATATGTAAGAAGAATATTTCCCGAAGTTTCTTCATACTTTTCCTCTTTCTTATTCCAGAATAGTTTTTCAATATTAACCTGTAACAAGATTATACATAAATATATATATTATGCATATACAGGGTGTCTTCAAAAAAACTGCATACAAAAAACTTGGAAACTTTTTCGTTGCATCATTTTTTAACATTTTTAAAATTCTTCAATGTAAAATGAAAAAAACATGTCAAATATCAATCAAACAAAATTGGATCAAGATTTACATTTGTAAACCTAGGGTTAGAACTTTTGCAGCGTTAATTCCTTGATTAAGCCCTTATTCATTGTTTTCACTCATAAGGTTAAATTAATTTTGCTTATCCCGTAGTGGGAATTCCCATCAGGGATAACTAAAGGATTTGAGATTTTGCCACAAACTCTGATTTTCTAATCCCTATATCTTTTTATTACAATGTCATAGACCTTAGATATTTCAAACTATGAATTATGTTAAATCAAATAATAAAAGTAAAAAATATAAAAGGGTTACACCTTCCGGTCGCAGAGATAAATGGATTAAAAAGCTTGAGTTTGTGGCAAAAACTCAAATCCTTTGAGGAATCAAAAGCACTCATTCCTCAGATTCAAAAGTTTCCACAGTATATGTTGAGATTTACAAGTTTCGACCTTCGATTTTTTTACATCATCAGTGTCAAAACAAATCGTCAAATCTTGTTTTAGAACTTTAAAAAGTGTGACTTACAAACAAAAATATGTATTCTAAAGAATATTACCTTTGCCTCAACAGGATGATAAGAATTCATTGCAATTTTTAAACAGTTCATACTGCAAAATCTCGCCCCTACACCTGCAAAGTTTTAAACATTGAAAGGTTTGAACCAAATCAATCAGAAGTAATTAAGCAATCGTAAAAAATAGTATTGAATAATAAAAACGTGTTTTAATACCAATTGTATATTTCTCTTTTGTTAAAGGGAGTGTTTTCAAAAACTGAATGTCGGTACGAGTCGTTTTTAACCCATATCTCCCTATGTAAGCAACAAATGAAAGTTGAATAAGTATCAATCGATATTGAATTCAATTCGATATTGCAGCCTGAACCCACTTTCATTTTTTGCGAACACTCCCTTTAATTTGGGATTATTTTTATAGCTAAAAACCCCAGAGAATATAATCAATTACATTTTTTTCTTTTTTAATATACGGCTTCTTGCACTGTGCACTTTTTTACTCCATCATTTGTTTGACAAACGCGCTTTCATTTAAATTTCAATCTTTGCTTTGCATCCTTTGAAAAGGCTAGGGTGTCAACCTTTAAAAATGTTATTAATATGTATTAAAAGTAATAATAGTGCACACCAGGGACTAGGTATTGTAAACCAGTGCAGTACTATAATAGTACATAGTACAAACCTATTGTGCTAGGTATTGTGTATAAATATTTGTGTATACAATAATATTCTAGTATATATTATATATTGAGCCGACCTACTGGGCTAGGAATTTTGGACCATTGAAATACTATATACTAGTACATATAGTACAAGCCTATAGGAATGTTATCGTGATAAAGTACAATAGAATACTAGTACAAAGTACTCACCTATAGGACTAGGGATCCCTCGTGTACTTTCTATTTTTCTCATGCAGTTTGTGCAGTGTGTACTCCTAAAATAAATATTTTTCAAACTAAATTTTATTAATAGAAAATATTTTCTAAAAAATCATTAATTTACGACATACATATACAAAAGTATTTTTTTTTTAAATTTACTCTAATACAATTTTTGTCTCTTTAGTCGTACCAATAATTTAAATTGTGTAGATAAGTTCACGAAATAAATAATAAATTGCCAATATTCGTTTCACGAAGCATCAAATTGATATGATATTAATTTGTTCATTAAAAGATAATTCATTGACCAAAGCAAAAATTTATCCCCTTTGTTTGTCACGTTTACCACCAAAAAGCATTTTTTAGGTCATTAATTTTAACCACATTTTAAAACAATAAATCTCCATTAAATTTCAAATGTTGTCCTTTGTAAGATTAAACTTATTAAAAAAAAGGAGCAATCTCTTTAAATAAAACAAACATATCAAAACAGTAAATTCCAATTACAATCCATCTGAATCCCTCCAGTGGAGTTTTAAACCCCTAGGATGGATATCTGAATCCCTCCATTGGAATTATAAACCCCTAGGAAGGATAACTGAATCCCTCCAGTGGAATTGTAACCACCCAGGAAGGACATCTGAATCCACCCAGTGGAATGTAAATCACCCTGCGTAAAGTTTTTAATTGTAAAAAAACATTTTTTTAAACCTCTCCAGTGAAAATAAAATCCCTCCGGTGGTCTCCAGTAATATCGAAATCTTACTACGAACTTCTTTGAGTCCAATTACAGGGGATATTAGTACAAAAACACTTGGCCCAATTCTAACAATAAGTGTCAAAAATGGGCCAAGTGTTAGTTTTGGAACTAATGTCCCCTGAATTAATAATAAACCCTGAGTGAGTTCGGTTTCTTCAACTTAATTTCAACACCAACAGGTTATACAGTATCAACCGCGTTTTCTTCTATAATTCAACAATCTCTAAACTTACAGAGTTGTTTTAATATGCTTTTCATTAAAACACTCGACATTTGCAAAAAAAATATGAAAGAAAAAAGGGAAAAACTTACGTTTAATTGGTAAAATTGGGATCGAAAGTCACAGCTTGCTGGGTAAAGAACCGAACTATTAAATCAACTTGAATAAACTTGAAAATGAAAATCTAGAAAATATCAAAATCTACAATATTTGCCTGGTTCTGCAGAGAAGATGATTTGTGATGCAGGTTCTTTCTTACTTTTTATAAATTAGATTTTTGTTTACCTTGTAGCCCTTCCGTGGCGTCCAACTTGTTCATTGAAAACCAGTTCAACAGCTGAACTAAAATAATAGAAAATCATAAAAAAAATTGTCAAAAAGAACTATATTTTTCTTTAAGAGAAACTATATTTTTCAAAAGTTCATAATGTCTTATGAGTACATTTTTTTTGGTACGTTTTTTGACGCCATTTTGTTTTTGTATTTTAACCTGAACTGAGGAATTCTTTTGTTTACATTGTCAACAAGAAACCGGTTCTCACTGTTTTCTCTTTGAACTTCTTCTTGTTTTCGAGTTTTTAAAACCTCAAGCTCCGCGTCTACTTCTGTACTCAAAACATTTTAGTTTTTTTTCGAGAAAAATGTTAGACAAGGAATCGATTCTTTGCAACAAACTGATATTTTATGATCCTTATATCTTACTCTTTGCAACACAGTTTCGTAGACCTTATATATTTCAAACTATGAATTCTGAGAAAATTTCAGTTTGTGGCAAATTATCAATTTCTTTGGCTGACGCGAATTGATCAAATGATTTCTAGTAGAATTGACAATATTGGACAAGTTTAAATTGGCTGAGCTATCTATAGCTGCAGCAAAANAACCTCAAGCTCCGCGTCTACTTCTGTACTCAAAACATTATAGTTTTTTTCGAGAAAAATGTTAGAAAAGGAATCAATTCTTTGCAAGAAACTGATATTTTATGATCCACATATCTTATTCTTTGCAACACAATTTCGTAGACCTTATATATTTCAAACTATAAATTCTGAGAAAATTTCAGTTTGTGGCAAAGATTCAATTTCTTTGGCTGACGCGAATTGATTAAATGATTTCAAGTAGAATTGACAATAAAGCTGCAACAAAAATGCAATTTCCTAATTTTGTTTCATCAAAACTTTAAACTCGCTATGTTTGTTTGACATTGCACTTACAGTTTTCAAACAAACTGCATTGTTCTTTACACAACGACTCAGGTATGAAAAACCATTTTATTTGCCTTTCTAGAATTTCTCTAAATCTTTCCTTACGTTTAATATTGATATCTTTCCAAACTTTCCGTATTTTTCCATTTTGCTTTTGCATTTTCCCTTCTTCTGTTTTGTTAAACGTTTCTTCCTTTTTTCTTTACGGCAAGTATTTATACAGTGAAACCCATAATACTGTGGAATAGGACCGATAAACCTCTGAAAAAGGAAGACGACTGTTGGAATAAAATGATGATTTGAGATAGCGAAACACATAGCAATGCATAGAATACGTGTCACTATACGCGTTTCAATTAATTATTGAATTTGAAGAAATTGAGTCTTTGCCACATACTCTGATTTTATAATCCCTATATCTTTGCAGCATGAATCCTGATAGATGACGCAAGCTAAATTTGAAATATCAAAGGTTTACGCCATCAGGTTGCAAATACATATGGGTTAGAAAATTTGAGTTTGTGGCAAAGACTCAATTTCTTTACTGAGACTTCAAATACACAAAAGATTATTAAAATGTCGTCTTTCTTTTCCATCATTTTATGGATCTGGTTATGGTCTGGTTTATCACCAAAAGGCATTTTCAAATTGTTATTTTGAGTTTCCTTGTCTCCATGTCTTCTGTTTATCTGTGTCCAGGTTTGATTGTTTGAGTAGAAGGATGACACGATTGTAACACCGTACTGCCTCGGACACTGTTCACAAACAAACAAATCAAAAGTATATGGTAAACGATTATATCAATATTTTGAAGACGACTTTTATCTAAGTTTTTATTATTAAAAAGCTTTTTCGAATTACAAGTTTACAGGTAACTAAAGAGAAGCTTTTTTGATAGAAATTAAAATTGAAATCGAAAGTCGTTTTTATTGTATTCATGTAAGTGACAGCGACTGTACAAGTTCTTATACAATTCAAATTATATGCATTGTACAGGGTTACCAACAAAGAACGAAATTGTAAAGACGACCAGAAACTCACATAATATGATAATTCCTAAAGGTTAAATTCATTACTTTGCCTTACAAATAGTATTTTGATGGATTTTTGGAGAAAACATAATTAAAACTCTTTGCAAAGAAAATATTTCCTTTATCAATTTGAAATGAACTTCATTTTAATGTTGTATAAAATATGATAAAAGATAACTACTTTTAACAAGTATTCTATCTATATAAAAAAAAACTAAAACTCTTTGCTATGACTGGACCAATTGGCTGACATTTCTTGAGGAAACCCATGGATACCCCAGGGCCCTGGGGTGACATAGGCAAAAAATTTGTTTAAGGTACTTCAATACAATACTTGTTCGTCATGTTTAGTAGGAAACACTGTACAATGCCTTAGAACTACAATTTTTCTAATTAAAAATGTCGTCGTTATCTAAATTTAATTCAGGATTAGATTCAATTTAAAACCTTGAATTACAAATGTAATAATGATTAAGGCAAAGGATTCCCAGTCATTGAATAATGAATCTATTCTATTCTAATCTATTCTATTGTAACATTTCATTTTTTTCCCAGTCATTGAATAATGAATCTATTCTATTCTAATCTATTCTATTGTAACATTTCATTTTTTTTTTGAAAACTTTTTCACATATGCTAAGCATATTCCAATTTTACACAATTTCTGTTTTTTAAATGATCAATCTAAAAAACATTAAAAAATACTTCTTACCGTTTCCTAAAGCAGCAAAACATTTTGCCTGCCTATCCACGAGTTTGTATCGGATATTATCAGGATATTCAAAATATAACGCGGCATCAATATCTTCCAAGCATTCTTTATACTTCTTCATCTGAAATAAAAATCTTTATTTAAGGTTAAAATATGTTTAATTAGTATAAAACACCAGCATCAAACTTTAATTTTATGATCTCTATATCTTTCCAATCTGATGATTTAAACCTTTGATATTTCAAACTAAAACTAATTAATCTCTACGACATCACGTTGCAAAGATATATTTTTACCTTTATAAGAACAGCAGATCTATTAGCAAGACCCAAAGAGATATCTCTCTTCCCCTCCTCTCCTGCAGGTGCTGAAGTTCAAGCATAAAATTAATAATAATATTAAATCTAAAATTATAAACTTAAACAACAAAAATCGCAGATGACATAGATAGTGATGTTAATTATTTGATTCAAACACAAATAAAAGAAAATAAACATTAGACAATTTAAAATTAATACATTGAACAACTTTAAAGTTCAGCTAACTTTAACTTGCATTTGTTAAGAATGCATAGGAAAAATATTTTACCAGAAAAAACCGCCTCTGTGTACAGTGTGAGAGCTTCGCCATCTTTCTTTTTCTGAAACGCGGCATTTCCCGCATTTCTCTTTTCAACACTCAGCTGTACACTTTTCCCCGCCATTTCTAAACAAAATGTACTTTTAAAAGAGGCTTCTAAAAAAATTGTGAGTTAGGAAGACATCAGTTGGACTCCAATTATGAATTTTGTAAGTCCAATGAACATGAAATATAGCAGTTGTACCTTTTACACAGGCTCCTTTTATTTGAAAAGTTGATTTTTAAGCTGCACACAAAATTTCTCAAATGCAGAATTTCCATTAAAAAAATCTGTAGTTTGAGAGAAAAGGAATTGAGTCTTTGTCACAAACTCTGATTTTCTAATCACTATATCTTTGGAACCAAATGTTGTAGACCTTAGATATTTCAAATTATGAATTCTGTTAAATCAAATAATCAGAGTTTGAAATATCAAAGGTTTACAACATCGGGTTCTAAAGATATTGGGGTTTAAATATTTGATTTTGTTACAAAGACTCAATTCCTTTGTTAAAATTTATAAAACATCATTTTCAACTTTAGGATTTAGCTGCTATTTCATCTTGTAAGAAAGTTTTATTTTGGTCAAATAATTGTCAGTTTGTACAAGATGTAATTTTTAAAGAGACATCAGTTTAGAAAACATAAATATAAACGTTCCCAGTGACCCGTTTTTTTCAAATTTCTTTGAAATATTTTTCAAGAGTTTTTATTTGAAATGTAGTCATTCTGAAAAATTTATATTAAAGAGCTGAAATTGAAGTAAAAAACTTTAATAATTCGGAATGATTATGCTTTCCATTTGAATAAAAATATTTTATATATAACTGGATATATATTTGATATTCTTTAAGTTGACCTGAATCAGGTTCATCAAACGCTTGTTTAAAGGTTTCCACAACTTCGTTATCATCCATGGCCAGCTTGAGTGTGTATGCTACCTGTAAAATGTATGTAAAGCAACTAAATGGCTCAAGTTCAAATCTTGTAATCCCTTTATGTTTGTAACTTGATTATATAAACAATATATCACTAGGCAACTTTTTTTTGTAACCACGAGTATATACATTTTAAAATTCATTGGGTTTGTTTCTAGTTCAAATCTAAATGGAGTAAAAACACTACTAAATTTTTCCGTCAGAGCCACATCTTGTTTTGCAGTGGTATATTTCAAACTTTGGCTATTTGCTCCGGCAGAATTTAACATGGGTTGCAGAAAATATAGGGATTAGAAAATTAAAGTTTCAGACACGTGTTTGGCAGCCTGTTTGCTACGTTTTATAAATTCAAGGATTTGTGGCTTTAGACACCTTCAGAATTTTCTCTACAGCCAGATATGGATGCTTATGTTTTTGTTCTGCAAAAGTTTAGAGAAGATATGGACCTTAATGAAAAAACACGAATGTTTGTTTTCAATCGATTTAGGCTTGCAAAATTTTATGCTTCTCAAATTCTTAAGTTTAAATTTTAAAAAGAAACTCAAATTTTTATTAAAAAATTCTCAACAGTTATTAGATACAATCCCCCCCCCCCCTAAAAAGGGTAAATAATGTGTTACTACGAAATTCGGCAAGTTGGGATTCCATGTTTAAAACATTTAATGTCAAACCATATTTCTTTAGAATTCAATTTCATGACACATACAATTGCATTAATGCATTCTATAACAGGTGAAAGCTTTATAAGCTTATAAAATTAGTTGAGTTAATGAAGTTAATTAAGTTAATTAATATAGTGTATAGTGGCAACACACGCATGTCCAATTACAGTTAATTAGTTAAAGGGAGTGTTCACAAAAAAGAAGTTTTAAGAAATTAAAAGGATTTTTTATGTTTAATATAATTAAAGGGAGTGTTTATCTATAAAATAATTAAATGAAGTGTTTATCAAGAATATAACTAAAGGGAGTGTTTATCTAAAATATAAATAAAGGGAGTGTTCATCAGGAATATAAATAAAGGAAGTGTTCATCAAGAATATAAATAAAGGAAGTGTTTATCTAGAACTTAAACAAAGGGAGTGTTCATCTATGATATAAATAAAGGGAGTGTTTATCTAGAATTTAAATAAAGGGAGTGTTCATCTAAAATATAAATAAAGGGAGTGTTCATCTATAGTATAAATAAAGGGAGTGTTTATCTATAATATAAATAAAGGGAGCGTTCATCTATAATATAAATAAAGGGAGTGTTTATCTAGAACTTAAACAAAGGGAGTGTTTATCTAAAATATAAATAAAGGGAGTGTTCATCTAAAATATAAATACAGGGAGTGTTCATTTATAGTATAAATAAAGGGAGTGTTAATCTATAAAATAAATAAAGTTAGTGTTTATCTATAATATAAATAAAGGGAGTGTTCATCTAAAATATAAAAAAGGGAGTGTTCATCTATAATATAAAAGAAGAGATTGTTTATTAAAATATAAATAAAGGGAGTGTTCAACTAAAATATTAATAGAGAGATGGATCAGCTAAACACAATTAATAAAAAATATTAAAGGGATTGTTCATCTATTGGGAAAAAGGGAATTTACAAGCAAAATTTAACGTCAAAGGGATTGCTAAGCTTAATTAAAAGAGAAGATGAATGAGATACGTAAAACACGTTGATTAGGAAAAATATCGAACTTTGCAAAATTTTGTAATTTTTTTCTCAAAAGTTGTAAGCTAGAGCAATTTTATAATTTTGTAAATTTTTTTGAAGATGAGTTCTCGAAAAGTTTAAGCTAGAGCAATTTTATAATGTCAAAACATTTTTAGAACACACAAAACAAAACTTTTACACTGGCGAAAGTGGCGCAATGCAATTTAAATTAACTTTACCTTTTCCTCTCTGCCCAGTTTATCAAACTTATCTCTTGTTTTATCCATTAGTTTACTCAACCTTGAGTACAGTCTAAACAACAGATGTTTAAAGGAATTAATCGCTTATTTCAAAATATTAATTTCACGTCAAAAAGTTAAATTTATAAAATTATCTTTTTAGAGGCATCTCAGAAGGTTTAGAGGGTAGGTGGAGTTAGGTTTAGAGGGTAGGTTGAGTTAGATTTAGAGGCTGGTTGAGTTAGGTTTAGAGGGTAGGTGGAGTTAGGTTTAGAGGGTAGGTGAAGTTAGGTTTAGAGGGTGGTGGAGCTAGGTTTAAAGGGTAGGTGGAGTTAGATTTAGAGGGTAGGTGGAGTTAGGAATAGACGGTGGGTGGAGTTAGATTTAGAGTTTTATAAAAAGAAACTGCACTGTTGTGAAAAATATCATAACCAAAAACAAATTTATTTTTTGTTTCATATTATGAACAGAATCTTTAGGAAATCTCACAATTTCTTATATCCCTAACATTAACTTTATAATTTCGAAGAAAATATTAGGATTTCTTCAAACAGTGTGAACACTTCCCACACACTCTAATTTTCTAATCCAATTTTCTTTGCAATCTGATGTAAAACTTTAGTTTTATAAAAACACAAATCATTGTTTGAAATATCAAAGGTTTGCAACATCAGGTTACAAAGCAGTGTTCAGTTTATCTAATTTAAAAATTCAAATATTGGAAGAAGAAAAGTCAATAAATAACACAATGATAACTGCATNAGATACCTGAGAATCCGGATAAAGTCATATCCAGATTGATATTGATACTAAAGAATTTGCGTTCAAGATTGAGTTGTATCTTGTAAGACAAATACCTGAGAATCCGGATAAAGTCATATCCAGATTGATATTGATACTAAAGAATTTGCTTTCAAAATTGAGTTGTATCTTGTAAGAAAAATACCCGAGATTTAGAGAATCCGGATAAAGTCATATCCAGATTGATATTGATAATAAAGAATTTGCGTTCAAGATTAAGTTGTATCTTGTAAGAAAGATACCTAATGAATACAGATAAAGTCGTATCCAGATTGATATTGATACTTAATAATTTGCGTTCAAGATTGAGTTGTATCTTGTAAGACAGATATCTGAGAATCCGGATAAAGTCATATCCAGATTGATATTGATACTAAAGAATTTGCGTTCAAGATTGAGTTGTATGATGTACCTTGTAAGACAAATACCTGAGAATCCGGATAAAGTCATATCCGGATTGATATTGATACTAAAGAATTATTGAGAAACCTAGCGTTCAAGATTGAGATTATCATGTAAGACAATACAGATAAAGTCATATCCGGATAGATATTGATACCAAAGTACTATTGAGGAACCTTGAGTTCATGATTGAGTTGTATCTGTACGATACACATTAAGGGATACAAGAGCGTCATATCTGGATTGATACAGACTAAGGGATACAAGAGCGTCATATCTGGATTGATACAGACTAAGGGATACAAGAGCGTCATATCTGGATTGATACAGACTAAGTCTGAGAGTAAGTACGAGTTTTATCTGTACTATACATATTAAAAGAACTTATTGGAGGCATTTGCTACAAAATATGTTCATAACCTTTAAAAGATCATTATGTGTACATAGGCTGAATTTAAAGAATATGAGCGGCGGCTTAAATTTAAGCCGCCGCTCAAATATGGTTGGTTTCACTTAAAATTGTATTCAATGTTTCAAGATTTAAGCCGGCGCTCAATTGAAACCGGTTTTTGGCGAATTTAAGACACGGCTCAAATTCATTAAATTCGGATACATGTGTGCATGTGTAAAATAACATTGTTAATCTGAATTAAGTGAAAAAGTAGAAAAAATGGATTACCATGAATCCAAACTTAAGTCGGTTGAATGCCAACAGAAATATTTTCATAACCAAATCATCTACTTATCAAGAATTTCTGTTTCTGTAAACCATTTATTAATCAGTTAATCAATATGTTTCGTAAAAAATCAAATTATTCCACTTTTTCATAAGAAAAAAGGATATTTACAGGAGGAAAAAGTAAAAGATTATTTACCCTCTCTACCTGTGATAGAAAGGTAGAGCCATTTCCACAGCCATTTCTTTACAGTAATCCCTGATTACAAATCCATTCTCATTCTTAATTTAATTAAAGAAGAAAATATTATTCCATGGTTTAAAATATTCTCTAAAAATAAATAGTAAAAAGTTTAAATTGTCGATGTATATGTTTATACAGATATGAAAAGTTTTAAAGCTTTTTTACAAATGATGTACAGAGATAGATCCAGACAGGAAAATGTGTTCAAATGGAAACTGTAGAAATTAATAATAAATATTTTTGGGTAGGATTGTTAATCGTGGGTTCGTTAAACAGCTTTGAGAAAGCTTCCAACATTTCAAACTCTATTCTTTTTTAACTTTGCAATATTTTTATCCTGAGAGAGAAATATTGTATTTATTTTCATTCAAAGTCAAAGGTCAAAACTTGGCAGGTGTGTAAGAAGATAAACAATTTTTAAAGTTAAATTTTTTCGATTTTTGTGTATTCTATTAAAAACGAACTTATATATTGACATTAATGTTTGGTATAAAAATGATAAATGAATGATCATGATTCCTTGCTATTCTCTGAAACTCTGAAGGATCCGTTATACCCATAACCTAGGAATAAATAAGTAAAAATATGGTTTAATCAATAGAATTTTTTTTCTTCTATGTCATTCCTATTGAAGAACAAACTCATTTATCTTTATGGCCATTTTTACTCTTCTGTGCTGTAGAAATCCACACGTTTTTTTAAAAGAAAAGCCACAACTGTACTTGAAAATGTTTAGATTGAAGAGCGAACAATTATCTTATACAAAGGTTTAAATAGTGCGCGCTTTTGTAAATTGTTGATATTTGTTCGATAGTCAACATTGGGCTGTCAACCAAACATAATCCATATAATAAAACAAGACATTTGTAAATGTATATATATATTTATATATCTGTTGCGTATAGCCGGCCAAACGGCTGGACCGATAGGGCTGAATTTTTGTTGTGGACACTTATGGATGGCCGGGGGTGTCATAGGCTAAAAAACTTCGGATTTTTTTAATATATTTAAAAAAATTTTATTTTATTTTCTTTTTTTCACGGGCAACGCCGGGCCCTTCATCAAGTAATTGAAATAAAAGCTGACTAAATATATTTTGAAATCTTTAAGATCTATGATTATTGCTTATATACAACTCGGAGCATATTTGCTTGTTATTAAATGTTTGTGTTTAGCATTTTGGTCTCACCTGTCAGCAGCATAACTAAATAAGTAGTGGAAAACCTTTACTTTTTTTAAATATATATTATTCTAGCTTGGGAACCCAGTGTGATTCAGGGGAGTCATAGTTAGTCCCACTGTTTACCCGACCCTTGTCGTAAATTACGATTTTAACCATTTATCTCGTTTAAAGTGGACCCACTCAACTTAGAATCTTAAACCCAAGCTAAGATGATTTCCCCAATAAAAATTACCACATTACCAACAAGTCATTCATTGTACTAAAGATTACATTGAGACAATTTGTTTACAGTTAAGTTCAAATATGAAGAGACATCGGAAAAATTATAAAAACTTCTTATTCATTCTTAACTTTCTGATAATGGAATGCTGCAGATATTTAGTTTTTTAATTAAATTTGATTATATGGGGCTCATTAAATATGTTCCCGCATATTTATGGCTATTTATTTATTTTTTACAATTACTAAGATTTACGTATAAAAGTATAAAACCAATTGAAAAATTGTCAATAAAACATTTCGTTGGCTCGCGAAAAATGCGAAAATTTTCGCTTTTTACGCAAAATTTCGCTATAATCTGTTTTGCGAAAAAATGCGAAATTCTTAGCGAAATAAGAAATGCGATATTTTCGCAAAAAAAGGCGAAAAAACAAATGCAGAAATCTCGGGTGTAAAAAATGCGGAAGAGAAATCGCATCGATTTCGCATTCTTTCGCTTTATTCATTTCTCGAACAATTGTTTGTAAAATACAATTGAAAATTTTCGCATTTTTTGCGAAAGTTTTCGTTCGCTTCGCTGGAAACCCTGGGTAAACTGTATTAAAACTGAAATTTTAAACATGTAATATTATTTTTATATGTGTAAATAATATAATGTTTGTTTATCTATTTAATAAAAATATTCGCTCAATTATATGTTCGCTATAGCTGGCCAAAGAACTGAACTACATTGGCTGACATATGGTCCCCAATGTCATTGGCTAAAATAAAATAAAATATTTTTATTTCACGTGCAACGCCGGGGTCTTCAGCTAGTAATAAATATATATCTGATCGTTGACCTGCATCATCTGGGTTTTCATCTTGTCCACCTGTATTTCGCATTCTTTCGCCTTGTTCATTTCGTAAACAATTGTTTGTAAAATACAATTGAAAATTTTCGCATTTTTTGCGAAAGTTTTCGTTCGCTTTTATTTTTATATGTGTAAATAATATAATGTTTGTTTATCTATATAATAAAACTATTTGTTCAATTATATGTTCGCTATAGCTGGCCAAAGGACTGAACTAAATTGGCTGACATTTGTTTAGAGTACCCATGGGTCCCCGGGGTGCCAATGCCATTGGCTAAAATAAAATAAAATAATTTTATTTCACGTGCAACGCCGGGTTCTTCAGCTAGTAATAAATATATATCTGATCGTTGACCTGCATCATCTGGGTTTTCATCTTGTCCACCTGGGCGGCCCGTGCTGCTACGTCTGACATTTTTTTCTAACCAAAATATTAATCAATTAAAAAATAATCATAGTTAAAAGATTCATCTAAATTTATCTTTCCTGTTTTTAAACATTGTTCACATCATACTTCATATTCATTCATATTTTTATTCAACTACAAAGCACGAAATAAAACAAATAAAAAATCACAATTTACTGTGTAGTTTGGACCCGCTTAACCAGAGTTAAATGTTTTGATTGGTTGGCCCATTATAAGCGAATAAGAATTGTAAATAAATAGATAGATGTACACTGTAGGATGTCTTATTGGAACTGTAGACGTATACTTTCAAGTTTTAGAGTGTCCGATTCACATTGTACCCTTTCAGCTTCATCTGATAAAGGATGAATGAGATATGCATAGATTAATTAACATTATCAGATAGGACACTAGATGTCGTATTTTTAAGATTTTAAATTTAGAAGACGATCCTTCTGATCTTTATGGATTATCACTGTATCACTAAATATATTTTACTTAAATAACAGGTTTTACAAGAGTCTGTCTTTTTAAAACATATGTTTTTAAAAAAGGGAAAAAAAGTGTTTCTGATCTAAACGTACATATCACCAAAACATTTAAGTTTTTTTAAAGTTTGGATTTCTTGTCTGTAGTTCTTAAAACTATTATCTACAAACAATACAATTCTTGATTATTTTGAGGGATTAAGAGATTTTACAATCAATGGATTTAAAGATGTACACAGTCAACTTTAACCAACGGAGTAGTTTATGCAGGTTGACCTGCACTCTACTCTCTACAGTATATAACTGCTTTCTCAGCTTTCTCTGCTATAGACTTTATTACTTACAGACTTTTCTAGAGTATTCTAGGGTTACCCCTTCCTAATGTCTTGNAAATTAGATTCCTAATTTTATCTATTAATTAAAACAGTACTGTAAAAATGTTTAAATTATTTTATGTTTTCGAGTTATCATATACACTATTTAGTCTTATACAAAACGTTGTAATTTTCTCATGATTAAGAAATATTGATAATCATATGCTAATTTCTTCTTATTAAATTTTAAACTCATTTATAACACTGTTAAAACTAAAACCTAGCCCTACTTGTGCTCAAAATGAGGCTTCAAACACTGAACTTCTAGCTAGAATTTGAAGGCACTCATTTGCCTGGTTTACTTTGTCCACCCTATTGACTGGCGTTTAGTCCATCTGTCTCTGCTATAATTGTTTACTTTCTGTTTATTTACTAATCATCTGACCAAACATATGATATTTTTATAGCTATAAGCAATATAGGAATAGCTAAAGGTTTTTCTCTGGCCATAACACTGTAAACTTTGTTTCATTATAAGTACCGGGCCTACCTTTTAGGAAGCTAGAGCATGAGCTGTACACTGTACAGTATACATACATAAAATGTAAGACAAAACTGGAGAGTACATCAAAAGAATCATCTCTTTCTTCTGAGAGTATAATGTGATAATAAACTTTGATATTGAGGAGATAAAAGTCTTCGATAAAATAAAAATAAGTATTTTCATTTAAGTAAGTAAAGTCCTGTGTTTGTGCAAAGTGCAGGAAATGACGGAAATAAAGTATGGTTACGTCATTGCTTGCTTACGTCTGTGTTCTTGGTATTTCTAGATGAAAGAGAGAAGAGAACAAAACCTCTGGGTACAAGGCTACCCACCCACAAAGGATAAGACTTTATGGGACGACTGTCCTTAACTTATTTCGTATTATTTTTGAAATTCATAGAACATGCAGTTGCACATCTTTGTCAGATCATATACCTCAAAGAAACGTAAACGTAAACGTAAACGTAAACGTAAACGTAAACGTAAACGTAAACGTAAACGTAAACGTAAACGTAAACGTAAACGTAAACGTAAACGTAAACGTAAACGTAAACGTAAACGTAAACGTAAACGTAAATGTAAACGTAAATGTAAACGTAAACGTAAACGTAAACGTAAACGTAAACGTAAACGTAAACGTAAACGTAAACATGGAAAATTGTATCCAGTTTTGCAGCCTTAAAAAGTTTGTTGATGATCAGTAATTTTCATATAAAGTATGTGCGTTCATTTCATTTACTGCAAGTTTTTGAAAATTTGCGAAATAATTTATACTTTACGAGGTTTCGCTAAAAGTAAACTTGTTTTCAAAACAAGCATATCAAATTTCAAATAAACACCGTGTGTTTTCTTGATTTAGGTGTCTGTACTTTTGTTTATAATCTTATATCTATGCAGCTAATCTCAAAAAGACGACATGCACTTTATTCATTTTTCATCAAGAATTGAACTTTTTGTGAATAGGGAGAAATCCTCTAAATATTTCAATGATTTTGTTTAAAATGTGCAGGAGAGAAGGGAGACTTTCAGAAAAACATACCAAATAAAACTAATATTAAAACAAAACCAAAAAAATTTCATATTTTTTATTGATAAATACTCTGTGAATAAATACATAAAGAAAGGAATTAGAAAAGAACATGTCCGAAACTTTGGTTGAAAACTGTACACCAGACACTCAACCACTTGACTCGGTTCGCCTTCACACCAACCTATATATAGAAATCGTAGAATAAGAAACCATCATATTTTGGTGGATATTATGTTATGTATATCTCAAAATGGCACAAGTTAGCAAGATGTTAGTAATTTCTATAACTTTTTATGGCAATTTTGATATGACGAACCTAATATATATATTTGGATATTACGAACCAAATATATATATTTGGATATAACGAACCAAATATATATATTTGGATATTACGAACCAAATATATATATTTGGATATTACGAACCAAATATATATTTGGAAATTACGAACCAAATATATATTTGGAAATTACGAACAAAATATATCTATTTGGATATTAACGAACCAAATATATATATTTGGAAATTACGAACCAAATATATCTATTTGGATATTAACGAACCAAATATATATATATTTTTTGTCCGTGTATAAACCAATTACTTTTCAAAAAAATGATGAATCAATAGATGTATTAATAATTCAAAAAAGCAAATTAAAATTTTGAATTTAAACTTTAGTTTTTAGCTTTAAGCAATTTACAATTAAACTAACTTGCTAGTTCTGTGTTGAAAAAAAAATAATGCTTATTTCATTTGCGAAAATCTAAAACTCATTTTTTCCAACTTAACAACAAACAAGCAATTTAATCACACAATCAATCAGTCAATCAATCGACCAATCCATAAATCAATTAATCAATCGATAAATCAATCAATGAGTCTACCTGCTTCAGATCAATGACCAGCTGGCCTGTGCCATCGAATTTCTTTTCTATCGGCAAACCCTGTTACAAAAAGAAAGTGATACAAATTTTTTAAAATGAATTTTAAAACGAAGAGTAATGCTTTGAATGTCGTCGTTGTTGTAACCCAATAACCTATACATGATCAGCCCAATGCAAAGGTTTGATTTTAAGAGTGATGAAATTGTAGACGAGGTTGAAATTAGATTAAGAATAATATTTTTGTATTCATCGTATATATCAATACAAGAAAACTTTTATTTTTCAATTTTGATTTCTACCGGGCTTTCAAACAGCTAGAAAACAAAGAGAAGCTGTCAATGAACAGATTCTTTATAAGTCTGCAATTGTAACCTTGTAAATTGAATAAAAACTAAAAAGAAAAGTCGTCTTTATTGTATTGATATAAACGCCGACCACTGAATATGTAAATTATCACCTCTGTACCACTAGGGTAGGGAATAAGGATCTTGTTGTCTTCAAACCCGTCTAAACCTTTGCCCTGAAAAAAAATCGATTTCAAAAATAAAAATTCGATTTTTTTTATATACTCCAATAGCTTTCTTTTTTTCTATTTATATACTCCAATAGCTTTCTTTTCTCTTTTCATATACTCCAATAGCTTTCTTTTCTCTTTTTATATACTCCAATAGCTTTCTTTTTTTTCTATTTATATACTCCAATAGCTTTCTTTTCTCTTTTTAGATACTCCAATAGCTTTCTTTTCTCTTTTTATATACTCCAATAGCTTTCTTTTCTGGTTTTATAAACTCCAATAGCTTTCTTTTCTCTTTTTATATACTCCAATAGCTTTCTTTTCTCTTATTATTTACTCCAATAGCTTTCCTTTTTTTGTATACTCCAATAGCTTTCTTTTCTCTTTTTATATACTCCAATAGCTTTCTTTTTTTCTTTTTATATACTCCAATAGCTTTCTTTTCTCTTTTTATATACTCCAATAGCTTTCTTTTCTCTTTTTATATACTCCAATAGCTTTCTTTTCTCTTTTATTTATGTTTATGTTTTTGTTTGGTTTACGGTTTATATTAATTTGACGAATAAAATTGTTTGGTTTCTTGCTGAACAAAGCTCCAACTTTGTTAGTTGATAGATTGATTGTTACTTTCATCTTTATAAATAAAATAGTTCCTTTTAGACAAATACTTCGTAGTGTTTCTACATACGTAGCAAAAATTTGCTTCAACAAATTTTTTATTTTGAATTTGATTTTCAAAAGTTAAAAGATTTTACCTTAGTGGCAACATGGATATAAACTCCGAAACCATTTCCATCATAGGAGAAGTTATCAATCACAAGAGTATCAGAATCCAACTTATAAACCTAGAAATATACCAGATCGAATATATCAGAATTAACCTTGTAAACCTAGAAATATATCAGAATCCAACTTATAAACCTAGGAATGTATCAGATCGAATATATCAGAATTAAACTTGTAAACCTAGAAATATAGCAGAATCCAACTTATAAACCTAGGAATATATCAGATCGAATATATCAGAATTAAACTTGTAAACATAGAAATATAGCAGAATCCAACTTATAAACCTAGGAATGTATCAGATCGAATATATCAGAATTAAACTTGTAAACCTAGAAATATATCAGAATCCAACTTTTAAACGTAAAAATTTATCATAAAATATCAGAATTCAACTTGTAAACGTAGAAATATATCAGAATAAATAACAATTAAACTTGTGTAGATAAATATCAGAATATGTTAAAATTTTTTGTGAAAGAGATATCAAAATTTAACTTGTAAACCAAAAGGGATTTAGTCCTTATACTACCAACTCAAATTTTTCATTTCTTTGCAACCTGAAGGTATACAACCTTAATATTTCAGGCTTATGTATATAATTTGAGCTAACAGAAATTCTTAGTTTGAAATATCTAAGGTCTGCGAAATTTAGCTGCAAAAATATAGGGATTAGAAAATCAGAGTTTTTGACAAAGACTCAATCATAAACTAGTAAAGATACAGAGATAATATATTACCTTTCCTCCCACATCATGATCCGTATCGATGAGATCTCCAACAAAGACTGCATCAACCTGGCGGTCAGCTGCCTGGGGTGCTCCTGATACCAGACAGACCAAACACCAAACCTACACATCAACCTCATCAAACATTCAAGAATATTTCACGTTATTCTCGAATTAAAATCTGTTTCATAAAATGTTTTATACTTTGTATGATTGTATGTTAGAGTAAGCAAAAACTGTTAAGTGATCAATAATAACGAAAAATTATCATTCTTTTAGAATGAAACTTGTTTTTTTGGTATGCAACAATTTTTATTTAAACCCACCCCTTTTAAAAATGATAATAAATAATAAAAATCATTTGTTATTTTTTACAAAGGAATGTCATTTACTCTCGTGATTCAATTTCTAATGATTCTAATTTGTTCGAGAGTAAATGATGCATTTTCTATCTAATTGTTAAAAAAACTATATTTACCAAAGTTAAATGAATCATTTTGTGTATTATTGTTGAAGATGCTGGATGGAAATCGTTAAAATACTGGAGTCCTAAAATAATAAATTTTATTTTTACCGCCTCTGACCAACATTACTGACACACGAGTTCTCCATCAGTGGGATGTTAAGGAATTTCGAATCCTAATCTCTATAACAACATTGGGTTGCAAAGATACAGGGTTTAGAAAATCAGAGTTTGTGGCGAAGACTCAACTACTTTAAGCTTAACTGTTCCTGTGGAACGATTAAATGAAATAACATCCCCCGTTGTGAAGTGTATCTTCATCTCAAAGGACGATAAACTGTTTACAACTGCTTTATCGGAGAGTTAAATTTGTACGTAACCACAGGTTCTCTTGACAAATTTCGCTCATGATGTTTTACAGACAAAATTGGTCTTGAGAACCTTTGGTAATGTAGAATTCCCTTAACTTCCTTGTATGCAGTAGTAAATAAACTGTGTTTAAAGGGACCGTTCACTTATTTGAGTAATTTGAGGGTAAACTAAACAGCCTTTCGCTGTTGATTGGTAATAGTTTTACTTTTCAAAGACAACTGTTGCCGGAGAAAAAGCCTATTTTTCGTTCAGAATTTGAGCGGAAAGGGACGGTCCCTCTCTATAGACACTATTTGATGTTTTTTTCAGTTGTTGTACTGTTATTTAAAACAAGTACAGACATTTAAAAAAAGAAAATTTAGACTCAAATGAAATTTTAAAAAAAGTTCTACTCATAATCTTTCGTTTTATTCTCTGCAGTATACCTTGACTATCTCCTGTTGAGCTGTGAGCTAGACACCAAGCTACGCCAGTATTGAGCGTACAGTCAACAGTCCATCCTTTTTAAACCTTCCCGCATTTCCTTGTTGACAGGGTTTCATCTAAATATATTGGTAAGGGGAATGTGTAGGCATAGTGTTGAGAATTTTTTTTGTGATCGTTTTTTTCCTGTCACCTTTTCAATTATTTTAAACCCCCCAGTCTAACCCAGCCAACCCCCAAGCCATGCCCATTAGCCATACCATCCCCTAAACAAATGAAGTTCCTTAAAGCCGAGTTTATGGTGCACAAATACACGGGATTCTACTGCATGTATCTAAGTGCAGTTTATATCAAGGAAGTCTTTTTCTATTCCAATCAAAACCATTTTTAAAAAATATACTAACAAATAAAAATAGAATATTCTCATGACGATACAGATGATACAGACGGAAATCACGGGACCTGTATACTGCACTGCCATTGGCTGAAGTTTTGGTGACTTAATACGGACTTATTATCAATTATATCTAATAAAAATGCCCAAAAAAATATAATAGGAGCAAAACTGAGATTTTCAGGCTCCTGTGGGATATAGTCGTTTTCAGATTGGTTGCGTATTTGTTGAATATGATCTGTTTAATACTACAACTTTTATACAAAATTGCATATACATGAATTTTCGTATAAATTTGACACCGTTTTATATTAATTTCTCGAGACAGGAACATCAGATAGATGTCTTATATGTATCGTCCAATGCCTGAGATTCTCAGGTTTCTTTCTATACCCCCTTTCATTTTTCCTTTACAGTCCCTTTAAACAAAGGGGCAAATTAAAGTCTGGTGGGGCAATTTGATTACAAATTTGTGTGAGTGCAATTTTAAAAATTCAATTTGTGGGCATTTTTTAAAGAAAGGGGCGAAAATAAAGAGAATCTGAGCTTATATTGAAAAAATGTTACAGTGAATTTGAGTTTGCTTTAAGAATGAGAATAGGTTTAAAAGCTGTACGAACGATTTTTTGTAACAAACTTGTTAAAATCTAAAATTGTTTTTACTGAACGAACAAGTTTTTCGAACAAACTTTTGAAAAAAATGTTGTTTTTTTTACTGAAAAAAAAACGATTTTATTGAACGATAATTTTACTGAAAAAAACGATTATACTGAATGATCGTTCAAATGAAAATTTCTTTCTTTGTATGACTTACTTGAAGTAAGTATTTCTCTAATGTTTTTACTGTAAAACTTACAATTCTAATTTTTTTCTTAAATTTCCTCATTTTCATGTTCTCAGTAAAATCCTGATTACTTAAGTTCTTTGATAGAAAACCAGAAACTGTGAGAACTGAAACTTCTGCAATAAAGAATTATAAATGGAAAAACTTGTCAAACCAGGGTTTATAGAGAGAGGGGTTTAACTAAACTTATCTGTCCAGATATTGGAAAGTACGGATCAGAATTTTTATATTTAGCCCTCTATTGGCTCCAACGTTTTGCCCAATTAGTAACATGTTTCAGACCCCCACAAAATAATGGAGCACCATTGCTTTTGGACCGGCTTTAACGGGGTTAAGCACTACGGCTAGGAAAGGGTAGGGAGCAAAGCGCCACATGACAAGGGCGGGCTGATTAAGCCGAGTGCAACGGCTATGACAGGCTATAAAGCCAAGCGGACTTGTGGCCTCACCTGTACATGTAATAATTTATTCATATTAATTATTATTATTATATTATATTATTATCAGATTTACATTAATTTCGTGTTAATGATTTTTAAGATTGCACACTTTTCTCTTTCGGGGGTTAGTTACTCATGTTTACTTTCCACTTCATTTTGGCGAGTATAGTATCTTTGGATAAACTTCTCTTGAAGTTTAATCATAATTAAATGTTATGTTTGTATGTTTTGGTGTTCTCCTGATTGTTCAGAGAAAACAAAACAAACATAAACTTTAAAATTAGAATATTTTTAAGAATAAAAGAATTATGCATTTTGTCGAAAAAAAATATATTTAAAACAATATCTTATAACCCCCTTTCTTGTCACTGACTTGGTCTGGAGTATTAGTATAGTACAATGAGACTTATCCTAATTTTTCAGAAACACAAAGAATTTTATTTTTGCATTTTTATTATTTTTTTATAAAATTTTTAGGATAATTATTTTTCTTTTTTTTCATATTTTGGCATGCGTGTCATTGATTATTTGTCAAATTAAATTAAACTATACCACCATTGATAGTACAGAGCGTCCCATATCATATTTATAGATTATCTCCAAGTTTTAACGCCAAATAAAACCATAATACTCGAAAAAGAAAATTCTTATATTAGCCTTAAACAATTTTTCAGAATGGTTCGTTCTTCTTCAATTTTCTGATTAGTCCCGAAAATCGTAATTTAGACCGATTGACGAACCCTATTGATTAATTATTAGGGTGGTCGGTTCGGGTTGTGTTGTGTTATACATCACGATTTGTTTATGTATCTAAAACTGTTCACTTGAATATAGAGTGATTGTATTTCTTTGGGGTGGTTAAATGTAGATAGATTGAATATTTTTATAGATATATAGTATAGTTAATATGGATTGTAAACACAGGATTGTATACCGCAGTACATTCCAGTTCAGTTGTTTGGTTATGTTAAGACAAGAATGACAAAATATTGTATCGAGAGACAATGTACGAACAATTCTTCTTCAAATTCCAAAACACTGTGCACTGCTGGACCTTTTAAGGTTGGGAGACTCCTGTCTCTAAGGTAAAGAAAAAAAACGTCCAATTTATTACTTCATAAAAATGTTCCCAAGGTAAAGAAAACACAAATTGTAGTGAAAATGTCTATCGCGTATTTGCTTGATAAAGGCCCACGATTTTTTTAGTTTGATAAAACATTAGGCACCAACGAAACATCTTTAATATAATCTTAGTTATGATTCTAAGTTAGATATCAGATTTGTGTATAATATTAACAATTTTTCTTTGAATAAATATAGTAATTTTGATTTTACAATATTTAATTACTAAATTGTAAAAGAATTTTTATTTAATGTATAAAATATAGTTAAAATCATCTAACACATGATGATTTACGAAAAATTAGAAATGCACAAAAAATATCAAACATCGTTGAAATTTCCATGTTATAAAAGATGACAGTTGATTATTATCATATTTTTAATTCATTCCATTTTTCTTTCAAAATTTTTTTTTCATCTTTTTCGATATAAAATCCTCGGTCCTCGGCCTCCTGGATGAAATGCAATAAAGGGACTGTAAGTGTAATTTCTATTGACCTACCATGCACAGATGATAATGCCCGATTTACAACGGTACCCGTGCTTGAAAGCTTTGTCTAATCAAGTAAGAATTAGATATCAATGTTTTTGTTTCTTTAAAATGTTAAATTTTATTTGTGGTTTCTTTGCAAAAGTGACTTGTATTGCACCAGATTAAGGTTTCAATTGAGTACCGTTGTAAATCGAGAATTGCCATGTTTGCATGAAGGGTCATCTGAATATACGCTTCTAGTCCCTAAAAGAAGTCATGCAAATTTCAAAGTAGAAATGATTCAAGACATCATGAATAACTCTGATACAGAGTGTTCCACGAAACATGACAGTAGCAAGACGAATTAAAGTCGTCTTTGAAGTTAGAATTTATTTTTGACATTCAATCAAAACCTACTTTCACATAGTATGTCCTTGAAACAATAATCACAAGATTCTCCTTAGCATTTTCAAAATGTGGTCTGCCCTTTTTTGTGCTGTCAATATTACCGGTCAAATTTCAACTTTATTGATACAGCCAAAATTGACGAAATCTGAACGAAACTCTTCATCTCTCCGGTAATATTGAAAGCCCAAACATTGCAAACCACATTTTGGAAATTTCAATACTAGGGGTTTTTAGTAAATTTACCACGAGCATTTTTCTTCAAGAATTAGATTTTACGAATAAATATCGCAAAATATTTCAAAGATCAGAGATGGCGTTCAATTCGTTTTGCTACTGCCATGTTTCGTGGGACACCCTGTATATTGCAAATGCTTCCTAAACTTACGCGAACCATATGAGCACTTTCAACCGTGTAGTGCGCGCATATTGCGCGTAAGAGAAGGAAGAGGATGCGCTCATTATTTAAAAAGATATAATTAAGGGGTTTAGCCTGGGTAAAGAGACTGTAGAGGGGGGGGGGTAGACATTGAAAAAGGAGAAAAAAAGAACAATTTAAAGATTCTCTGAGTTTTATCTGAAAAGATGGTAAAATTGTGTGCACTGTTTACCCTTTTTGGAGAAAAAAAATCTTACTTTAATATTTCTTTTTCTGCAAGAAGTTTTCTAAAATCATTAAAGGTTAATGTAATTAATTCTATTGAGAAGTACTCTGCCAATTATACAATCGACATCTTTCAATTTTCAACTTGAAAGGTTGAGAGGGGGGGGGGGGTAAAACCTAATTTTCCCCTTGTTTGATTTACTATATAATTCAAATATCTGCTAAAAATGTTTGATACAAATAATTTTCGAATGAATATGACTGTTGGCAGACAAATGTAACGTACAGGGTGTCCCAATAAACATGGGAATTCAGTGAAGAATTCGATATCGTCTTTTTAAATAATTCTTTGATCGATTTAGTATAGTGATACCTACTGAGAAAGCTGTAATCTGTAAAAGTTTCGTCTGCTATGTTCACATTTTGTTTGTTTATGTTTTGACTGCATACGGTTGTACTTAGTAAAACAAGAAAATTGCAGTATACAAACAGAGTAAACTTGTCCGTTTTCACTGTTCATCTTGCGGAGACATTATAGACACATTCTTTACAGTCTTTTACCCTTTCCATAAAATAAACTCTAGCAGACATAATAATATTACGGCTTTTGAAATTAGGTATTGCAATGCTAATTCATAACAAAGACGTTATCAAATTCGTCACTGAATTCCCATGTTTTTTTGGAACACCCTGTATTTGTTTGCACATACTGATTTGCGCAGCCTGATTTGCGCATCCAGATTTGCACATCCAGATTTGCGCATCCTGATTTGCGTATCCTGATTTGTGCATCCTGATTTGCGCATCCTGATTTGCGCATCCTG